ATGGTGGTTCAACTCCTAGTTGTCATCGATATGTCCCATCGTAAATGCCTCAAGGCATCAAGACAAGGGAAAATAATAATCCTAATCCTAATTGTACTTAATTAAATCTATACTAAAATAATTACTTAAGAAACTAATGATTCTTAACCAAATTAATGTACCCACCAATAGCACCATCTCTTTACATCTTTGCTAATATATTTTTTCTTCACTTTCCCCACTGAATAAAATTAGTCGGTTATTCTGAAATTGCTGAACGGATTAGATGAGTGAATCATTTATGAAATTTAAAACCTTATCACCAAATCAAGAACACAAAGTATATTAACAGTACACCTTAACCAAATTAAATCAAGAACACAAAAGTATATTAACTATGGATGGTAGGAGTTGTTAAGCTAATTAAGTTGTTACAGATGACGAATGCATCTAGAAGTGAAAGAATTAGACATATGATTAAGATAGCTTCGTCCTTATTGCTGAATGATTAGGGTTTCGAGTTCTCTATTCTATATAATTAGCTAATTTAAACCTCTGGAGTTTTCTGTAACCGGTATTCAATTATGTATTTGAGACAACGACATTGTACTAGCTCAATACATGATATTGAACATTAGTTTGATTATAGTATAACAATCAAAATGTTTGGTACATACGTTACAGACATATAAGTATGTGTACACATGTATAAAATGTACAATTTGATAAGTATACATATGATATGTAACTAATGGACATTAATTATTCCATATGGTAAAATTCCAGCTAAATTACATATAATATGGCATATTAGTTTTCGTATATATTTTGATGCACGTAGGTCCAACTTCATTGCCGTCAAAGTGGGATAATAAAATTCTTAACATTATTGAGCAAGTTCTTGATATTCTTTCTTTTTTCTTTTTGGTCCATATTCTTCTTCTTATATAACGTTAACTGAGAATAATTCCATCCATAAATATTTCGAGGATATTTTATGCTGCCCAATAACTAAATTCTATGGGACTCGGGGTTTGTTGAATCTGAGGGAAACAACAATATATTATATACTACTGTCTACTATGCATTGGTTTTAAATTTACAAGAAAAACAACACTATGCATGCACTAATAAATTTCTGTGTGTATTTATTGAATTCGAAAACGGTACAAAGGGGGAACATGAGGACAGATCTAATAACACAGTAGCACATGAAATCGAGATTAACGAAATAGTATAACCATTGATATAATCGCATTTTGTTCCAACTCGAGGAAGTGGTGCAACGTGATGACATTCTAAAACTCCTCTAATCCAATGGTTCCCTAAAATTCCGACGAATATTAAATAGTCGTAATATTCTATGAATAAGTCTAATTTTATTTTTGCATCAACTTCGAATAATGTCATTTGGATAAGGACGAAGAAGCATGAACTCGTAAGTCGTAATTCGTCTGCGTCTCCCACATCACGACCTAAATTCCAAACCAAATTAACCACATGGTGGTGGGCGAGTGGTTCTCGTTTGGTTGGAAGGATCGCCCTGTTGGTCTAGGCCAGGGATCGATCCTCCCCAGACGCAGTTTCGCTCTCCCACTCCTGTGGCCACCTGGGAATTTACCTGCGGACTTGCTCAGGCGCCCCAGACCACCAGTTTATCAGGGGGCCCTTAAGTAGAGGCTTAAAAATCCCTGTGACGCGGGCTTAGGCCCAGTGGGCTAGTCAGATCACTGTGTGGTCTGGATACTGGGTTATCAAAAAAAAAAAAAAAATTCTAAACCAAAATTATTGATCCTATTATTGGTTGTCCCATTTTCATTCCCTTATATTTATATGCTAGTATTTTCCTATTATTATTTACATATAATCATCATCAAAGTTTGAGCATCTGAATTTCACAATCAAACCCAAGAAACAGCTAGTACTTACTACGTGAATCGAACAAAACCAAAACCTATATTTGTTTTGGAAATATTTAAGTAGTATAGGAATTTTAAGAGCAGTAGAAAATTTTGTATGTTTTATGTCTAAGATAATTAGAATCATATACCATACAAATTAAGATTGTAACTGCATCCATTTACTGTGCTCAAAAAAAAAAAAAAAACTGCTTCCATTTACTTCTTAACTTTCCTGAAAATTGATGTTTTAGATTTTTAAAAAAATATGTATCTGTAGTTAAAATAAAATTTAAATACTAAAATGGATATCTTAATAGTCACCTCATTAAAAAAAAAAAAACTTTGAGTTTATAAAAACGAAAAATCTCAACTATAATTCGAGGTATCGTTTTATTTAACTTAACACCAAATATGAGATACTTAGATAAATTATTTCTTATCCTCCAGAACTCCATCCACAAAACTTGTATAATTGGGTAGGTACATGATTTTAATTACTATTCTTTCGAAACATTAATGGTCGTTATTAACTTGGTCAGCGTCTCAAAGTGTGTATGGTATTATCATATTAATGTATATTCTTAATTAATTGTTAAAAATGTATGAACTTTGCAGTATTTTTAGATATAATTAAATGGATAGTCAGACACTAAGGACAGACAGATCTAGCAAGGCCAAACGATAATAAACCCCATTTTATATGATCTAATTAATTAAATATCATTTTCAGTAACCAAACCAGAATATTTAAGTCCACACGAAATACATAATACTATTCTATACTTGAACTCTTCAAACTTCTACGTCATATGATGTTCACAAGTTGCTAATTTAGAATATTAAAAAAGCTTTGGACTCGTTTTTTCTTCTAAAGACTCTTACACATTTTAAGTCTTAAGGAAGAATAATTGAGGATGCAATCGGTACAAACGCAACAACCACATTTAGTCATTATTCTTTAATTATACTATTTTTTTCAAAAGTTTAATTAATAGTCTAAAAATTTGTCGATTTTTCATAATGTAATTGAGTTATAACAGTAAATTCAGTCCCATTTTAAATATGTTTTCTTATTAAAATTTGGGATTTCTTTTTAAAAAATTACACAACAATTGGTATCAGTTCATTGAGATGCTGAAAAAACTAGTTGGAGTGATTCTGATACCATTTAAAATTGCCACTCAAAAGTGAACAATTTTTTTTGTAATAGTATAATGATATAGGTTTTAAATCGAATATTATTTGCATCAATCTCTATGTTTTGGTTAATAAGAATATTGGACAGTGAAAAGTCCTTTTTTTTTTTTTTTTTGGGCAAAGGACAGTGAAAAGTCATACTTTAATTTTTCCCATATTTCGACGTGAGACATGTGAGTGGCGCAGATGTACACGTGGCAATTGATAAGACGTCTAATTGATCTGACGTGGAGAGAATACCGATGTGTCAAGTGGATTTCCAGCTGGCATCCACTCGGATAAAGAGAGTTGGATATAACTTGTAAAGTAATTTAAGACAAAAGAATTTCCAAAAAAAAAAACAAATATTCTAAGAATTTACCTTAATAACATGTGACAAGATGTCGTAATAATTCCTTTTTTTTGTATGTTCCGTTTTCCATCTTAAAGGTGAAGAAAAATTCTATCTTACTCTGCTGTTAAAATCTATAACTCACTTGTAGATAATAACTTGTTGACCAAACTTATATAATTATACAATATTATTAGCAATCATTTTCGTTAGGGTATATTCGAGGAGCCAAAAGAAATGTTTTTAATATTGTATGATATAAATTGATTGTTTTTAGGTATAGGGCTTATTAGGAGAAGTGTATACACAGGCTGTCGTGTGAGCTTTATTTATCTTTTGTTCTTCGAATGATGCAAATAAACAGCTGGCCGTATCACAACAAGACACTGTCATCGTTGTTGTTGTACGCAAAGGATATACACATTTTTGTGTTTTCTATTCGTAATTATGGTTTGTGTAATTTTTTGAACTTTGACATCAATAAATTGGTCTCTTTCGGACATATTTTTGTATTATTTGAAATGAAAAGTGATTGGGGTTCTCCTTTTTCTAATTATTCCATATTATAACTCAATTTTTTTTTGTGTGTGTTAAAAGTCATATTAAAATTATGCAACAAGTAATCTAGTTAAATTTTAAACTTTAACCATAAGTTTGCACTCGTCATGCTCAAAATCTTTTTTTCTTTTGAGATTATCGAAATTTCAAAACCGGTTATGAACAAAGATGTAATTTGTCATTTTATTCATTCGAAGAAACTGCATATTATTCAAAATTTTTGTTTGACAAAAAATGAGTGTATTTCCCATTCATTATCTCATAAACTTGAAGCACATTTTTTCTACATATTCTTTTATTTATACTTGAAACATATTAATTGAATAGACTTTGATATGTTTTTAAAATAATAATTGAATATATATCCAGTATGGCTCATTATTCATATGCAGAATGAATTTAAAACTTTATGGACCTACCAAAAACTTCCAATGACTTTATCATTCATAACACACAAAAAACGCATTTTTGTGGTCTCTTCTCTTAATCACAGTTTTTTTTTTCGAATCACTTGCTAATCACTTAAGTTAAGAAAAGAAATTACAGTCAAAACAATTAAATTATTTTTAATTATCGAAACAGTTAAACAAATTCAAAATAAAAACTGCCATGTGGTCTCTCTTCTCTGTTTCTCTCTCCCTTCCTTTAAGAACGCGTTTGCAGACTTTGATCAGACTTCGCGTTCCCGCCGCCCATCTTTCTCTCTCACACGTTTCTTTTTGTCTCTCCCTGATTCATCGCCGTAGCTGTGTGACCAAACATTGCTGCGATTTCTCAAAACCCAAATCTTTCTTCTCAAAACCTTTCTTCAAAGACTCTGTTTTAACTTTCTTTCTTCAATGGCGTTATCGAAAAACAGTAACAGCAGTAACAGCAACAAGAAGAAAGTTTCGTATATCTCAGTCCCATCTCAGATCATAAACTCTTTATCATCTTCTTCTTTGCAATCTCTTCTTGTTTCACCCAAGAAATCATCAAGAAGCACCAACAGATTCAGCTTCTCTTATAGAAACCCTAGAATCTGGTTCTTTACTCTCTTCCTCGTCTCACTCTTTGGAATGTTGAAACTTGGATTCAACGTTGACCCAATCTCTCTCCCTTTCTCACGTTACCCTTGTTCAACAAACCATCCATTAAGCTTCGACGGAGAACAAAACGCTGAATCTCATCTGGGTTTGGCTCAAGAATCGATTTTGGCTCCTGGGTCATCGAATTCGAACGCGGTTATTCAATTAGACGGTGGAAAAAACGAGACTTTGTTAACGGAAGGTGATTTCTGGATACAACCTGATGGGTTAGGGTTTAAGCCCTGTTTGGGATTTACAAGTCAGTATAGAAGAGATAGCAATTCGATTTTGAAGAACAGATGGAAATATTTGCTTGTTGTTGTCTCTGGTGGGATGAATCAGCAAAGGAATCAGATTGTTGATGCTGTTGTGATCGCTAGGATTCTTGGTGCTTCTTTAGTTGTTCCTGTTTTACAGGTTAATGTCATTTGGGGAGACGAAAGGTATGAACTTTAAACTCATTATAATACCTGAAAGAAGAAGTAATGAGATTGTAACATTATTGATCTAATTGTTTGTTTGTTTGTTGCAATTTTAGTGAATTTGCGGATATATTCGATTTGGAGCATTTCAAGAATGTTTTAGCGGATGATGTTCATATAGTGTCTTCTCTACCTTCTACACATGTAATGACGAGACCTGTTGAAGAGAAGAGGACTCCACTTCATGCTTCTCCTCAATGGATTCGTGCTCATTATCTTAAGCGAGTAAGATTTCTTACCAAAACAAATCTCATTTGATATATGTGTTTGTTTTTGACTAGATTGAGCTAATAATAGTGTTTTCTTTGCTCTGTTTTTTGCAGATTAACAGAGAAAGAGTTTTACTTCTTCGTGGCCTCGATTCAAGACTCTCCAAGGACCTTCCTTCCGATCTTCAGAAACTCCGATGCAAGGTGGCTTTCCAAGCGCTGAGATTTTCTCCGAGGATTCTTGAACTTGGTAACAAGTTAGCTTCAAGAATGCGTAACCAAGGACAGTATCTCTCACTTCATCTAAGAATGGAGAAAGATGTTTGGGTTAGAACTGGTTGTCTTCCCGGTTTAACTCCCGAGTACGATGAAATAGTCAACAGCGAAAGAGAACGTCACCCCGAGCTTCTTACCGGTAGATCAAACATGACTTATCAGGAGAGAAAACTCGCCGGTCTATGCCCTTTAACTGCTCTAGAAGTCACAAGGTATAATACCAACTCTAACAAATCCTTTTGCTTATGGTTTTTGAGTGATACTTACATTTTTTTGCCATTCCACAGGCTGCTTAAAGCATTAGAAGCTCCAAAGGATGCGAGAATCTATTGGGCAGGAGGAGAGCCTCTAGGAGGAAAAGAGGTTTTGGAGCCACTAACTAAAGAATTCCCTCAGTTCTACAACAAGCATGATCTTGCATTACCAGGCGAACTCGAACCATTTGCCAAGAAAGCTTCGGTTATGGCTGCTATCGACTACATTGTTTGCGAAAAGAGTGATGTTTTCATACCATCTCATGGAGGAAACATGGGACATGCGTTACAAGGGCAAAGAGCTTATGCTGGTCACAAGAAATACATCACTCCTAACAAGAGACAGATGCTTCCTTATTTCATGAATTCGTCGCTTCCTGAATCGGACTTTAACAGGATTGTGAAAGATCTTCATCGAGAATCGCTTGGACAGCCGGAATTGAGAATGAGCAAAGCAGGTAAAGATGTTACAAAACATCCTGTTCCAGAGTGTATGTGCTCGGATAGACAACAACAATTCGATGCTTAAGCCTTGAAGGACATTTTGATCATTTCACATTATTGGTGGCGCGGAAGATGAAGAAGACGCCGATTTTTTTCCCGATCACCGGAGATTGATTGAGGAAGACGACGATTCATTGGTGGTTCGTGCGATATTCTTTTAGTTCGGTTTTAATCTGATCATTTTTTCAAATCTTTTGGAGTAAATATATATTCGTTATCTGTTTTGGAGATTATTTTACATGTTTTTACCATATACGTGGAAAGTAGAATAGTGAGGTTATAAGATATGATTCTTTGATTCCTTTTATTTGGGCTGTAATTATATATTACAGAGTTGTATACGGTTCTAGTTGTTCTTGTAAAATAAATAAAGCAATAGTTAATCATATGCTCCAAATATTTACCTTTTTATGTTGTTAAGTTCACCTAACCATAGGTTTAAATTATGAATATTCCAGCTGCAAACATATCAAAACTCATATTCAATCATAGTCAAAAGATGAGAGCAGAGCAGCATGCTGATGAAGACATTAAAAACGACGTCGCTTTTGTTCTGTTTGGTTTGGTGTCTAAACGATATCGTTTAAATTAGGGCTTCTTTTTTTGTTACAATACGACGCCGTTTGCTTTCTCTTAGATTGAAGTCAAACAGTCTTGTTCAGGTTTTTGGGGTTTGAGAGACAGAGAGGTTTTGGCTTCTGGGTCGTTCGTGTTTGATCAATCTTCGTATCTCGAAACGGTGAACTTTGTTGGGTTTGGATTTTGCGCACTGTTGAATCAGCTTTTCAAGGTTTGGTTTCGTTTTCTATTAGAGGAACTCAAATTAAGGACCTTTATCGTTTTCTAGTGTGCTTCCAATTTCTTTTACAGTTCCTTGAACTCAATTCATAGAGCTAATCTGATTATATCAATAGGTTTTAGTGAGTTATTATGAATTTTCATTAGCTGTGAATTGAATGAAATAGATGCCTCGAAGACCATCATCAGGAAGAAGAGTGTTAAAGTATCAGCCTTTAACATTTTCACCGTTTATGCGGTTACTTTCCTTTGCTTCAATGGCTAGGCGTAATTTGCCTCATCCTGAAGATTGTCAATGTTCTGATGAAGAGATATCTTTTGGTGAGTATACCTTACATTGTTTGAGACTTTTCGATTCACAAACATTGTAATTGTAGTGATGTATCATTCTAATTTTGTAGATGAAAAGGAAAAGCTCCCTAATTTACCTAAGAAAGGGAAAGAAGAACAACTTTCGGACTCGTCTGATGAAGACGATTCTCAGGTAAGGGATTAATTTACTCTTCTGTTGGTTTTGTAAATGAAAAAGATCCCTAATTTTTTTTTTCAATGCTTGATCTTTGAAGGAAGATGTCCAAGCAGACTTTGAGTTCTTTGATCCTAAACCTACAGACTTTCATGGGGTTAAGATCCTGTTACAAAACTATCTCGATGACAAGGAGTGGGATTTGAGCAGTTTTGTTGATTTCATATTGGAGCAAACAACTGTAGGAACTGTTGTCAAAGTAGCAGATGATGAGGACGAGTCAATATTTGCTCTTGTCACTGCGCTTAACATGGCAAGATATAAGGCAAGTCACAGAAAACTCCCTTGAATGCACGCTTTGTTTGGTATAATCTTACATGAAACTTGGTGATTTGGTTTTGTGAGGCTTGTTAAAGTAATTCTAATCGTAGAATGTGTTTGTTGCCGTTTGTTCAGGACAACAAGTGCTTTAGAGAGTTAAAAGAGTTTCTTCGAAAAGTTTGTTCAGAAAAGAATATAACGAATAATCTAGAAATGCTCTTAGAGAAAAAGGCACAAGATGTTGGTTTATTGGTATCTCAAAGAGTGATGAATCTTCCACCACAACTTCTTCCTCCACTGTACGATGGATTGTTCGATGAAGTCTCATGGGCCACTGAAGACGAGGTTTCCATCTTTTAAGATAAACTTATAGGTAACTTCTTATGAGCAATTCAAATATAACAGTTTTTTAAAGTTTTTTTTGTTCATATAGCCTACAGAAGAGCTTCGAAGATCATTCCGCTTCAAGTCATATCTTCTAATTACCAAGATTTACAAGGTGATTTTTTGTGTTATGCTAAGATTTCATATTGTCCAGCCTTCTTGTTTTAACAATATGATATATGTACTTGGTTATATAGCTGAAGAATCCTAAGCAGAGAAAACCTCGACATGGTGAAGAAGACATTGAAGAAACTATATTTCTTAAGCCTGAAGATGAACTCTTTCTTGAGGTAACTTATTTTTACATATATTTACTCGAGTACCCGTGTGAAATAGATAAACATAATCTCTGAACATATGTTGGAAAAACTGCATTTGCAGCTTAGCTCTTGGTCCTTCACATTCCCTATGCGCTCACAGCTCGTTACTTCCCAAGAAGTAAGTTTATCTCTCTGGCTTATTCACATTGTTTTGATTTCAATTGTTTCTGGCTTGTCATGTTTGGTTTTATTGGCGATTCTCACAGATGAAGAATTATCAGCTGCTGGGTTTAGTGATGGCCGTGGAAGCAAACAAGATTCCTAAATTCAGACAGATGTTGAACTCTCTCATTGATGAACAATGATGAACATCTTCTTCTTAAAGATTCGATTAACGGTTTAGTTGTAATCGATTCCCGCCAGTTTTGTTTGATTCGGTTAACGATTATTGAGGCTTTGTTATTACCAAAACTGTGGTTTCTTTTGTCTGAAACAATGTCTTGTAAAACTCTATAAAACGCACAACATTATGAATCTTTATCAGTCAAGATTATTCATCTTTCGAATTTTCTTGTGATGGGTCTAAGCCCATAAAAGGAGTAGTTTTCATTTTAAAAGAGACTTCATAGGTCAAAGAAAAAAAACCATGGCCCAAAATGTTTATACTTTGCATTATTTATTCAAGTACCCCTGAATTCTTTGATAAATATTTGATTGACCCATATCTATATTCTAATTCTCATTTCCTGGAAAAGTGAAGGAGTCACCGTAATCTGAAACAATCTGTTCATATGATGAAGAAGTGTCTCTCGATCTCCTTCAACGCGTAGAAAATTCCAACGACAGAACGTGTTAGTTCGCATGATGTGGCGAACATCTGTTGTGTCTCGTTTCTCTTCAAGGATCTCTGTTTCTTCTTCGTTACCAAACCCTAGACTTATTCCTTGGTCCCGCGAATTATGTGCCGTTAATAGCTTCTCCCAGCCTCCGGTCTCGTCTGAATCAACTCCTAAGTTAGGGATCACTGGTGTTAGATCCGATGCCAATCGAGTTTTTGCCACTGCTACTGCCGCCGCCACCACCGGTGAGATTTCGTCTAGAGTTGCATCTGTGGTTGGATTAGGGCATCACTACGCTCGTTGTTATTGGGAGCTTTCTAAAGCTCGACTTAGGTATGTGTTTGCTTTTCATTTGAAAAAATTGAAAATTTCCAATTTTCGAGGGTTGGATTCAAATCCTTATTTGTTTGATGTTTGTAGTATGCTTGTGGTTGCGACTTCTGGAACTGGGTATATTCTGGGTACGGGAAATGCTGCAATTAGCTTCCCGGGGCTTTGTTATACTTGTGCTGGAACAATGATGATTGCTGCTTCTGCTAATTCCTTGAATCAGGTACTAAGTCATTGGAATGGTGAAAAGTTTATAAATTTTCGAATCCTTGTTGTGTTTATGTAGTTGATCTTACTTTTTTGTTTTTTCATTTATTAGATTTTTGAGATAAGCAATGATGCTAAGATGAAGAGAACAATGCTAAGGCCATTGCCTTCAGGACGTATTAGTGTTCCACACGCTGTTGCATGGGCCACTATTGCTGGTGCTTCTGGTGCTTGTTTGTTGGCTAGCAAGGTGAATGTTTGTTTTTATATGTGATTTCTTTGTTTTATGGGTTGGTGATAGAGAGATTATGAATCTAAACTTTTGCTTCCACGACAAGGTTATTGCAGACTAATATGTTGGCTGCTGGACTTGCATCTGCCAATCTTGTACTTTATGCGTTTGTTTATACTCCGTTGAAGCAACTTCACCCTATCAATACATGGGTTGGTGCTGTTGTTGGTGCTATCCCACCCTTGCTTGGGTAAATTGTTGCTCCTTTTCTTCTTTGTTTAAGTAGATTCTGTTTTGCAACGGTTGCATACTGCTTTTCATTCAAAATGGAGTCATGGTTTGCTAAATCTATGTTTATCTATTTTGGGTTTTTCAGGTGGGCAGCAGCGTCTGGTCAGATTTCATACAATTCGATGATTCTTCCAGCTGCTCTTTACTTTTGGCAGATACCTCATTTTATGGCCCTAGCACATCTCTGCCGCAATGATTATGCAGCTGGAGGGTAAGACCGTATGGTTTCATATGAGATTAGAATATCTCCTTCCATGTAGTGTTAATCTTGAACTAGTTCAATTCCGTTGAATGATCCCAGTGTCATAGATAGTGTCACAGTAGTCGACTTTGTGGTGGCTAGATAATGAGTTCTTTCCGCTTAGAAATGAACATTCACGAATATTGCAACCGCAACCCAACTTCTGATTATGTGTCTTGTTACCTTGTTTTCAGTTACAAGATGCTGTCGCTCTTTGATCCATCAGGGAAGAGAATAGCAGCTGTGGCTCTTAGGAACTGCTTTTACATGGTCCCTCTCGGTTTCATCGCCTACGACTGTGAGTCTTGTGGATTCATCTTTCTGTAGTTAGAAGACTGCACTACTGTTTCTGATTTTTGCTGTGTCTGTCCATTTTTGTGACAGGGGGATTAACCTCAAGTTGGTTTTGCATAGAATCATCACTTCTTACACTAGCAATCGCTGCTACAGCATTTTCATTCTACCGAGACCGGACCATGCAAAAAGCAAGGAAAATGTTCCATGCGAGTCTTCTCTTCCTTCCTGTTTTCATGTCTGGTCTTCTTCTACACCGTGTCTCTAATGATAATCAGCAACAACTCGTAGAAGAAGCTGGTTTAGCAAATGAAGTAAAACCTCTCAGGCGAAAGAAACGTGTGGCTCAACCTCCGGTGGCTTATGCTTCTGCTGCTCCGTTTCCTTTCCTCCCAGCTCCTTCCTTCTATTCTCCATAATAACCTTTGAGCAAGCTCTTGAATTTTTGAGGGAAGAAGTGAAAAAAATTTCTGAAAATTGTTCTTAAAGTTTAATCTTTGGTTAATAATGAAGTGGAGAACGCAAACAAGTTTTTTTTTTTTTATCTCCACATAATTGTATTTTTTTTCTAAGTATGTTTTCATATGATACAAAATACATACTTTGTCTGGTTAAACAAGATTCTTGTCTTCGTCAAACTGATGGGATTTTTGAAGCTTTTATACCCATGTCTTGGGTCTTCTTATAAACGAATTTGGTTCGCTTTTGGTTTAAGCAATGAAATTCGAGAACCGATGGTGGTAGAGTTAAACTATTAAACCGGATTGGTTAAAGGTCTCGACGGCTGTGAAAATCGGAAATCAGGATTGAGGACATTGAGCTGCCGCGAAGATGGCGATGAGGTTGAAATCAATGGCGACTTTACCGAAATTGATTCAAAGTATGAGAAAAGAAGTTCCTAAGCATTCTAATCCTGTTTTGCCATCTCTGAGACGAGCTTTTTCCCTCTATGATCAGATCAATCTCATTGACAATGTTCCTGAAGACCAGCTTCGCTTCCAAGAGTAAATCAAAATTCAAGCTTTTTCTCTTGTTGTTCGTCGGTTCTTTTGAATTTTCCCGACTGTTTCTGGGTTTGATTTAATGAATGATTAGGTTTTTGGAATTGGAACAGTCTAAATCTGTGGTGGTTGATTCTCTTTACCTAATTTGCAGATTTAATGATACGAGTTTCACTGTGAATGGAGTCAAATACGAAGGAAGCTTACTCTGTGTAGGGAATTTGTTAATGTCATGGAGTCCTCGTAAATTCTCAGAGATCACCACTGATAGGTAATGTTTCCCTCTTCTCTTATTAGGGAAATGTTCTTGAGCAATGTAGAGACTTCTTTAAGTGTTATTATCAGTCAATGTTTCTAAGTCCTAGATTCTAACCAATGTTCTGTCACAGCCTCATGTCGATTTTAGCCGATTATGTGTGACTGTGTTTGAGTGAAAGTTGTGCGCTTTTTAACAAAAGATTGGTTGAAGGTTTTCAATGTTTATTGTTATCAGAGGATTTGAAAGCTTTATCAATTTGAAGTGTTCTTTGCTTCTGTTGCTCTTATGAATGAATTCTGTTGTTAAGCAGTGGCTAAATGTTTGTACTTATCTATTTCCATGGATGCAGCTTGTCTATCTTCCAGACAGTTCGACCTATTCCAGGTAATATATTTGTTTTTATCGTCTTTTGTGTTCCCAAGAGTAATCAGTTCAGATAGATTCACGTACTTGCAACAAGAAACTAGATGATACATTAACATGTGAAAATAAAACCGTATTATTACCTCTGGTTAATTAATGTTTGCTGCATATTAGCTTCAATCTCAGGTCTTATTAGATATTCTAAACTAATAATTGAACTGTGTTAACTAATCCTCCAGAGCTCTTGATTGTTGGTTGTGGAAGAGACATTCACCCGGTAACTCCCGAAGTCCGTCAGTTTGTGAAGTCTCTTGGCATGAAACTAGAAACAGTTGATTCTGTAAGTTTCTTAATCCATTACAGGCTTCTTCTCTAGTCCCAAGCTTACTTCATAATTTTCTTATGTGCTTATATCGATTACTTGAATTCAGAGAAATGCTGCATCAACTTACAACATTCTGAATGAAGAAGGAAGAGTAGTTGCTGCGGCATTGCTTCCATATGGAGTTACATCCTAAAGAAAACTAACAACTCAAAGTTCCATCTTTCTAAACTGTAAATGATTTTTGAGACTTTCCTCGGAATCTCTTCCAAAAATAAACCGAATTTCATCGGAGTTTTTCTTGTGTTTGAGCTATATAACAAACGTTGTAACATCGGGCGACTTTTTCTCTCATTTCTCATATTCCCAAAGATATATCTCCAGAGACTCTATTGTAGCAATGAATGAGATTTCAAGATTCTGAGTGTTTGGTTATAGAGAAATCAATTACAGTTATATTTTTAACGGAAATCGTTACGGTAAGTTGAAAACTTAGAAATGACATTTTTGAGTATATAAAGAAGAAGAAGAGTCATTTCTTGTAGTCAAATTCGTATCTCGCGGGCAAGAAGAAGAAAAGACTGCTTTTACTGTGTTAAGCGCTTTTCTCAAAACCCTAAAATCTCTCTCCGGATCCAGTTCTCGAACATGGCGTCTATTGTTCAACCATCGCCTACTTTTCCGGCGCTAAATCTCCGGCGTTCTTCTCTGATTCGTCCTCCTTCTTCCGTTCGATTTCCTCTTGTAAGTCTCCTCTATTTCTCTCACTCTCCGACTCTATCTTTCTATTTGGTATCTGTAGTTTATACAGTCTTCGCTCGAATCTGATGAATCTTGTTCTCGATTGTTTCTGTTGGTTGTGGAATTGAAGAAATGTAACGCGGCGGATCCGTACAAGTTCGACGGCGGAAACTCCGCCGGTTTCCATCTGCTTACAGGCGACACCGTTCCCGCTAGCTTTTCGAGGTCTCGTTTGGAAGATTCGATTTACCAGAACACCACACGACTTCGTATCTTTTCCGGCACTGCTAATCCTATTTTGGCTCAGGTTCGTTCTTAACTTTGTTAATTGCAAGATTAGTAGCTTGGAACTGAAAATTTAGTCTAGGAGGAAGAAACTGATATAGACTTCGGATAGGTCTTTAAGTGCAGGAATTAGTAGCTTGAAACTGGAGATTTCTTCTGTTGCTTCTTAAACGATTAGGAAGAAATTGGTTTAGAGTAAATTCTGGGATCGTCTTGTTTGTTCATTGGGTGTTTTACTCTGATACAGGAGATTTCTTGCTATTTGGGTCTCGAGCTTGGGAAAATCAAGATTAAACGGTTTGCTGATGGTGAGATCTATGTTCAGCTGCAAGAGAGTGTAAGGGGATGTGATGTGTTCCTTGTACAGCCTACTTGCCCACCTGCAAATGAAAACCTTATGGAATTGCTCGTTATGATTGATGCTTGTCGGAGAGCATCAGCCAAAACCATCACGGCTGTTATTCCTTACTTTGGTTATGCACGAGCTGATAGAAAGGCAAGTCTTCTTTGAAAACTAAAGAATCTGTCTTGGAATCAATCTTTCTGTCAAAGCATTACATCTTCGTGTACATGTATAATGGTTTGTTTCCAAGAGTAATCAACTCAGTTGAAGTAATATCTATGGGTAGTTAGTATTTACAAGTATTCAAACTGGCAACTTAGTTTTCTGTATGGATTTGATCGATTGTCTCATTCCTATGGCTTCATTTAGTTTCTAGTTGAGAGTTTTCATTCGACTCTTTCGTTCTACAAATTCTTGCAGACTCAAGGACGTGAATCGATTGCAGCCAAGCTTGTGGCCAATTTGATTACACAGTCTGGTGCAGACCGTGTCCTTGCTTGTGATCTTCACTCCGGACAGTCTATGGGCTACTTTGATATTCCAGTCGATCATGTTTATGGCCAGGTAAAAAACAGGTTTCTATCTTAAATGATTCCTCAGAGCATCGAGTTCATTTTGTGAAAATTGATTTTCTTATGTCTCCTTTTCCTTGTGCTTAATATTCATGAACAGCCTGTCATACTTGATTACCTAGCAAGTAAGGCCATATCCTCTGAAGATTTGGTGGTAGTTTCACCTGACGTTGGTGGCGTTGCAAGAGCTCGTGCTTTTGCCAAGAAGTTATCTGATGCACCTTTAGCAATAGTTGATAAAAGACGTCATGGGCACAATGTTGCAGAGGTAAAAACCCATTGGCAGATACATTTTAACCAAGAGTGGATTTGAAATTTAACAACCCGTTTCATGTAGGTGATGAACTTAATCGGGGATGTTAAGGGGAAAGTAGCCATAATGGTGGATGACATGATTGACACAGCGGGTGAGTAAATAAGTCACGTGCTGCAGAAAAATCTTTAAACACTCTCCATTATGCTTAGATACTAACGTTAGTTATATCATATCAGGAACCATAAGCAAAGGTGCGGCTCTGTTACACCAAGAAGGAGCAAGAGAAGTATACGCTTGTACCACTCATGCTGTTTTTAGGTAAGTCTATGAAATATTTTCTGTGTTGGAATCGTAAACAGAGAAAGAAGCTTATAATATGCATTTGCTGTGTCTATGATTCGGAAACAGCCCTCCTGCAATCAGTAGACTATCGAGTGGACTGTTTCAAGAGGTGATCATAACCAACACGATTCCATTGTCAGAGCAGAACTATTTTCCTCAGCTTACAGTTCTCTCAGTAGCAAACCTTCTTGGGGAGACCATATGGCGTGTTCATGATGATTGCTCTGTGAGTAAACATAAACACTGCTTCAAATGCAATTTTTGTTTTAAGAGAAATTTTGGCTCTAATAAAGTTTTTTTTTTTATATATTCTCAGGGAGCCATTGAGCCATTTTCGACGTTGGGGATTGATTGAGTGATGGAAAAAGGGTAAAGAATGGACTTATAGCCTCTCAGTAGTATGAATTTCTGATGATGTACAAATTCTTTTCTGCTGTAAAAATGTTACTTGAGTGTGATTGTTAAGAACGGAACACTTTTGTAGAGAAGAAGATTAATGAAACCACGTTTTCAAACTTTTTAAGAATACATTTTTCTTGGTCAATTATGATCCAATCATGTAGAAAATAGTTTCCAGTTCAAGATCAATTATTTCTGAAATATATTGGTTTTAACTTTTAACTATCAATTATATTTAATTTCCAAGCCAAATTACATTTAGACCTAGATCAATGAACAGCCTAGGACTTATATAAGATAACAAGGCCTAAAGCAGTATACTCAAATTTGCAAAACAAGGAGAGACAAAATTAAGCAACGAGGGCCAAGACACCAACAAGCGGAGCAGCAGTGACCGTCGCAGGCTCAGCTTGCTGGAAATTAGTCCTCTCATCTCCATAAACATCTTTATCGTCGGGTCCTCCGACAACTGCTCCCGCTAAAACGTTAGGGTTTGGTGCAGGATTGTTAAACCATGCATTGAACCCTCCACTACAAGTCACTGGTGTTTTGTCCTTGTGTATCGATACTATGGAGGCTGCTCTATGGTGTGGTTTTTTGGGATAATTGGTCCCAACTCCAACCATGTAGCTCATGTTCTTGGGGTTCGACCCAAGTATATAGTCAACCTATATAACATGACGAAATCGCAAATTAGTAAATATTATATTGAAAACTTGATATCTTTTCAAGAACATGTCTTATGGTTGATACTATATTAGGTTTTATTAACTACCTGGGAACGAGCGAGGTGGAGAAGATCAGAAGCTTGAAGAGCACCATCGGGACAGTTGATGGAGGCTTTTGCGGCTTCAAGATATTTAGAATATGCTGAGAGGACGAAAGTAGCGGCTGTGGTGTATTGGAGGTTGTTCCACGGCAAGAAGTAGAGCAAACCGCCAGGGGTTTTCTTAACGTTGTTGTCACCTTTTTGAGCACAGTTGCAGATAAAGTGCTCCGCCATACTCTTGTACTCTGTGATCTCTTCACTGCTCTCTACTTTCCCTTCAAGTGCAAGCTGCATTTGCAAAATTTTGTATTATATTTGTTTCTTGTCAAATAAGTTAGTGATATGTTTCTTTAGTGAAATAGTCGTAACCTACCTTGGCGACCAAAACTTGTGCACCCACGAACTTATCATCCCAGGCAAAAACAGTCCTTGGACCTCCTGTTTCTGCTTGTGTTAGGTAATCAAGATAAATCTGGTCGTTGGTGGCACGGTGGAGCCAAGCTGCAGCCCACAGCAACTCATCTTCGTATCCACTGCTCGCGTAGAAGCCACCCGCGTTAGGAATGGACTTTTGGTAAACGCCAGGGTGACCCTTAGCGAATGCAAATAAATCTTTTGCATGACCAATGAGTATGTTGGCATAGGCTTTATCAGATGGTGCAAAGGCGATAGACGCTGCAGCCATTGCTGCAGCTGTCTCACCTGCTAGGTCAGAACCTGGATGTTGAGCATCGATGCGAAATGAAGGACGCGGAGTGGTCATATCCTCAGGTCTCATCCAGCATTTGTGGTCCGAGTTTCCCTCACCCACTTGTCCGTACAGGATATTGGGCTCAGGATGAGCTTTAATGAGATAATCGGTGGCCCACTTGAGAGCCCTGAGAGAGTTTCCCTTCTCGTGGTGGGCCCTAAGCTGTGATGCCATCTCTATATTGCTCCAAGCTAGCATTGTTGTCGTGAACGCCAACGGAAATCCAAACTTCATGTTGTCTCCGGCATCATAGTACCCTCCGGTGAGATCAATCTATACATTTTTACAAATAGCAAATATTTTAGTTGAACTTGATAAACATACATTACAAAAAAAAAAAGGGATTGAGTTTTAAATTACATGAGCATCAGAACCGTCTCTAAGAGCAGAATCTCCTCTCCAAGTAACTCTTTGGTTCAAAGGCAATTTTCCAGAACGTTGAGCTTCGAAATACAAAAGACTGTTTCTGAGAGCTTCTCCATAATTTGTAGAGACAGCTTCACGAGCCATCGACATTACTATTAACACAATGCAAATACTTGTCCATAAGCATTGTGAAGATCCATTTTTCAATTGAGACATTGTTTTTTCACTTAATCTTTAGACGATCTCAAGACCAGTTGTACAATTGATTTTACTTTTTCTTGTGTTTGGCATGTCTATGTATTCAACTATTTATAGAGAATCTATATAAGATGGAGTCCATGGCTAGTTAAGGACTTACTCAACAATATGTTGTAGCCTGTTATTCAACTAAGAATTTTAGAAAACTTTGGTTTTTCTTTAAAATCTCATGTTATTCAACTATTGAGTTCTAAATATCTTTCCAAATCCTATGTTATTGAACATGAAACTTATGTAAAATCATTCAAAATCATTTACAATTTCTTGTTATTGAATTCCATTTATAAAAGTCATATGAAATCCATTGTTATTCAAAATTTCATAAATTTGTTAAGAAAGAGCTTTGGACAGGATTTTAAGAGACTTTATTTACAATTTTAGTTGAAAATAGTGATAAAAAAAATTACACCTCTAGATAGGGATGTCAAATGGGCCTGATGACCATGGGATAGACCAGTCCAAGTTATAATGGTTTGGTGATTGTCATGCCCAAAATCGAACTGGTCAATATGGGTTAGAAACTCATTTAGAACACAAACAAATAGGAAAAAATTATCTGGACATGGATGTCCAATAAGCCTTAAAAATTAAGGCTACTAATTTGGGAGTTTTTTTTTTTTTGGTCATTCCTTAAAAACTATAGTTAAAAAAGGGTTGGATTTGGGAAATTGACTGAGAATTTTAAGTGGAAAAACCTTCCCCGGAGAATTTATGAGATATCGATTAGGCGGTGACGTTAGTAGTGGCAGGATTCATCACAAGGACATCAACGTTGGTTTAGGGTATATTTTGTGTTAGTGTTGTCTTTGGGAATTAAAGCCTTAATTGATCCTAAACTATCTAAATTTGTAGAGAAGAAGATTAATGGAACCAGCTTTTCAAACTTTTAAGGATCCATTCTTTATTTTGTCAATTTGGATCCAGTCATGTAGAAGATAGTTTACTGTTCAAGATTAATTATTTCTGAAATATTGGTATTAACTATCAAATATATTTTATTTTAAAGCCAAATTACATTTAGACCTTAAACCTAGATTAAAGAACAACCTAGGACTTATCTAAGATAACAAGGTCTAAAGCAATATACTCAAATTTGCAAAACAAAGAGAAAGATTAAGCAACGGCCGCCAAGACCCCAACAAATGGAGCAGCAGTGGCCGGCGCAGGCTCAGCATGCTGGTAATCAGTCCTCTCATCTCCATAAACATCGTTATCGTTGGGTCCTCCGACAACTGCTCCCATTAAAACGTTAGGATTTGGCGCAGGATTGTTAAACCATGCATTGAATCCTTCACTACACGTCACTGGTGTGTTGTCCTTGGTGATCGATACTATAGAGGCTGCTCTATGGTGTGGTTTTTTGGGATAATTGGTCCCAACTCCAACCATGTAGCTCATGTTCTGGGGGTTCGACCCAAGTATATAGTCTACCTATATAACATGTTGTAGAAATCACACATTAATATTATATGAACATGTCTTATGGTTGGTACTATATCAGGGTTAGTTAACTACCTGGGAACGAGCGAGGTCGAGAAGATCAGAAGCTTGAAGAGCACCATTGGGACATTGGATGGAGGCTTTTGCGCCTTCAAGATATTTTGAATATGCTGAGAGGACGAAAGAAGCGGCTGTGGTGTATTGGAGGTTGTTCCACGGCAAGAAGTAGAGCAAACCGCCGGGGGTTTTCTTAACGTTGTTGGAACCTTTTTGAGCACAGTTGCAAATAAACTGCTCCGCCATACTCTTGTACTCTGCGATCTTTCCATTGCTCTCTACTTTCCCTTCAAGTGCAAGCTGCATTTGCAAAACTTTGTGTTATGTGTGTTTCTTGCAACATAAGTTAGTGATATGTTTTCTTTAGTGAAATATTCATCACCTACCTTGGCAACCAAGACTTGTGCACCCACGAACTTATCATCCCAGGCAAAAACAGTCCTTGGACCTCCTGTACCAGATGCCTTTGTTAGATAATCAAGATAAATCTGGTCGTTAGTGGCACGGTGGAGCCAAGCTGCAGCCCACAACAACTCATCTTCGTATCCACTGCTCGCGTAGAAGCCACCCGCGTTAGTAATGGAGTTTTGGTAAATGCCAGGATACGCCTTAGCGAATTCAAATAAATCTTTCGCATGACCAATGAGTATTTTGGCATAGGCTTCATCAGATGGTGCAAAGGCGATAGACGCTGCAGCCATTGCTGCAGCTGTCTCACCTGCTAGGTCTGAACCTGGATGTTGAGCATCAATGCGAAATGAAGGACGTGGAGTGGTCATATCCTCAGGTCTCATCCAGCATCCGTGGTCCGAGTTTCCGTCGCCCACTTGTCCGTACAAGACATTGGGCTCAGGATGGGCTTTAATGAGAAAATCGGTGGCCCACTTGAGAGCCGCGAGGGCGTTTTCCTGTTCCTGATGGGCCTTTAGCTGTGATGCCATCTCTATATTGCTCCAAGCTAGCATTGTTGTCATGAAGGCCAACGGAAATCCAAACTTCATGTTGTCTCCGGCATCATAGTACCCTCCGGTGAGATCAACCTATTCATTTTTAAAGTTAGCAAATATTTTACTGGAATTTGATAGATATACATTACAAAAACAAAAAGATTTGAGTTTTAAATTACATGAGCATCAGAACCGTCTCTAAGCGCAGAATCTCCTCTCCAAGTAACTCTTTGGTTCGGAGGCAATTTTCCAGAACGTTGAGCTTCGAAATACAAAAGACTCTTTGTGAGAGCTTCTCCATAATTTGTAGAGACAGCTCCATGAGCCGTCGACATTACTAGTAACACAATGCAAATACTTGTCCATAAGCATTGTGAAGATCCATTTTTCAATTGAGACATCGCTTTTTCAATGAATCTTTAGACGATCTCGAGAGCAATTGTACAATTGATTTTACTTTTTCTTGTGTTTGGCTTGTCTATGTATATGTATGTAGCCAACTATATATAGAGAATCTAAAAGATGGAATCCATAGCTAATTAAGGATCATTAACATTAGTATTTCTTACTCAAAATTGTGTTAGCTAAAATTGTTGTAGCCTAAATCTCATCATATTAGACATCTTCTAATTAATCCTAATAGATATAGATAAAACCATAAGATTGCGAACTAAAATTAGTTAGGCTATCTTCTTAAAATATACTCCTTCTATTTTTCTTATGTAAATACATACCTACATATATCTAAAATTAATCTTATCCTTTTTTTTTTAAGTTTCTTTCTATCCATAGTATTAATGTAGAATTTACAGCTTTTGGCATAAAATGTACAATATTTTTTGGATACAATGTAGAAGATGTTTTTTTTTTCCATAATTTTTAATCATTTATTGATTTTCTTGTTGAATCACAGTATCTTTATACAATAAAATTTAGATTTCTTTGATTATTTTATTATTATTTCCTTATGGCGATCAAATTAATTGAAGACAATTTAACAACTTTCTTAAGAAGCCAATGCGATAAATTTTAAACCAAACTAGACTTAACCAGACCTTAGCCGAACTGAAATCACTTAATTAATCTGAAAACAGAGAGCTTCGAAACAGAGTAAAAACCTAAGTCTCCAAAATGTCTCACTAAATCAAGTAATTTTAACAATCAAATTTTGTTTCTCTACCCTTAGACCTAAAACGTTAGTCGCTAGAGCGTCTTAGGGAAATGTAGTCCAAAGAAAATAATATTAGCTAGAAACAAAAAGAGATAATAATTAAGGTCATGCAATGGCAGCCAGAACACCAACCAAAGGAGCAACCGTGACGGTATCAGGCTCGTCGTGCTGAAAATCAGACCGTTCATCTCCGTAAGCATCGTACTCGTCCGGTCCACCTACAATTGCTCCAACCAAAACATTAGGATTCGGTTTAGGGTTGTTGTACCAAGCTTCAAACCCTCCATTGCATGTCACCGGTTTAGGATCATTCTTGATTGACACTATAGAAGCTCCTCTATGGTGTGGTCTTTTAGGATAATTGGTCCCGTATCCAACCATGTAGCTCATGTTCTTGGGGTTTGACCCAAGTATGTAGTCTACCTATTACATAGACCATGTAAAAGAAATTTGTTATGTTAAATCGCTTAAAGTCATAAACCATGAATCAGCACAACAAATCCTAATAACTATGAAGATACTTATAGGTGGTGTCTCCATTCTTTGTATATGTTATTGAGAATTATGTCTTGACGATTCTCAAAACTTAATTGAATTTATAAAGGTGAAAAAACGAATGCCAGCCTAACCTGGGCCCGAGCTAGGTTAAAAAGATCAGCAGCTTGAAGGACACCACCATTGGGGCATTGAATCGATGTTTGTGCAGCTTCGAGGTATTTAGCATAAGTGACTAAGGCGAAAGAAGCGGTGGCTGTGTATTGGAGGTTGTCCCACGACAAGAACCAGAGCAAACCTCCTGGAGTCTTTTTAACGTTGTTGAAACCCTTTTGAGCACAGTTGCAGATGAATTGCTCTGCCATACTCTTGTACTCTAACATCTTCCCTTCGTTCTTCACTTTCCCTTCAAAAACAAGCTAACATTTGCAAAAGAGTTAGTAAAGTGTCGCGTAAGTAACGTCATGGTCTGTTTTAGGTAACATACGTAACCTACCTTGGCTACCAAGACTTGTGCTCCCAAGAACTTATCGTCCCACGCGAAAACGAACCTCGCACCTCCCTTATTAGAAGCTTGTGTTAGATAATTGAGATATGTCTGGTCTCCAGTGGCACGGTGAAGCCAAGCCGCGGCCCACAGTAACTCATCTTCGTAACCGCTACTAGGGTAAAAGCCACCCGCGTTAGGAATGGAGTAATGATAGACCCCACGGTATTCCTTAGCGAATTCAAATAGATCTTTTGCATGACCAATAAGTGTTTTGGCGTAGGCTGCATCAGATAGCGCAAAGGCCAAAGAAGCTGCAGCCATCGCTGCTGCTGTCTCACCCGCGAGATCAGTACCAGGATGCTGAGCATCAATGCGGTATGAAGGACGCGGAGTAGTCATATCCTCGGGTCTCATCCAGCAGGCATGGTCCAAGTTGCCATCACCCACTTGTCCGTACAGGACATTGGGCTCAGGATGGGCTTTAATGAGATAATCGGTGGCCCACCTGAGAGCCGCGAGGGTGTTTTCGTGCTCATGGTGGGCCTTAAGCTGTGATTCCATCTCTACACTACTCCAAGCTAGCATTGTTGTCGTGAACGCCAAAGGAAAACCAAACTTCATATTATCTCCGGCATCGTAATACCCTCCAGTGAGATCAATCTATTTTTACAATTAGCAAACATTTTACTTCAAGTACTAAATATTCATTACAGAAAGAGAAAAATGGAATAAAAAGGATTAGATATTAAAATTACATGAGCATCAGAACCATCTCTGAGTGCAGAATCTCCTCTCCAAGTAACTCTTTGGTTCGATGGCAATTTTCCAGAGCGTTGAGCTTCAAAATACAAAAGACTTTTCGTGAGAGCTTCTCCATAATTTGAATTTGCAGAAATTGCTCCACGAGTAATCGATAATAATAATAGTAACACGATGCAAATGCTTTTGATTGTGATGAAGCATTGTGATGATACACAAGACATTGTTGTTGTAATCTTTTGTTGCTAACAAAAGATTATACGTATATATATAGTATATATTCGTATCTACATATATAATCAATATATATACTTCCTTATACAAACGTATCTATATAATTGATACGTGATCCCTTTTTTACTATATACACAATGCATATAATTAATGAGCGGTATCAGAAAAAAATCGTGATCCTATTTTCACTATATAGACTATAGAGGATGTATCTATCTAATAATCAATGAGCGGCACCAGAAAATATCGTGATCCATGAGAGGAAATATATTTTTCTGATTCTAAACAATTAATAGGTTACTCTGAAGATCAATGTACTCAATCTTCATGGAATAGGCAACATATTTGAAAAAAAAACTTTCTGATTTTTTTCCCCTTATTTTATGGCAAAGAAACTGATTAACAAGAATAGGTTAGAACTTTATCTAATTAGTTGTAACATGTAGTTTATATAGTGTGGTTTGTCAAACCCATGTATATCGTTGACAAAAAGTAATTTTCATTTAATTTCCAATCTAACTATATTGTTGGATCTTTAATTACTTATTGCCTAAGGATTTTTTTTTTTTCCAGAACAAGGATATTGGTGATGTCCTTTTTATGATATCAGAATTTGTTTTCCTCATTTTTGTAGTTGTTCTTTTCTTTCATCACACGTAATGCCAATATTTTGGGGGATTCTTTGGCCGTTAACTTTAGTCATAAATTATTCTGTCGATATTGCTTCTAAAGGGGTTTTGCAATTAAATTAAGTAGTTAACCAAGAAAACATATCTACTTCTTTGTTTTGTTTTATTCGTAAAACCAACAATTGATAGACCAAAACCACTTGTTGGAGACAAAGAGCAACTTTATTGGGTGGTGGATTAGATATAGTGGGTAAGACATTTTCTAAAGTTAATGAAGAATTTTTGTGGATGAGGTAATGTCGAATGTATATGATTCTCTAATTCATAACATGGTGTGTTTGTATATTTTTGGTCACCAACATATCGGACTTTAATCCGAATTTCATGTTGTCATCATTTGGCGAATTATACAGTCAATTATTTATTCTCTGAGAGTGACAAGAACAATGAAATTATGAATGAATACGTTGATTAGTTTGACGAAAAAAGAAAAAGAATAAATACACTGATTACTTAATTAAAAAAAATGGACCTAAATTCTAAGAAATTGATAAACTCGTTTCTTAGTCTTAATTAATTATAAACTCGTTTCTTAGTCTTAATTAATTAATTATAATTAAATGTTTGCGTCCTACGCGTCTGAGATGATTCCTTTGGTGAACATCTCAATAACGCCGGGAGGAACAAAAAGCGCCACCAGAGGATTTCCCGGCGGCACCGGCGGTATCTCAGCTCTACACAAAGGACACGTGGACTTCTTCTCTAGCCACGGATCGATGCAATCGGCGTGGAAACAGTGATTGCACGTCGTTATCCGCCTCATCTTCTCTCCCGCCGCCGCATCTTCGAGACAAATCGTACAATACGGTGACGAATGTTTTTCCTCCGCCGTGGTTTTTCTCCATCTCCGGCGATGTTGGACCGTGAATGTACGGTAACGACGCCAAGGACGGCTGGCGAGGAAACAAGCGAATCTAAAGAAGAGTCTGAGAGTGAAGACGACGACGGAGGCGATGATGACTGATTCGGCAATGAATTCAGAGAATCTAATCACAGATTCAATAAACATTCTCGAGAAAATTAATAAAGTTTGTTCTCTCGAGACTCGAGGAGATTATGGCACAAGTAACGATGCTCTGTTTTGTGTAGCTGTAATATATAAGGTTTGTCTTGATGGAATCGACGGTCTTGATTTAATCACGTGGGATTATTTGGATTAATTGAACGTTGATGATTTATTTGTTTTATATAGTTTGTGTAGTGTGGTAGTTTCGAAGCACGTACTAATAACTAATCCAACTTCGACTTTAACCGTCAATTTTGATCAAATTCTTCCTAAATTTGACTTTGTTATATAATCATTAACTATTTCCACTATTGGTCTACATTCAGATTCTCGAGACTACATGTATGCTAGACTTTCTAGTATTAAACAATGTTAAAATTAAATAGAGAGACAAATTGAGATTGGCTTTTATGTTTGAATTTTTGGGAGTTAGTCAAAATTAAGTTAGTTTATTAATTTGTGAAGGTCGTTTTATAATTAAGAGTTTGGTGCAACAATCTCTCCCTAAGAACAAAAAAAAAAAGAGTTAACGTAGTCCATTTTTCTACAACTACATTCAAACAAAGTAACAAAACCACAAAGTCTCTTGCTCTAGGCAAAACAAATAACATGTTTTCCATTTATATAACGTTGTACAGTATAATTACGAGACATGACAAATACTTGGCCTAAAGAGACAACCAGATACAGGGCCAAGTCTCTTCAATTTTGGCCCCAGCCAATAAATATAGGCAAGTGCCGACCAAAACAAAAACAAATAGGTAGGAAATTGGATGATCTGATCTGTGTGACATGTAATTTCATAAACTATAACATCTACCACTTCTAAAATCAACTTACATAAACACAAATTGTATAACAAAGGATCCAAATGTTTAGAAATAGAGAAACTATCTTATCTTGCACTAAAGAAAAGGTGGTGCATCAGCTTTAGGTTGTGCTCTGCGTGTGTATTTCAGAAGCAAACCTTCCATAGAAAGTCTATGAACATGAAGATCCCTGCAAATAACAGTAAAATCCAAATCAATTCATAAATAAATAAATAAATAAAAGAACCATCTTCTGATGAAATCTTTCAAGTTTCAACACAAGTCTTTCCATTCCCATTTTGATCTATGCATGTTTAAAGAGTAATGAAAACCGTTCTTCTGGAATAACCCCTATAGGCTATAGTTATAACTCTTTTCTCACTATTATAGTTATAACTACTTTTTAATACTTTTGACGGATTCTTTGGCCGTTAACTTTTACTTTAGTCATAAACTTTTAATATTGTCGATCTTGCTTTTTTTTTTTTTGCTTCTGTTTTATTAGTTTGGTAAAACCTTCCATCATTTGATAGACTAAAACCACTTGTTGGAGACAATATAGCAACTTTATTGGGTGGTGGGTTAGAGTGGGTAAGAAAAATTTTAAAGTGGTGGAAAAAACAAACCCTAGCTAGGAATGTACTTGTATTAATTAAAAAAACAAATTTTATAAACACTAATTAATACTGTCATTTTCTAATGTGGTGACGAAATTTTGTGGATGAGGTAATGTCGAATATATATGACTCTCTACACTCTTATGGTGGAGGTTCTTTTTTTCTGGTCACCAACATATATATTGGAGTTTTATCTAAATTTCATGTTGTGTTAATTCTTTATCATTCGGCGAATTATACAGTAAATATTATTTGATAAGAAAATATCCAACCGACACATATTTTGTCTTAATGTTTGTGATGACGAAAGAGAAGCTAAAGTCCTACGCGTCGGAGATCATTCCTTTGGTGAACATCTCAATCACGCCGGGTGGCACAAAAAGCGCCACCAGAGGATTTCCCGGCGGCACCGGCGGTATCTCAGCTCTACACAAAGGACACGTGGACTTCTTCTTCAACCACGGATCGATACAATCAGCGTGGAAACAGTGATTGCACGTCGATATCCTCCTCATCTTTTCTCCTGCCGTTGCATATTCGAGACAAATCGTACAGTACGGTGATGAATGTTTTTCCTCCGCCGTGGTTTTTCTCCACCTCCGGCGTTGATGGACCGTGAATGTACGGTAACGACGCCAAGAACGGCTGGCGAGGAAACAAGCGAATTTAAAGAAGAGTTTGAGAGAGAAGACGACGACGGAGACGATAATGATGGATTCGGCGATGAAATGAGAGAATCTAATCACAGTTTCAACAAACATTCTCGAGAAAATGTTTGGAGATTATGGCACAACAACTAATAAAGCTGTTTGTGTAGTACATATATAAGGTTTCTCTTGATGAAATCGACGGTCTTTATTTAACCACGTTGTATTTTATATATTATTTTGTTTGTAGTTTCGACGCATATATATACTAACTAATCCAACTTCGATTTATTATTCATCGTCAATTTTAATGTAATATAATCATTAATAATTTCCACTACTTTGGTATAGATTCGAATTGTCGATACCACATTGGTGCTAGGATTAAACAATACTAAAATGGAGAAATCTAAGGTTTCGCTTTGTTTGGATTTTTGGGGTTAGTAAAAATTAAATTAGTTTATTAATTTGTAAAGCTCTTTAGTTAAGAGAACAAGAGTTGGTGCAAGTGCAACAATCCCTCCCCAAGAACAGTAAAAACAAAGTTAACGTAGTCCATTTTTCTACTACTACATTCAAACAAAGTAACAAAACCAAAGTCTCTTGCTATGCACAAAACAAGTAACATGTTTTTTATTTAGTTAGTTCTTTATTCAACGTTGTACTGTATAATTAGGAGACATGACAAAGACTAGGCCTAAAAAGACAACCAGATCCAGGGCCTAATCTCTTCAATTTTGGGCCCAGCCAATAAATATAGTTTTAAACAATTAGGTAAGAAACTGGATGATCTGTGACCTGTAATTTCACTTCTAACATCAACAAATAACACAAAACAAAGAAGCCAAAAGGTTTAGAAATAGAGAAGCTATCTTATCTTGCACTAAAGACAGGTGGTGCATCAGCTTTAGGTTGTGCTCTGCGTGTGTATTTCAGAAGCAAACCTTCCATAGAAAGTCTAGGAACATGAAGATCCCTGCAAATAACACAAAGAAAACCCAAATCAATTCATAAATCGAAAAACACATCTTCTGATGGAATCTTTCAACACAAGATTTGTTCAATTACCTTAGGTAAGGCTCTAAGTCTTTCCATTCCCATTTTGATCTATGTTTAAAGAGTACTGAAAACCGTTCTGCTGGAGTTGAAGGCAGAGAGCGTACGCTGAATGTATAAACCCGTGTTTCGATCCCGATTTTCTCTGTTAAAACCTCTCCTTCAAGCATCTCAAATCTTTCTTCCATCCCATCTGGTATTTTCTTCTTCCACTCTTCCATGAAACTCTCAAGTCTCATCTTTTCTTCTCTCAGTATCTGTCTAGCAAAGTGCAAACATACAAGCCTTGGTTCCAACTTCCACTTATCAGTTTCGTTAACTTTAGAGCCAAACACGCGCAAGCAGTGACTCGCTAGTTGACTAGGAAACTCATCAGCTACTAACGCATCCACAACTTCATCTTCATCGAGATCATCAAACGACCAATCTTTCAATACACAGTTATGAAGGAGCATTCTCAGAATCACGTCTAGGTAATTCTCATCTATAACCCTCCAGTAACCATCAATCTCAATAGCAGAAAGACTCTGCAATCCATTGCGTAACTCCTCATCACTCGCTTGTACCGTGTTAACCAAATCACTCCATGTATACAACGCAAGATCCCTCTTCCCATTATGGTCTAAATCATCATCAATATCCATCATAGCTTCTACATCACCAGCACCAAAAGGATTTGCCAAGAGAATCTGCTTAAGTTTATCAAGCCTAGGAGAAACCTCAACAAGTTCCATATTACCAGGAGCGATTTTGAGAACCGATACAAGCGGTTTATCGTTGTTGTTGGTATCAGAAACTTGCGCATCTCCAGGACAAATTGATGGAGGAGGAATAAGGAACATGGAATTAGAATTACCAACAAATTTGATAGCATAAGTCTTAGACTTGGTGCAAAGAACAGCATCTTCATCAGGAAGTCCTCTCAATGTCACCCTGAAGACAGAAAGATAACAAATTGAGAAACCCTTAAGACTCTAATAACACCAAATGGATACTAAATTAAGTAATCCTAAACAAAATTAAAACAAAACCAAGCTTCAAAATCGTACCTTTCATGGAAGATATCAGAGACGAGTTTGTCATCAGCTTCAAGAAGAAGTAGATCCTCATGAGGCCCAAAACATGGGTGATACGAAATTGGCACCGAAGAACCAAGTTTGAGATTTATGACTGCTTCAGCTCCTCCGATTCTCCCAATTTCTTCCATTACTATAAATCAAATGTCACGGGTAAGCGACGATTAAGCAGAGAAATCAGGAAATGTTTCCGAGAATAAAAATCAATGAGAGAAAGACAAAGGAATCAAACCTGATGCGAATAACGAATCGTATAGCTAGGGTTCGGATAACGAATCGCGAGGTTGAGGATGAGAGAGATGGAATCTTCTAGCTAGGGCTCTTCAGCAGAAGAGTTTCGCGCCTTGTTTCAGCCATTTTAGGCGCGTAGGTTTTAATTCACTTCTCAGGGCTCAAGGCCCATGTTAATGGGTCAGAGAAAAAGCCCAGCTACGAAAGCGTGTATTGTTTGAATTGTCTTCATGTAAACGTTTTCTGGTGTTTAGCATTCGTTTTTGCTATATAAAAGTTCATATTTTAGCATTCGGTTTAAATCCAAGTGAACTTTTTTTTTTTTTTGTAAGTTTTTAGCGGCGTAAAAGTTCACATTTTAATTTCACAGTTTGGATTTCGCGTTTGAAAGTTCACATTTTTTTCTTTTTTGGTTTTAAGACTTAATTTTTTTTACTACTTCGGTACTTCTTCTGTTTTATATAATGTATTTGATACTTTCTGGCTATTATATTTTTTGCAGTCTTTTTATAATTGGTTGAACTGATAATTTTTAAAAGATAAATTAAAATATTCCGTTATATATATTAGCGTTTTCGCATTTGACAATTCCAATTTTTTTATCTTTGGAATGGTCTTTAAGTAAACGTTTTGTGGTATTTGCGGTTTAAAATTGCCCATGTAAAAGGTTTTTCGGTTTTTAAGTGGTTTAAAAAGCTTGCATTTTAGCATTTCACAAATTGGTTTTCGCGTCTCTGTCCTTTTTTTGTTTTGCATTTAAACTTTATAGAGTATATTTTTTTTGTTGCTTTTGAATGTTTTTTCCATTGCTCTTGAATTTTTGGTCCCTAATGTGTTATTTTAAGTTTTTGCCAAGAATGTTTTTTTTTGTTTTTTGTATTTCGTGTTTAGACTAACGTGTTTAATATTTTTCCAATGCTTTTGAATTTTTATTTTTTTCATTCTTGATTTTTTTTTGTTCTTAATGTGTTATTTGATTTTTTGGTTAGTTTTCGACGTGTTAAAAATTTAATACTTAAACTAATTTTAAAAAATTTATAGTGAAATTAACATGGTTTTAGTTAAAAAATATTAATTAATTTTAAGTATAAAATTTGTTTTAAATTTTAGAAAAAATCATTATTATTTTTTAAAAAATGAGTTTAAGTGTTAAATCTATATAACGTGAAAACATGCCGAACTTCGAACACCAAAGCTTACGGACCAACTAAGGACGGGATGCCTAGGCGCGGTTAGTTTTCGACGTGTTCAAAATTTAACACTTAAACCAATTTTTTTAAAATAGTGAAATTAACATGGTTTTGGTTAAAAAAATTACTTTCTTAAAGTTTAAGTGTTAAAGTTTTAAAATTTTAAAGTCAAAATCATCATTATTTTTTAAATTGAGCTTAAGTGTTAAATCAATATAACGTGAAAACATGCCGAACTTCGAACACCAAAGCTTATGGACCAACTAAGGACGGGATGCCTAGGCGCGGTTAGTTTTCGACGTGTTCAAAATTTAACACTTAAACCAATTTTTAAAAAGTTTTAGTGAAATTAACATGGTTTTGGTTAAAAACATTATTTTCTTAAAGTTTAAGTGTTAAAGTTTTAAATTTTTAAAGTCAAAATCACTATTATTTTTAAAAATTAGTTTAAGTGTTAAATCTATATAACGTGAAAACATGCCGAACTTCGAACACCAAAACTTACGGACCAACTAAGGACGGGATGCCTAGGCGCGGTTAGTTTTCGACGTGTTCAAAATTTAACACTTAAACTAATTTTTTAAAAGTAATAGTGAAATTAACATGGTTTTGGTTAAAAACATTAATTATTTTTAAAAGTTCAAGTGTTAAATTTGTTTTAAATTTTATTGAAAATTATTATTTTTTTTTTAAATGTTTTAGTGATAGTTTTAAATTAATTAGTTTTAGTGTTACTTAAAATGATTTTTAAAGGAAATAAAAACAAAAATAAGAATGAAAAAAATAATGTACCTTGTTGTTAGAAGTGGTAGCAAAGAAGGTCCATAAAAAAGCCCATTCGAAGACCAGATGTGAGCCCACACTTGCACTGGTCTCTCGAGCCCTGAATCAGCTCCTTCAACCAAAATAGGCAAACGAGCAAAGAGCGTAAAGAGCCGTCGCTGATTCCTTTCTCTCCCTATCATTCCCTACCCGGAGAAAAGAAACAAGAGCATCAAGATACGATCCAGTAGTGGTTTTATTCACTTCAACAACAGCTAAACTCGTTGACAGAGTAGGAGCAATCGCTTTACAATCCGGTGACCCGACCCGTAAAACAGCAACAATCCGTCTTATCACTCCATCAGCAACTTTGTTATCATCTTCTAAACGAAGATTTAAAGGCAAAGACAGAGACTTTTTGTTGGTCATCGTCGTCACTCGGAATCTCAATTGGGTCAAGACCGTAGGAGATACTTGAATCACGAAACTGAGATGATGGACTCGAACTCACGTCTTACTTCAATGTCAAGTCTCATGGATCATGATCGGCGCCGATCATGGTACTAAAAAGAAATAGATGAAAGATGGACAGATTTTGGTTTTCGTTTCTCTTGGACAAGAAGAAATAGATTAATAGAGAATTTTGATTTCTCAATAAAGAAGAAGAGAATGCGTGAGTGTTTATATAAGCAAAAGGTTTCTGTTTGTTCAATAGCACAAAAAAAAGGAAATCTATCATCGAAATTTCCTTTTTCTAAGTTTTAGTATCACAAAAAGGAAATTTCCTTTCGGCATATTCATAACGGTAATAAAACATTAATTGTTTCTAAACGTTCATTTTTTTTAGGCCCAATGTCATTAACCGGCGATATGAAACAACGATTATACATTTATACCGGAGATAACCACAAGTACTAAACAATTGTCTGTTTATCAACTTAGTTGGTTTATATATCTTATGTCATGTAAACCAATAAAATCAAACCGGCTTCGTTCATCGGACCCAAACCGCTGCATCAATCTCATCTCTAGCCTTCTTGTATAGCTCGAGCCTCTTTGCACATTGCACTCTCCTTTCCATCAATGCCGGGTTCTCATCTAATAACTGTCCCAACCGTTTCCCCTGCTAAAAAAATAACCAGACTCAAATCCTCAAACCGGATCTAAAACCAAACTTAACCAACTGAATTAACCGAAAGTAAGAGACAACAAACCTGACTCTGACTCATCTGTGCATAGAAGTAATTAAGCAAAGAGAGTTTCGCTTGTCTGACTTGGCAATGAACAACAGCCTTAGGAATGGTGTTAACAAGAGTTTCTGCAACCATCTTGATATAAGAAGCTACATTTGAAGCTATCTTTCTGAACTGTCCTTCACCATATTGGTCTATTGTTGTTGGTGGTGAAGAAAGAGATACGTTTTGGCTTTCTACATGAAGCTTGCGAAAGAAGTCAACCGTTAGGTATGAAGATTCCATGTCGACTAATATAAGAACTGACTTCATGCTTTCTTCACGAAACTTGTCTAATGATGAGTTTGCTGCAGCAACTAACTCAATTTGTAGTGAAGGGAAACGTTTTAGCTCCTGCATTGTTTGCACAACAAGACTCAATAACCACTTTTTTACATTTACGTATCTAAAACAACAACCAATCTTACCTCGGTTTCTGAGATTGCTTTCCTTACAAGCTCTTTTAAGATAAAGTGAACCTGTTACAATCACATTCGTTACGGTCTTATTATATAGATACTGATGAAAAAGTGAAGTGAGAAAGAGGTATAGAGGAGCTTACAGCATTTACAGAAGCTTCAGCTGGACCTCTAAAATGATTTAGTGATCCTTCAATGAGACGACGATAACCCAATTCTGGTGCTATCAAGTGAGGTTGATAGCCATCAGATTCTGAGACAATTTTCTTAACACTTTGCAATGAAAGATGACGATCAAATGGAAGTTTTTTAATGGCTGTTGGAAGATTGTAGTCAAAGATTCCGTAGATACGTGCACCTCCAGGACGCCTAAGATTTTTCATCAATCAAAGTTTAGCAAGAGTTTGATTAACCACCATTACAAGAAATTCAATAAAATTTTAGTTCAATATTTGTGTTTTTCTTACCCGCCATCCAAATGCTCTTTGAATATCTTTTCGAATGCTCGACACATTCCCAAGATAGTGTATAGTTGAGCCTGAGACCAACATACTTTTAGCTTACCACAGAAATATATGCAATTCATAACATTTCTTTAAAGTGTATATATGTACTCACTCCAGCATCAATCGCGACAGGCCTGCCCAATTGGTCTAACTCTCTTTCGAGTTCCTCGATGTTGTTGTTGATCAAGGATAGGATACTTGGAATACGGGACCTTATAACAGATTCTAAGAGCTGGAAAATGAAAGATTACATAACTTAAAAACAGAACGACCAAAATCGTATAAGGTTTTGGTTTGCGTAAAAAACCTTAGAGAGGAGCTTTGCAAGATATTCTGATCCCATTCTTGTGGCTAAGTGACCATAGTCAGGGCTGGTTTCAAAGTATTCTCGCTCTTTCCTTCTCGAAACCATCATATCAACATTCTTATTAATATCTGCTTGTGAACGGTTCACTATCCCAACCCAAGGATATTTCAGCCTGTAAGATCTTCCTTCAATAACCTTATCGCGGCAAAGATTCAATCAAAGTCAATATGTAACACTCAAGATCGTCATGAGGCATGCAAATTCTTAGATAACTAGTTCCAACAAGAGAAACAAGGAAGACATTTACCTCCAATGCATTAGTTCCCTTGTCCATTAAGTCTAACTTTGTCAGAACTCCAAACGTTCGATCACCTAAGACAGTGTTAAAGTCAGAAAACTGTATCATTATTATATAGAGAGATAAGGATTATTTTCCCCAATCCACAGTACATATGCTGAAACAGAACAAAACAAACCTGTTGGATCCACTTCTTTCGCGAGCTTCATTGCATCCGATGTAGCTATGTCTTGATTAGCAGGAGATATTGCTAGTATAAGACAGTTGGGCTGTGAACAAAACATAAGTAAACTATCAAACTACAAGAAAAAGTTACTGGAACATATTAACTTTAACATCATCACCAAGCCAAGAAATGTGTAAAAACTAGCAGCAATACTCCCCACCTTTTCGACGTATGAGCGAACCATGGATTCGATATCCTCAACTATAGTTTCAGGCTGTCCTTCTGAAAACAAATTGACAATGTTAACAAGTAACTACAAGCATCAAACAATAAACAAAAGGAGAGCCAAACCAAAAACATACCAACGGCAACTTTAGTCAAACCAGGTAAATCAATGAGAGTAAGATTCACAACTGTTTTCAAAGGAAACAAAAACTAATGTTAGTAGCATCACTCATAGAAGGGAAAGCCACGGTTTTCGCGATAAATAACCGACCATTGGGAGAGAAAATGCTAAGGTGAATAGGAATTGGAGAAATCTGTTTGTTCTTCCCAGTGATTCTATCAGTCTCATCCTCAATCTCCTTTCTAACCAAAGCTGGGACACAAAATACATTTCAATAACATACAAATGATGGATTCACTAAAGCCAAAAACACACACATTCATATATAATTTAACATACAGAAATTGGTGAATTTCTTATTGGTAAGGTGGAGAAACTCAGCGTAATCCTCTGTTCCATTTTCAGTCTTATGAAGTTGTAAAACCAAAGGCCGTCTCGTAACAATACCTACAAAAATCAAATTCTCCTTCCATTGTTTAACAATCAATCACATATGAGAAAATATCGAAAGTTTTGGTTTTGATCACAAACCGGATCCTCTGGGAAGAAAATCTCTCCCGACGATGCTCTCTAGAACCGAAGATTTTCCAGAACTCTACATGAAGAAGAAGACAAAAAACCCTTAAAAGACAAGCTTAAGAGAAAAAACTAAGTCAGATTTTATCTGATTGAGACGAAACCTGGCCACCAACGACGGCGACGGAAGGAAGAGCTTCCCAGAGAGAAGAGAGAACGTTATTACCGCCGCCATAATCGCCGACAACGGTGCATGCTCTCTGTATCGTATTAACCAACACGATCAAACTATCCATTGTCGTTCGTTAGAGAACTTCAAAAATCTAGAGACGAAGAAGAAGAGTGCAAGGACTTGATACGAACGCAGATGGACCCGAGGACGAAGGGAGAAACGAGAAAAAACAGAGAGCGGGCGTTTTCAATATGATAAACCAAAACCAGTCCAATATTTATTTTTTGGCATTATCCATTTATTATTATTATAAGTAAAATTATAAAATTTACTGAGAATCATTTAATACTTGATATTTTACCAATTTTATGTTGTCAAGCGTTTAATTCACTACTTTAGAAAAAAAAATCTCTTTAACAATTGGTTATTCAAACCCAAATTTAACTCAAATCTCAATGAATTGGTAAGGATTTAAAGTTCAAAATACCTTAATCTTAGTCATGTTATATTATATTTTTTAAAATACCCTTCCATATTTCTACCTTTTGAAGTATAGATTGATGTAATTTTTTATTTTTTTGAACAACAGATTGATGTAATTTTAAAAACAAAATTAGTGAATGAAAATTAAGGCCCAATAATAGAGAATAATGGCCCATCATTAAAAAATTAAACAGGCTTTAAATCCAGAATATGCCTGAAGTTGAAGTAGGGCCACGTGGCTAGCCCAAGAAGAAACGGACGAACAAGCGTGTGGGATAACATAAAACGACGACGTCTCGAATCACCTAACTTGTCGACTTCCACCATCCACGAGCTCCCATCTTTTGCTTGCGGTCACATGCTTCGTTTCCCTTTCAAAAAAAATGTATATACATTGATCAAATTGATATATTTGTTTTTCTTGTTCGTCGTCCGCAATAATCACCACTACGATTTTATTTCATGATTGTGTTTCAAATAATACAAAAGAAAGTGGATTACTTTCCATGTATATCTAGAATTGGATTCATACCGTATCTTTGAATTCTCGATCATACAATTATTATTTTGCATAATTCCATCATTAATTATTTCAAGATATCATCAAACGCATACAGACGGGGGTTGGGACAATCGTTCCTTGAAAACGCTCTCTTCTCTCTCCCAAAAAGTAGATCTAAAAGAAGCAAAGTTTTTCTTTTTCGTTTTCAGATCTTCATCGTCGATGGCTGGGGCATGCGGGTTAATCGGTTGGTGACGGTTCTGGTTTTCCGGCGGTGATGAGGTGGGGTTGGTCCGTCTCCGATGCTGGTTGTGGCGATCTTCCCGACGATCTCGAGTCTTCTTCTAGTCATACCACCACTGGTTTGAGGACGCCGGAGGAGGGGACATGAGGAAGCTCACGGCTCTGTTGTCGGAGGTGCTGCTACGACTAGCGGCGGAAGTCGAAGGCGGATTGGTGGGAATCACTGCTTGTCGAGATGATTAGCGGCAGATCCTTCGGATCTGGGATGGCTAGATGCGGAGAACGGCGGTTGGGGGTTTGTTTGAGCCAGCGACTCTAATCGTTGCCGTCTTTGGTTTTCGTCTGACCGGATTGAACTATGACTGTCACGGAGGAAGCTTGTGTCGGGAACGGCGCCGGAGGTGAGGGTTCGTTCTAGGTTTCTGGTTGCTAGGTCGGGACTAGATTAAGCGGGTCGGTCGTCTATGGCTATTACCTTTTCCGGGAGAGGAGTTTCAGGTCGGCTCCGTCGTTTGACTTCGGGTTTGTGGCGGGAATCGATAACTCCGGCCATGTCGCTTGAGTCACTGCGGAGCAGCAAAGAAGGGCCTCTTGTTATCGCCGGAGCTTGGAGGTGGTGCCGGTGCTGCCGAATTCCACCCGGGGCAGATCTCCGATCTGGTGCTGTTTCGTTTTGCTTCTTCTTTTTTGGGCCGATGGGCCCGTGTAATACCCACCATCGTTAAGCCCATTTGGGATAATTAATATAAGCAGTTAAAAAAAAAAAAAAAAAAAAAAAAAAAAAAAAAAAAAAAAAAAAAACGCATACAGACTTGAATAGTATCACAAATTAGACCAACACTTAATAACAACCATATATGTACAAAATTTAAACGTGTTGTTTATACAAAACAAAAGGAAACCACCAATAACTAATTAGGTATTTTTCCACGGAATTTCTATGAAATTGTTCATATAACGTTGACATACAGTGTCCTAAGCAAGTACGGTTAGTCTAAAACAGTTTTAATGAGTCAAATTAAGAGGACGTTTAGTTTTTGCAAAAGTTTTTTAAAGTAATAAACTAATCATTACATAACCCAATAGAGAATGAAGTAATAACTAATCATTACATAACCCATTGTGTGATGAAGTGATGTTTGTTTTGACAATGATAAAAAAAAAAAAAGCAATGTCAACGACAATACGAATTATGAAAACAATGAAATGTTCATCTCCCCACTACAAAGCACACCCAAAAAGAAAAAAATGAATAGTGACGTTAATTAAAAAATGAGATAATTATCTTTAACCATAAGTATTAATCATCATCTTAATTGCATAAACAATGTTTTTATAAACCAAACAAAGGCTAACGTGTCAAGCCTTTATTACCTGAAAAAAATGTATTTCTATTTTTCTTCTTAAAGAAAAAACAAATCAGAAAATTTCCATTTACTCCGGCGATTCTCTTCTCATTAGATCCTCTCTCTCTCTCTCTCTCTCTCAAAAAGAGAAAATCTCAGAGCCAGAAGAAGACAAATATATCTTTTTTATTCCTCAGATCTTCTTCTTCTTCTAATTCTCTGAAATCGAAGTTTCTCAAAGTGTTTTGTTTTTCCGATGAGGTGTAAGAGACACACAGTAGATTTCAGTAGCAGTATCGGCGTTTGTGCTTCTTGTCTCCGTGAACGACTCTTTTCTCTCGCTGTTTCAACCGCCGCGTCTGAAAACGACGATAACGATCATCGTCATTCTCGGATTTCTCCACCTCCTCTGCGTTTTCCTCGTTCTGTTTCTCCTTACGTTGCTCCAAGAAAATCCGACGCCGGTACCGGAACCGGAGATTCTGTAGCTTCTTCTAATAACCGATTCTTCGCAACGCCGCAAGTTGTTGATCATTCATACGGCGGAGGAGGAGGAGGAGGAAGAGGATCATCGTCATCGGAAAAAGTCTTCGAATCAGACAGATCGTTCAAGAAGAAAAAAAGCGGTTTATCTAGATTCTCAAGCTTCTTCAGAACGAGATCTGACGATTACGATTCGCGTCGCGATTCATGCGACGCGTCCACGTTTTCTCAATCGTCGTCGTCGACGACTTCACGGTCATGGTTTTCGAAAGTTCTCACAGTTCGATCGAAGAAACAATCAACCACCACTACTTGCTACATCGAGGATTTGATCGCTTCTGAATCCGATCATCATCATCAAAATCGACCTAGACAGAGATATTGTAGAGGAATGTCGCCGGCGGGAGATTCAGCGGCGAACGATGAATCAGTTGAGGAATCACCTGGAAGATTAAGAAGAACGCCGGCGATGGGAACTCCGGGGAGGAAAAAGACGGCGACGATTGGGATTGGTAGAAGTGTATCAGGGATGGCTTTTTGCTTGAGTCCATTAGTGAGAGCTAAACCTAACTGTGCTTCTAATTGGAAAGCGAAATTTCCGCCGGATTTTGGATATTCCGGTGAATTGAAGTCTCCGGCGAAGCCTCATCTTTCAACGGCGGCGTCTTTTTGCGGTAACCGGTCTAAGAAGCTTGTGGATTTAGGTAGAGTTGATCACCGCCGTTGATTTTTTTTTGTTGGGGTCAAAATCTGACCGTTCTTTGAGAAATTACCTAAAATACCCTTCACAAGATTCATATGGAAGTTATTATATATGGTGCTTTACTATACCAACAGATAAAGAGTGAATTTACTTTTTTGGTTATAAATATTATATTATAATGTTTTGTGATTGTATATTCAAGGAAGAAATGTTCGTTTTTATATTTAGGAGATTTAGAAGAACAATGTCGTGTGTTTTCTTTTTCATTGGATAGTCTCTCTTTTTTTCTTATGAAATTTTTTGGGTGTACACATCAAAAATGACAGATAATAGAAGAAGTAAACCTATGACTAGTTCATGTCAGAATTGTAATACATTGCAATAATTTTGAAGTTTTCAAATCTTACAAAAAAAACCAATGCTTTGTTGGTGATAATAAATGTGACACATACCCTTGTGTTTCCCTTAATTTAGAAAAACAAAATCTGACAACAGTTAGTCTTTAGACATGGTAAAGTCAAAAAGAACCATTCACAAATCCAATTTACTAGTCTCACTTACTAACCAGACACATGAAACCTAATAAAGAAAGCTAGAGAAAAAAATGGGCATATAGATCCAATAACATAGGTCTCAATTTCGACGAAATATAGACGACTTTTAAGAAGATCCAAGTTCTAAGAGAGTTTCAAAGGTTTAAAAGAGTAAAGACTAAGAGTTTAATACAAATATACGAAGTAGGACCAATTTTAGATTTAAATTCCATGGGTCCATAGTCGTGAATGAGTATATAAATTATGATTCTAAGGGCTTAATTGTAATTTGATATTTTCGTCATCTTACAGAGAGCATTAACGGTCATAAAAGGGAAGTTGGCATTTAATGAATGGGCTTTGGTTTGAGAGGAGAGAATTGAAATAGTGTTTCTTCCGTGGCTCTACCATCTCCTCTCACCTACATCTTCATTGATTTCAACTTACTCATTCTGTTTTTTTTTTAAGGGGTCTATCTTTAATTATTGTCATTATTGCGAATTATGTGTTTGATGAGTTAGTGGGAAAATTCAAATAAAGCACAAGTGTCATTAGAAATCATTTTTAGTTATTAGTTGGTGCTATGTAATTTTTAGCTATTAGTTGGTAGTTTGGTACTATGTATGAGGATTTTGATTGATAACAACATAATTATGAAATATGAAGTGTCATTAAAATTTTCAAATAGCTTAGTTGGACTATTCAAAAATATAAAAATACTTTTCAGCTGCAATGAAAGAAAAACATTCGTACAAGTGCGTCCTAATAAGTAATTACATCAAAAAAATCATTCAAATAACCTATTTTATATACACATTATTTGGGATAATACAGAACTGCTGAGTATACAGATCACTCCAACTGCATTAATCCACCAGAGCTTTTCACGAAGAAAATAGCTTATTTTTCGGGACGAAAATGCTTATTCCCTTTCAGGAACCGGAGAAAAATACCTGGAAACAGTGTGAGATTTTGAATTTAATTAGCTCATTTAAGTGTTCTGACCTAACGACATGCGTACGAAATTAATTCTCTGTTTCTTTACGGGTCAAAGATTATAACAATTCTATGCTTCTTTCTGTATCACATGGAAAAGGAAGAAACGAGATGAGTGTGTTTATTAGCAACTCACAAGTTTTATATAATTAAATTCATAGGCTGACAAATCACAGTTTTGAGATAAAAGTAAACAAAAGTACCGAAGCAGAGAGCATTTGCAACTCGAAAGATCACAAAAGATCAGAGTTAGGGACAAACCACAGCTAAAATAAAGTCTTTCTTAAAACAATCTGATGAAGAAAAAAAGTTGGAAAAGCAGGCAAAAATTTTACAGATGGAAGACGATAACGGATCGAATCATGCAAAGGCTTGAGGACTTCGATTTTAGTAGTGTGTTTGGTTGGTCTCTATCGATTTGTTGTTGTTGTTGTTGCTGCCAAATCTAACAAGAGCATCCTCCTGATTGCTGCTGAGCGAGAGATGCATTTGCATTGGAAGACTTGAGATTGACATCAACCATATCCTCTTGCTTTGTTGAAGACAATGTCTCCATTCCCGGCAAAGCTGCTGCTATCTTGCGGAAGAGCGCCTAGCAATACAAAAAAGCGTTATGGATTTGCAGTAATTATTTAGAGAGTATCTGTGAAAGATCCATACAAATGAGGAGGATGTAATAATCAGCAGGTTGGATTAAAAGTCTAGGTTAACCAACTATTGATGGTACTAAACAAAGCTAGGGATTAAGTGAAACTTAGTAACAATTTTATTGTTGTCCAGAAACCCTCAGAAATGTGTCAAGCCAAGATCTAAGTTACCTTAATGTTGAAGCCCGCTTTGGCACTGGTTTCGATGAACATTACATTAAGTTCACGAGCCTTAGCTTCTGCTTCCTCTATTGACACTTGCCTGAGAAACCAAAAATTTATTACAGAGGCCCATTGGCAGTAACAAATAGTAGTAGGCACCATCAAGTGTCAAAGCGTGTTGAATATAAGAAACCCTTTAAATATATGCAGTTGAGCACCAAATGATTTCCCATTTATTATCTTGTAGGGTCGTTTTGCAACATACTCAATACCACCAGGAAAGTAAGACATGGTTTGATAACAGTTTGTACTTGAGTACAAAAAAAAGACCCATTCGTCATGTAAACATACTTACGAAATCAGAGCGTGTTTAAACAAGGAGGAGTACCAAATTTCAGTCTCAATTGCTATTTAACAGTAATTTGCACACCATGGTTTACAAGAAACATGTAAAGGAAGAGATGGTAGATCATTATTACCTTTTGTCCACAAGGTCAGTTTTGTTTCCCACAAGCACAACTATGACATCACTACCACGCTCTGTCCTAACCTCATCGATCCACTTAGTAGTGTTTAGGAAGGATTGCCTGCCTATATGTCAGTGGAAAACAAAATAAATCTCGAGTTTCATAACGCACGGATTGAGATAAAGAAGAAATCAAAACGCATGTATTCATAAGATTACTAAAACGGTAAAACCACAGCCACGACATCTCAAATATGGGAAAATATTCATGTGTTTGAGAGGAAACAGAGAAAGAGTGAAGGTACACATACTTGCAACATCATACACAATAACAGCAACAGAGGAATCCCTGATATAGCTCGGAATTAGACTCCTGAATCGCTCTTGCCCAGCCGTATCCCTGTCATATGTTTTCGGCTCTCAACGTTAATCATCAAATCATGATCTGCAATGTTATTCTTCAGTGTCGAAAACTGAAAGAGGCTCAAGATCTTACCACAACTGAAGTCTGACCGTTCTATCTTCAAGGTACATTGTCTTTGATAGAAAATCAATACCAATTGTGGCCTATGATTATGAAACAACATAAGATAATGAGAAAAGCAAGAACATTCTGTACAATAACGATAAGCAAGCATGGTTCACGTACTATTAGGAGCTTAAATGCAATTCTCATATTAAAAAAAAAACAAGATCAGATGCTTTCATTCATCAATTGAGAACAAATTCAATTAGATAAAAAAATGTTAACAAGATCAAAGAAACATCCTCATAATAGTGTTACTACGATCTTCTATGGCACTGAACTCTTTGAGTATGTACAATAAACGAAAATGAGTGATTACAAAAGCCAAAATCACAAACGATGATCTCATTCAGCTGATTATTACGTCCTATACATTGACTTAAACACGATCTACAAATCAGATCACACATAATTACGCAAAATCGAACGCGAGATCACGAAAACGAATCAGAACTTCGAACTAAAAAACACGATTCCCGTCCATGAAAACGGATCTCAAAATCGATCAAACCCTGGGATTTTCTATAATCCCCCGAATATAGAAAGCAAACGTCGTGCATCGTCGAGATAATACCTAGATTTGAACGTAGAAATTTACCTGGTACGTATTGTCAAATTTGTCGTACATGAATCGAGTGATGATACTGGTTTTGCCGACGGATTGATCTCCCAGAAACACCAGCTTATACTTGGCGAGTGCCGAAACCGGAGCCATGATTTCTCAAAGATCTAACTCGCCGGACGGATCTGAGAAACGTCGAGATCTCGCTTTGCTGAGAAAAAGAGTTTCCGATATTTACCGGAGAGAGATCCCGTCGCTGTGGAATTGCAAATACTGTATTAGTGTGTTTGTTATTCCTCGAGTAACCAATTGGGTCATTTATGTTAAATTAGAAACTATCTGAGATAATTTACAAAATATGTAAGAACTTAGAAGCTGATTAACGCATTTACTACATTATGGGCTTCATTTATAAGCCCACGCAGGATTTGGGCTAGGCTAATAGCAGTGAGCACGTGACAAGCACATGTCATCTCTATGACCTGAACTTTTTTGCCCCTTTTGGCTACTTTACTCTTTTGTTGTGTCGTCTCTCATCAAATCCCTAAATCTCGAGTTCGAAGAAGAAGACGAAAATGGCGCTGAGAAATGCAATTCTTCGTCACCTGAGGGTTCCGGTGCAAAGCCTAGGACTGAATCAGTCTCAAATTGGGTTCCTTGGTTCGATCCGGTCTTTTTCTTCGCACGATGATCATCTCAGCAGAGAAGCTGTCGTCGATAGAGTTCTCGATGTTGTCAAGAGCTTCCCCAAAGTCGATCCCTCTAAGGTCAGCTCGATCTTCTTAAAATTTGGCTAAATATTAAGATTCAGTTTAGACCTGCAATGTATGGGATCAAATCGTGATTCTTATCTTTTGTTTTCCTCATTACTTGAACAAAATGGTTATTTTGCCTTGAATCTTTGTCAATGTTGTAGCTTTGTCAATGGTATCTGAAAAGATGTTGCATTAGTGTTGTTTGTAAATATAAGGTTATTGTTCTCAATGTGGTTGTTGTTGCTATGAATTTGATTTGATATGGTCAAACTTATGGATTTTGCATTCATGAACCCTTCATTACTTGTTTCAACTCTCTGTAAGAGTTGTTTGGTTAGGGTTATTTTGTTGATGGTTTTGTGATAAATGTTCACAGGTGACTCCTGAGGTTCATTTCCAAAACGATCTGGGATTAGATAGTTTGGACACAGTGGAGATAGTGATGGCTATTGAAGAGGAATTCAAGCTGGAAATTCCAGACAAAGAAGCTGACAAGATCGATTCTTGCTCTCTCGCCATTGAATACGTTTACAATCATCCAATGTCTAGCTAAAAGCTGTGTGCTCTCTCATGGTTTCTTATTCAATTTCTTCCCCCTTTTTTTGTATGAGGTTCTTCTCTCTTGATAATGGGATTTGCAAATAAATTCACTTATGTTTGAAGAGCATTGTTATTGACTCTTTTAACGGTTCTAGTTTCTTAAAAGAAAACCTTTTTGCTTGAATCTTGTGAAAGTTGACACTCTTTCTTGAATTAATACGATTTGTCTTATTATTATCAAAAAGTTTCTATGGTGGTTCATCGGCGTTAGACATCGAGAGTTATTAGGAGGAGGCTAGAGAGAACAATTGAGTGAATCTTTCAAATGAATTGAGGGTTTTAGCCAAAAACCAAAAACTGGTTTATTTCTTCTCTGATTCTGCTCTAATCGGTTAAAACAGGTTTATATATGTTGTCTAGAACAAGGAAAATACAAAGAGGTTTAAAACAAGGCCCATGAAGAAGCCCATAACGGTGAAAGAAAAGGCCCATGCAAAAGCTTAAACCCCCTTTGTCTCCCAGCTTCGTACAGAGGAGAGTCTGAGATAAGGAAGAAGAAGAAGAAGAAGAAAATGGCGAATCTGAACTCAGCTATTGATTCAGTGTTTTGGGACCAGAACGTTTCTTCACCCCAAACCCTTGAAGGAACGGCTCGCTCTGTTCCCGGTGAGCCATTTCCCTTAGACGGAGCACGAGCAAGCCGCTCTCACCGGATTCAACAGCTCTCTCTGCTTCGCGAAGGCTTTCCTCTTGGAATCATTCCTTCTTTTGCTCCTGCTTCTGACAAGAGACTTGGCTCTTTCTCTCTCAATTCTCTCTTGCTCAGTCCTTCCTCTAACAACTGGTAAATGATCTTAACCTCTCCAGAAATTTAGAAAATTTAGTGGATATTTGAGTGAGTAATGCTTAAAAGGTTGAGACTTTGTAAACAAGAATCAAACTTGTGAAATGGAAAAGCAACATCACCAATTTGGATACTTTGTCCTTTTTCTAGGTGGTGATAATGTTGAATTTGATGTGACATTTGATTAGGTTTGTTTGGAATTTTCACTCAGGTGGCTAGGATTAGTTGGGCAATTCAAACCAAAGAAGCTCTTTGCTGATATCAAAGCAGATATTAGCAATGCAGAAGAGTGGGATCTTCAAGTTGTTAAGGATACAGCAAAACACATTGTTGACAAATCCCTTTACTCTATTGGTTTATGGACTCAGATTGCGTTGGGTACTTCTTCTTCTCTCTTGTTTAGCACTGAACGCCTTGGCGATAAAAACGGACTCCGAAACAAGTTGATGCTTGTTCATCCGGTATGCATCTGTACTGTAACTATGATGGATTCTCTTGTATGTTTAAAGCACTTCTAATTTGTTTTGTTTTTGAGCTAATGAGCAGCTTGAGAAACATGATCTCACTGTGGAAGCAGCTTGGCCAGATCTGTTTTTGGATAATAAAGGACGTTTCTGGGATGTTCCTGAATCATTGAATGTTGACGTCTCATCCCTTGTTCCAGAATCAGGGCTTCGATACCGGTTTGGCCTACACAAAAGCAGGGGTAATCCTCAGCCTGTGAATGCTGGTGCTGAGAGTGGTAGTGATGCTCCTACTTCTTTGATGCCTGGTTTATGCGCCAAGGCTGCAGTTTCTTACAAGGCTAACAGAGACTTGTGGAGGCCACAAGAGAAAGAAGACAACACAGGAGAGGATACACCTGAGTTTCTGCCTTATGATATACGTCTAAAGGAGCCTCATGCAGCAATTTCAGGAATAGTAGGTACTCTCTTGAAAAACCCCGTTCGCCTAAAGAAGTCTCTTTCCTTTTTGTTAATCAAATGCTGAGTTCTCTCAATGTTTCACTCTCTAGGTAGCAGCTTGGCAGCTTGGATCACAGGCCGAGGCATGTTGGTTAATGGCAAGAAGCGGAGTCCAATAAGTGCAGACGTATTTGGTTCTGCTTGTTATACGTTCCAAAAAGGGAGGTTTAGTAAGTTGTATGGCGATCTAACCCGAGTAGATGCTCGTGTGGACCTACCCTCAGCTTCTGGTCTTGCTAAAAGAATCTTCCATGCATTCAGAAGATCGTCAGGTAGTAATAACTCAGACGACACATTGTGGTCTCCTAGACTCAACCTGATATTCCAGCAACAGGTATTAAGCTTTTGTCCAAAGATCAGAAGTTTCTGATGTTTAAGCAAAACCCATTAATAACTGTTTATTCTTCTGCAACAATTTTGCAGGTTGCAGGTCCGATTGTTTTCAAAGTAGACTCGCAGTTTCAGGTAGTTGAGGCACGCATGGAAGATCTGATATACAGTCTGAATTACTCTTTGAGGCTTCTTGAGTCTGGCAAAGTCGTGGCTTGGTATTCTCCAAAGAGAAAAGAAGGCATGATCGAGCTGCGAGTTTTTGAGTTTTGATTTGGTCTCCTTTTATGTGTACCAACCAGTTAACATTTGTATCAGAAGATGCTTAAAAATCGCAACAAGTCCTGTTTTGGTCAACTCTTTGAAGATCTTTTTTTGTGATTTAGTCTCCTTTTTTTTTGTGTATCAACAAGTTAACATTTGTATCCTAGTGATCAATGTAGTCTTTCAAATTCTCTTATCTATCTTTAGTTTCCAAACGTTTACTGCTTTGCAAATAGAACAAAGAAACCAAAACAAAGACACAAGAGGAGATGGGAAACAGAGAATAACAGTGAAAGGTGTGGACCTGAGATCAAGAGGGTCCAACCTGAAACAGTGAGATGATCAAGAGGTGAAAGATAACACTTATGAGAAAGTTCAACACAAGTTCCTTTACCACAAGCTCTTTACCACAAGCTTTATGATCTGGTGAATTTGGACTTACGGTGATAAGCTGACCAGTACTAATGTTTTTGGTTAAAAATGACAAAAAAAAATTAATAATGATTACAACTTTTTTTTTTTTTCTTCTAATGATTACAACTTTTGTGCAGAGAAGGATGGAAATTTTTGTCCATAGTACTAATAAAACATTGAACAATCACCTATATTCGAATACAAACGAACTCATACAACTATTCTTCTTCTATGTTTCTTTTAAGACTTATAAATTTGTTAAGAGTAAAACGTACCATGTTTTTGACGGTTGTTGTCGATCAGAGTATATGATTATATAAAAGTTGAAAATACAAAAGTACCATTTGTAATGTTACATACGTATGTGTTTGTATATTCAAGTATAACATTTGATTTCTATGTTCTCTGTTAATTTTTCAACGTGTATAACATTTTTCAGTGTGTGATTTGTAATGTTACATACACGAGACTCTTTGATATCTCTATGTGAGTTTAATTATAGAATAATTACGACGGATGCACAACTATCTGGCCATCTGCATATTTTCGTTGACTTTACTTTTCAGGGTCAACTCTCTCCTTGTCTCTAGGTCAAGTGAAGAAGATGCACAAGTAACAAAATCACACTTCCAAATGATTCACAATCGCATTTCCAATAGAATTAAACTCGGTTATTGTAGCAATGCATGAGGCATGGGAGAAGTAGTTCAGATACACAATAAATTTAAAAAATCAAGTTTGTATACCAAACTAATAACTTCCAAGCAAATTATTGATCAATAGCTTACCAAAGAACAAGCCCAAGTTCTGATGGCTTCAATGCACTTCTCAAACGGTAATTATAGAGATAGTAGTGCATCTGTCCATCTCCTTGATCAAACTTCAACTCTTTTAAGAAACTCTCATTGTGCATAACATCCAAGGCGTAGAACACATCGAAACCTTTTTGCTTAGAGACGATTAGGGCATCATTCATCAGCTGGGGAAAGGAGGTCTTAGTCGCGACATTATAGTAAGAATAAGCACATTCCACTGTTTTGTATTTCGGGTTACCGATGATAGTTAAAGGGACAGTGTAGAAGCTGAAAAAGTCAGTGATCACGTCATGAGTTTCTACTAAGTAACTGTGTACGACATCTTTTCTTGGGAGAAGCCAGTGCTCGACGTCCTTTTCACCAAAGTCCCTCGCAACTCCAAACTGGCAAAGGTAGTTATTGAGCAACTTTGTAACAGCAGGGACATCACGTCGGTCCATTTCCCTGAATCCAGGAGTGATCGGTGCATCAGGTAACTTGTAAAGTTTGACGGTCATGCTCAGTGTCATTCTTTCACGAAGTGTTGAATATCCAACATCGATTAGCTTCTTAGGTTTCAACATTCTGACCCAGTATTGGCATGTGGTGACTGGTGTAGGAAGTACATCAAGTGAGGTATAAGCCGCTTGCCATATATTCTGCAAGTGAACCCTTCTAGTCAACTCCTTGATCAAGACAGGAGCAAGTCCCTTAGACCTGAGGTTCTTCTTGTGAACACATAAGAAATTGATCTTTGCCATTTTCAAAACCTCAGCACGCACCCTGATTCTTGATGGCACGCCACTAATGAAAGCAACGAGTTTCTTGGAGGTCTTGACACGGACTCCAATATGCCAGCGCTTTTCATAACCAGGTGGACACAATGCCCACCTTAGAAACTCCCTGGAGTACTCAACCATGAACTGATATCCATCATCAGGATAGTTTTCCTTGAAAAACTTGTACACCTCTGAACACGTATCATCAGATTTCATATCGCATGTGGTCCATTCGAATTGACCAGGAAGGTTATACGGCTCTGTCTTGACCTCAGATACCAAAGTTGCGGGATTAATTGGGCCTTCAGGCAAACTCGTGTCTCCGATATCCTTATACTGCACAACAGGTTGAGTCTCCCAGAACTTATGAGTCTCCGATAACCTTCCAACTGAAGTATCATCCTTGGCTAATGGATTTGCTTCAACAGTTTGTTTTGATTTCTCTTCTTTAGAGCCAGGCTGAGATTTTGACATGTTTTCAGACTGGATTTGTGAGCTATTGGCATCCGCAGCTCTATCATAGGCATTGACATCAGACGGCTCCATCTCCAAGCGTCCGTTTAGGGTTTCTTGAGTTCGTGTTTTATACATCACTAAATTTTAAAGTCAAGGTGACGTGGCTTTGATCACTTTTGCTGGATAGGCCGATTTGGGCCTGGAACAAAGTCCACCCAAACTCACTGTTTGAATCACTTTAAGAGCAAGTTGGATTAGTGATTTCCTACTTGTAAACAATTAAACATTAATTTAAATTTTAGGAAGATTTATACGGATTTAAAATTTTAAAACAAAATTTTCAGAATTACTGTTACAAATCTACTGGCTCATTAGTAGAAATTTAAGAGGATTTGAAAAGCTAAAAAATGAGATTAGAAAAAAAAAAAAAAATTTGTTAAAATTAAAATTATGTATTTCTGAAAGATAATATGTCAACTAAATGTTTAAGTCCATGACGTTTTCCGTCAGAGCTTGCAGTCAAGTTTGAGAACTCATGAGCTTTGGATACCTCTTTACAGATCATGTTTTCTCACTAGTAATGGAAGTGCTCGTGGTCTCAGATTATCGTTATTGTTTCTGCGATTGTTTTGGTAAGATTTTCATGTTTTCCAATAAGTTAGGATTTTTAATGAATTTTTTTTTGATAAATGACTATTTTTGGCTTAGGAATAATTTTACAAATGTTTGATCCAATAAGATAATATTTTAAAAGATTTGAGAAAATCATCAACAGGGGAGAGTTGCGAAAATAAATAAAATAAAAAATCGTCCCAAATTAAACCATTGATCCAAATCCAATAGACCCCCTAAAATAAATCAATGAGAGTTTAAATTAATCAGTTACGCCTGATTAATGTTGGTGGGCCTTCAAGTAATGGGGATAATAAGGAGGGTCAAGTTGTGTGTTCTTTGAACGTGAGGGGCTTTTCAATGTAAATAATGAAAATTGTGTTGGGGATTTTGTAACTTTTATTCATTTTGTCTGGATAGACGAAGAAGAACAAAAGTTGGAACTTGGAAACGAGTAGACCATTTTGAAAGAAAAAAAAGAGAGTAGACTTTCTTCTATCCAAATCAAAAAGCAGACTTTCTTCTACTTGGTCTGAATAATTTATGCGTCTCATTGAGCCGTGCCTTGTTAGATTCAAGTTGGGATGTCGATAGAAAGTAGAAACCCAGAAGTGGCAGCTCCTACGGAGGTGGATACTGGAGCCGAGTCCTCCTCTAATGGAAAAGGGGTGCAAGAAGAAGAAAGTTGTGTTGTAATGGGTGACTAAAAGTAACAACAAACTAAGTCAAGAAGCCTAGCTAAGTGTAAGTCATTAGTTTGGTTAAAGCCTAGCTAAGAGAAGTTGTTAGGAGTTCAAAGTTAGTGTATTGGACAGATATCGCAACGACTCAGTCTTGATCAGCAACGAAATCATCGGTGCCATGTGCGTTACAAGAACGGTATGACCAAGCCATTGCTCTGTTCCACTACTTCTTCAACGAGTCTAACGTTATTCCAAACATTGTCTCTTTCTACCGCACCATCAGAGCTCATTTTCGTGTACAAGAAGCATTCCAACTATACCATCACGCAAGAGGTTTTGATCCAGACTACTACACATACAGGATTCTGACCAAAGGTCTGGTCAACGCCGGGAGGGTCCATGAAGCTGTTGGTATAGTTAAGGCGGCTTTTCTGCGCGATTCAACTGTAAACAGCTATCTGATTCGCGGATTCTTGGATCAAGGGAACCTCGACAAGGCTGCTCAATTGTTCGATAGATTGAACGACGATATGTCTCAAGAGCTTTATGATTACAACGACATAGCCCTGGTTGATGCAACGTTTGTGGATTACTGGTTAGACAAGGAAATGGTGAGTTAGCCATGTAGATTTACAGCTCTATCTCATCCTTTCACCATGGGAAATTTATATTTTTGAGTCCGAAGACTGGAAATACACTTTTGTTTGCTAGACCACGGTAAGAAATCCGAAGCATGGGAATTGTTTGAGGAGATGATAAACAATGCTTGGACTTGTGATGGTTTGTTAGCACGTTTTGCTTCTTAGGCTTTTGATTCGGAGACTATTAATATAATGGTGAATGAGTGTTTCAAGCTTGGCAAGTTTACGGAGGCCATGGAGACTTTCGATTTGGGAGCGTGGAATATTGTACGAGGCAGAGGGTTTGTTCGAGGAGATGTGGTCACACAAAGACTTGGTCTTCTCTTGTCCCATGAGATTCCTAGATTTAGATCAATGATCAATGGATATGTTAAGGTTGGGAGAGTGGATGATGCTCAACGGATGTTGAAAAAGATGGTGGATGCAAGTCTACTCAAGGTTGCTATTCATAAGGCCGATTAGAGTTTCTTTTGATTGATGGCTAGAGGATGCTAACAAGGAGAGGCTAAGTTGGACCGGAAGAGGCGTCAGCGAGAAAGAAGCTTTATGAATTACTTAAGAGAAGAGAATAAAACTATGTCGAGACTATCTGAAAGTGATCACAATTGATATCAAATTGAAAGATTAACAGAAAACAACAATTGCTGTCTGAAAATTACAGGAAACTTCTAAACTCTTCAAATCATTTAATGTTTCCTCTTTCTCTTGGACAAGACTTCACTCAACGAGGGCCAACAAGTCACTCTCTTTACAGAAGCAATGCCTAGCATCGGTTCCCAAATCGACCTGAGAAATAAATTCAGAGATGTTCAGTTCTATATTTCCTAAAAACCACACAAGAACAACAACTGATCAAATTCACTGCAAAGAAGCGGAATTCACCTCATAAGCGCTCACATCAGAGAACAGAACCTGTGAAAGGCAAAGGAGAAAGAGGTCACGAGAACATTCACAGTACAATGGATGTCTGACTTAAGAAGAACCATTACCTTCTTTCCAGGCCCAACTTGTTGTCCAACCTCAGAACCAACAGAGATAACCTGAAATGATTCTCTAATCTTAATTAAAACCATATTCAATCAGTTATGCTCAAGCCATATATATTAACATAAGGAACAATGACTTACCTCTCCTGTTAAGTACCTCTCAAACTTCACAGCTGCTTTAGGCAACAATACTCCACCTGAGGATTTCTGAAAAAAGAAATAAAAAACAATTTACGAACTCGCAAGTTTTTTGACAATTGAATTCAACTACGTTTTGATTTCTGTGTGTTCATAATAATCATGACATTTTAAACCATAAAAGGAGCTAAACTTACCATAGGAAGATCTTCAAGACGAACAAGAACTCTGTCTCCCTGAGGAACAACCTGCAATTATCATCTCAACACTAAGATTAATCTCCATTTTATAAAAACAGAGAAGCCAATACATTTTCGGATGGAAATTAAACGGAAAGACAGTACCTTTGTCGGTTCCCATTTAGTGGAAATCGCTTTGATTCTAAGACAACCTCTTCGACTTCCTGCATAAACACGAGGAACCAAATTATCAACAAGACAAACTTTAAATCCGAATCAAAAGAAACATCATAGTAAGTTTCAGATTTGTTAAACTACCGAGAAGCGTATGATTAGCTGTAGAAGGAGTAGTTGTTTTGACCGGAAAAGCAAAGAAAGGTTTTGGTAGAGAGACGAAAGTGGAAGCCATAGCAGGATAAGGTTTTTTGCAGAAGCAGATCTTCTTCTTCCTCCGTCACGACCTTTTGGCTCCAGATTTCTCGTCAGTGCTTCTTATGTTTCAAATTGGGCCAATATTACAGCCCATTTAACTATTAAGACCCAATATCTTTGTGTACATATCAGCCCAGTTATGTTCTATTAAGCCAAACCGATGTAAAATCTCTTTATGTTTTATTAAACCGAGAAATCTCAATTTCAGTTTACGAGAGAGGCTGAGAGTGAGAGCTACATGAAAGAAAAAAAAATCACATGCATATGCTTAACGTAGTATTAAAATCATATGCCTCAAGTTAACTAATACATGAAACTACATGTCATGTCAGGATCTTCCGGAGCTGCCAAATCCAAGAGTACATAATACCAACGGTACAATATGTTGAGATCAACATTAACGGCAAAAATGGAAATTTATCACCTAGAAAATACGGATGCAAGAACTGAGACACTATCTCTACTATAACCAAACCCATTAGATAGCTCTTCTCAAAACATCCAATCCTAAACTTGCTCTTGCTTTCACCATTGTTCTTCTGAGCCTTATTATTGTTTGTGTACTGAGCCACAAAGCCAAGCCACATTACCGTGGAATGCAGTAACAGCAACAGAACCTTGATTGGATATTCCTGCGGCTCATATAAGAGCGGAAAGAGCGAATAGCAAGAAACTGCAGGGGAAATACAGAGAATAAGTACAAGGAATGGATGGTTATGCGTAGAAGTTGATTCTGGTTAGAGAATACTATACCTATAGAAACCAGAAAGTAATGTTTAGCATCTTCTAGACTCTGCACTGCAACGATTGCAAGTGGGATGGTGAAATGAAGCGATGCTTTCTCATGGACGTGCCATCCAAACAGAAAACCGCATGTATATGCATAAGCTATCCATCTAGCAACAAGCCCAGGGTGTGGTTTTTTCCAGGCTTTGATGAGACATGGAGATATAGCAAGTAATACCATTGCAAATGTTGTCAATGGCGTGATCTGTCATTGCACCAGTCCAACAGAATAAGATCGAGTGGAACATTTTCAAGATAAATGAGAGATATAGACAGATAGATAGTGAAGAGTAATACCTGAGGAAGAACTGCAAAAGGCGAAGAATCTCCAACCAATCCTCCAGTGAAAGATGCGGAAGGAATCTGAATTTCAAATCCGAGCTTTCGCAGCAAAAAGGCAAGCCCTTTGTCAAGTATTATATAGAAAACCCAAAAATTAGGTGCCCAGTATGCATGGCACAATCCTCTCCCAAAAGGAAACATTCGACTGATGACTTGCTGTATCTGCAACAGCGAGATAACACGAAAACTACCACCATAAGACGTTTTCTCAGTAATCTATTTAGGAAAAGGTTTGACTTGATGTACAGAGGTTCGCAGAGATTCACAGAGGTTTGACGACAGTAATTTCACAATGTGTACTTCTGCATTCCCAAATGAAAGTAGTGAAATAAGCTCCCTAACACCAAAATTTCCAACAAATTCTAACTCTTTGCCAAATCAAACACCAAAAAATGATTCACAATCTCCTAAAGACATCAAGAACATTAGAATCTTAAACTAGAACTCTAAATAATTTGGCTATATATTTCAACTTTGTATATAATAACACATGAAAGTAAAAAACAAAACTTTCAATCATGAAAGAAAGAAAGAACTACACTAACCTGTCCATGATAGATAAAGGGTCCATAAGCAGCAGCAAAAACCGCCACAACCACCGCACCAATAGTTACAAGCCGTCGGAAACCGGTAACCAAACCGGACCAGCAATAATGCCTAAGTAGATAAACAAAGTAAACCGGAGCAGCGACGGCGAACAAATGCTTAAAGCATAGCAGAACAGCGAATAGAAACCCACCCAACAGATCTCTCCCTTCTTGAAGAAACGAAATCGAAAGCAATAGCCAACCCAGTAGAAATCCATTATACTGAAAATGAATGTGATCTACGATCAATAGCCCCGGAGACCAAATCACCATTGCGCAGATCAGATTTCGCTTCATCGGTTCCAATTTTCGAGTCAATCGGTAAACACCGTAGAGAAGACATAGATCCGAGACGATTACGCTGATTCGTTGGAAGTAAATGACAGATTCGGAGCTGTAATCGAGTCCTGATTGAAGATCTACGATTCTGGGATCAACGAGACGCGCGAAAATTGAGAGGAGGCGTTCGAAGTAGGCGAAGAATGGAGGGTAATCGAGTGTCCATTGGCTAGTCTCGTCGAAGTACCATTTGGTAAGAGGAAGAGAGTTTGTGATAGCGAGCCAGTTACGGTGAACCTCAAAATCGGTGCTTCTGTAGGACGGAATGAGAAGAAGTTTCACGGCGGTGGCTACGGCGAAGAACCACATAAGAAGTCGCCGGTCATTGTTTTCCCGGTGATCCATCTCGGCACCGATAGACTGAAAACATTAGCGACCGTTGATTACAAAACCCATCAATATGGGCCTACTTTGGGCCACGAACCGGCCCATTTGGTAACTACAGAGGTTTACGTGGAGTTGTACAAATGGCACTACATAATTGGTTTAAATATATGACATGGCGTGGAGCTCTACAAAATCGATTAATATCGGTTTAACCGGATTTCTTTCGTTGTGTGTATAAGTCGTACTCGTACCTCTTACCTTTTACAACCGCCCAAAAGGAAAGTAGCTATTGGCTAGAGCCTAGAGATTAGACCATCCGAATTAATCAACGGCTGAGATCAGTAAATTAATCCACGTGTCATACCCGCAGAATCTTTAGAGATCAAATCTTAACCGTAGAATCAAAACAACAGATTTTAATTCCCATGCAAACCTTAAGACCTTTACCTAACTGCCACGTAGCACGAACTCGGATCTTAGCTGGCGCACGAGCGAAGGTCACCGCACGTGTCAACTGCAGGTGGGTAAAAAAAAAGGTAGGGCAAACGGGGTACAAGGGCAGCTGTCATGGGCCCGTGAGACAAGGACGTTGATAATTGGGCCTTAAAAAGAGAGGTGATTGTGGGTCCCAGTAACTCATTAATCTGAGTCAGCTCGACGCCTTGTTGTATCGACAGATGACAAGTTGTGTGGTCCTGACAAATTATGTAAAAACTTTCTTCTTTTTTTTGGAACTTTATTATAATTGATCACGAAAACACCTTTTATTTTTGTATGTATTATTACATATTTAAAGTTTTATTATTGGTTTGCCGTTCGTAATGTGAGTCATTGCTTACTCAGATTCATTGAGTTTTCTTGACGTGATCTTATTTAATTTAATATATTATGTTAGTGTAATTACCTTTGATTTAAAAAGTCAAAAGTCTCATGTTGGAGATTATAATATGAATCAAGAGCATAAAGATGTGTTATTTCAAGTCTGTATCCTATACTATTATTTGGGGAGTACACTTTATAAGAAACCCTTAACTAACCTTTTCTTTTGTAAAAAATTACATGAGAAAGCCATTAGAAATAAAATTTTATAGAGTAAATTAATTCAATTCACTAAGGATAAAATAGTCAAATACTATTTTCTGTAATTTAATTAATTTAATTTAATTATAAAACGAAAATCTATTATTAATTTTTTGAAAAATAATGACCAATCAAAATGAACATATAAGATTTGATATCTAACTTATCATATTAATTTGTTATTAATCATTATACTTCACCTATCATCTTTATATTATTCTATTTCTATAAAATAAATAAATTATTATATCATCTACATAATAAAAAAAAGTAAATTTTTTTCCGCATATACAAAGATTTAAATTTTTAAAAACGAATATAAAATTTTCAATGTATGAAAAAACAAATTTAACGGGTTAAAAATTCATATTTGAGTAATATATTCTTTTTTTTAATATCATCAATACTTAATAGATCAAAAAGTTAAGAGATATAAATACTCTAATTTGATTTTTTGAAACAAATATTTATAATAGGCGGCGGGTTAAATATAATGTATTATATGATGAAATGAGTTATGATCCTTATAACTATTTGAATATTTATATCTAATTTCATATATTTTTTTAAAATTCATAATTTTACATACTACAATAAAAATTTTAAAGATTTTAATTTGGAACATTTAAACAAACTTTAATTTAATATATTAAAGAATATCATAAATATTTAATAGATTAAAAAGATAAAAAAATATTATAAATACTAATTTGATTTTCTAAAAAGATATGTTTAATATATTTATAGTAGGCGGCGGGTTAAAAGTAATGTATTATATGATAGAAAGTTATGATCCTTATAATAGACGACATTTTAAGATTTTATGATGAGATGAGTTAAATAAAGTTTGACTCTTCTAAATATTTGAAAATTTAATTCTGCAAGCAATTTTGGAAATAATGAATAATAGATTATGCCGCAATATTTTCATAGGGATTGTAAAATAAAAATATAGACTCCACACACGATCAAATTTGGTATTATTATATACCAAATATATGTTCATAACATATTCGTTTATGTGAATAATTAATAAATTCCGTAATTAGCTCAAACAAATCTCTATTTCAACAACCAATGAATAAGAATTTGAAAAAATAATTTCCTAAATTAATTCAAAATAATAGCTAACTTTTTAACTAATTCAAAATAATCTACGTTTTAGATGCGATTCATTTATGATATTTTGATTTTTGTTCTAACTAAATTATATGCACTCTCATTTTGTGGTTGTTAACATAAATTAACTCATTGTTCAAACAATATTATTTTTTAAAAAATAATATTATTTTGCGTTTTCATATCTTTAAAAAATATATCCATAATTGAGGATTACAGAAAAAGAAAAATATATTCATTCTAATATTATATATATGGACTGACAGAAAAATTAATATTTTTTACTTACTATTATAATATATCACGACTTTATTCTATAACTATATAATATATAAATTTTGTAATAAATGAAATTTAACTCGTACTGTAGTACGGGTGATGATCTAGTCTGATATTTATAATCGTATATAGACTTTCACCTATGTGACACGTAGTCACGTATAGTTATGTAGTTTAATATTATAAAACGAGAATTGATCTCTGGATTAAAAACGTAACACGTTAATAAATGAATAAAATAGGTCGGTCACACTCTTGCTCGTTTTATTACAAATATTAGCGTATGTACACACATTTACTAATAAATGTATCCTACTAACATGTTCTAGAACTTCTTTATGACTATTTAGATGCTATTTTGTAATATTTTTGTTTGAACAAAGATTTGGCAAAACTTTTATACACATTTTCAACTAGAGGATCGATCTAAAATATAATCGATCGATCTAAAATATAAGATAGAATATTATCGAAAGAGATTTAAAATTCATCCAATAGGTTATTTGGAATTATTTTTTTACCTGGAGCAGTACACGTGTACGAAGATGTTTTTGTCTGACTGAAAACATGAATAACTTTATTCACTCTACTATAGTAATAATTTTTTAAAAAAAAAAACGTTACTGTCCATATGTCCATATAAGAAATACAAATAAGTACAAGCAAAGCATTAAACAAAAACGAGAGGCGATAAATTACACACATGTAATGAAACATTGTCCAGGTGAAATGAATCCTAAGAAAAAGCAGAGAAAGTACACGAGAACAGATTAATAAAATACAAATTATTTTAGTAAAATATCAGTAATATTAAAATAAATAAAAATTAGAAACTTTCATTTAATGTTAATTTTGTATATTTGGGAAAGGTCCATCAATCATGCGCTATGCATGTTATTGTGGCCAACGAATCTTACAAAACGCAAGACTTGTTTGATTCTCTCGTCGAACGAGATCCACCCAAATTATTGTATTCCAAAATTAATAATAATATATGTTCTCTATTGCTCTTACAAAAGAAATAAAATTATGATAAAATTTTACAAGAAATTCGTTTATAATTGCACAATTAAAAAAAACAAAGAAATGGTAACTGGTAACGGACAAAGAGTTTGATTCATTGTCTTTTAACTTTATCGATGAAATTATTAGGTAAAATAATCATAAAAAGAATTTACCCCAACACAAAAAGACAATAATAATATAATAAAAGTAATGAATTATTGAGCTTTAACGTATAGATCTTTCGAGATGAAGATTCTGTCACGATCAACGGTGAGGATGTATTGTAGAGTACTGTAACTAAAGTGGTCCGTGACACAGGTGATTAACTCATGTCAAGCAGAAAGTCCTAGAGCCGGCTTTATATATGAACACCAAATCAACCTCCTTCTTCCTCCTCCTCCTCCTCTTTCTTCTTCTTCTTCTTCTTCCTCTCGAATCTGCTTTTTGCAGTCGATTTCATCTTCGATAAGTAAATCAGCAAATGGCTTCGTATTACTCTGGGTTTTTGAGTTGTGAAGAGCCACACTTTTTGGAATCTTGTTCTCTTTGCCGGAAACACCTTGGTCTTAACTCCGATATCTTCATGTACAGGTACTGGTTCGATTCAAATTAAAGCATTAAACTTTTCACTTACCCAATTCAGATTCTAGATCTGGGTTTTTCTATAATTCGTTTATTTGGTCTGATTTGTTTCTGGTTTTGTGAATTTACAGAGGAGACAAGGCCTTTTGTAGCAAAGAGTGTAGAGAAGAACAAATTGAATCTGATGAAGCTAAGGAGAGAAAGTGGAAAAATTCTTCAAGATCTCTCCGGAAAAAATCTTCTGAAACTAAAGAATCCGTCGCCGGCAACACCGTACGGACAGGAACTCTCGTCGTGGCGTAGTATAAGTTTTAATTACATAAAAATTATCAAGCAAATAGTTTTTTTTTATATAAATACCTTTTTGTCTAAAATCTATCCTTTAAAACAAAAACCCTCCTAAAACCACTTATATCTCCAAAGCTAAAAGATTTGCTCTGTTTCTATTCATCTTTTTATGGATCGGAGATGACTAGTTTTCAAATTTCCGATTGTCGGAATCTGAGAAATTGTAGATCTGGTTTATGTAAATGAATGTGGAGTTTTGGGAGAGAGAGAAAGAAAGATGCCAATAATTTTTGGCTGTGTGATGTGATGGTTTTGTAATCTGGGGTTGAAATTTTGTTCGATGTTCCATAATAAACAGAGCATAACTATGTTCTAATAAATTCAAATTTCTTTATCTTCGTGTGATCGTAAATCGTATCTTATAAATCGACAAAATTTATTTAGTCTGCAGTCTGCTACATCTTTGGCTTTAATTGTTATTCTCAATGAGAAACATATGTGGAAAATTTGTCTAGATACCAGAACAAATTAGTCACATCGAATGTTCTGGGGGGTATGCATTTTACGGCAACAAACAACTCCGGGGAATCTTTTATATGGGTAACAGTGACAGCTTTTATGGGCCTTAAATGGGCTTCTCAAGAGCCCATATAGTACGTTAAGACATTGACAGTTGCTACTTTCTATGAAGAATTGATTAATCAGAAGGTCACAGATATGTGTAATTTATCTACTAGTCATGGGTAATAGTTTATATGAGTTTACTTGTTCTCTAAGGAATGAAGAAAATGTGGACCTTTGACTTCTCAACAACAGAAAAAAAAGAAGAAGGAAAACTTCTGCTCCTCTCTGTAACTCAATTGTCAAAGCCTATTGTAGTCTTCTTGACCATAGCTAGACCGAGTTTGAAGTGTTTATACACCTTTGTATTATAAAATGTCCAAATCTGGTTTTCATTAGGTTCGTGTTCATCTATCTTTTGTTTTAAGATTTTCTTGGTTAATAAAATTTAGTAGGTACATAGTTTCGGTTTTCATTGGAATCGTTAGTAGACAGGGGCAAGAGAAACACAACAACTCCTATGTAACTGAGTGAATTACAATCACACAAACTTGCTAAGCGAACAGTGCAAAATCGATTAGATGCAACAGAGCAAGATGTTGAAACTACAACATTAATGACTAAATTGAGAGTTTAAGAAGTAAACGCAACAACACATTCATAACATTGTCAAGAAAACATCACCATTCATAATGTTGGTTCCCCATAAGTCTAGACGATTATGCAGTCCCACGAATCCCTTCTTCACTCCTATGCAAAACAACCATTTTGCACCAAATGGCTTGACTAATAGCACCACGATAGACCAGTTGTCTTCTCCATAAAAACGCCAGCTTGCCATAGTATTCCCCCATTCCAACGGATTGAAATTTGCCAAGATCCAAATCAGTAACAACCACTCTCCATAGCATCAGTTCAGAGTCATTCCACATCAACCCGAATCCAGAGAAGTTAATGTAGAGCACGTTGTTTATAACACACACTCCTGTCTTCCACCATTTATTATCAGGCAGCTCATATCTCCCACAAGAACCATCTCTCGTATCATAAAAATTCATATCACCGAATTAAAATAGAAAGCCCAGATCTTTCTGTCAAATGAAACTTTTGCCTCGCTAATCCACAGTTGCGGACCCATAGATAAATTTTATGTGGGTATATTTTTCTCTTAAATAGTATTATAATATTATTATTATAAATACAATTAAAAAAAATTATTTTCATACGCTATTAAAATGGTATATTAATTAATGTGATTTTTTAAAGAAAAAAATATAGTATATAAGGCAAAAAAAATGTATCTAAAGGTTAAATAGAAAAAAAGAGTGAAAGGGTTGAGTGAGGAATCCGAACTAAGGGTTTGGGTGTGTCACTCACCAGTAAACTACCAACTGTACTTTTGCAACTTAATGAAACTTTAGGCAAAACATGCTTATTTATTATTTAACCTGGGTCAAGTGACCCATCTTTCTTCTTAGTGGGTCCGCCCCTAATCCAACGCCTTTGATTTTTATTATTAGGAATCGGGGCTACTTCCCAAGATTTTGAGTTTAATTCAAATGCTTTCGCTGGAATCTCATCGTCTTTACAGCCTCCGATCACATAGATATTATCACCGACTAGTCCGATCGGTTCACGCGCATAAGAGGTCTGTCACGAAGTGTTCTAGATTTTGTGTCAAGGATAAAAAAGCTTGATGAGGGAACATCATGTGGAAAGAAGAAAATGTCTAAACCAATAGCTACAACGGAATGAGAGTAACGACAAGTCTCAGACCATGTACATAGCTGATATAATAAGGGTATCAGCAGCCCAGAAACAATATATTAATGGGTAAAACAATTGATTTGGGCCTGAACCTTTGATACCCAGTTTCCGGTGACGTGGCGGTGATTAGTCGGGAAAACGCGTTTCAGAAAGCAGAAAAAAAAAAAAAATCTTCATCTTCGTCGTCCTTCCGTTGCGCTCTTCCAATTATCTCTTCACCAGTAAATTGCGCAATGAAATCGACCAAGTTTTATAAACAGCGTTGTAGAACCAAAGTGAGGGACTTTTGTCTTTCTTCACTTTCCCGGAGAGGGTTCGTTTGCAGAGCTGATGAGTACAAGTTTCCGGATCCCATACTTGAATTCGCCGAAGCTGTGAGCTTATTTCCTCTTCTTCTTCCTTTTTCACTCAATTTTGATGGATGATTGAAACCTAATTGATGGTTGAAAACCAGGAGACTGAGAAATTTAAGGACGGCTTCTAATTTCGGATTCAAGCCTGTGCTTCACGGTTGTTGTCTACTCACCTATGTGTGTTTGAAGCGTATCTACTTCATCAACAATGCTATTTTAGTTTCAATCAATCTCTTCTCTGTCTAGTGCTGCTCCTTGTTTGGGATTTTGTGGTTTTGTTGCAGAGAGGTTTGCTCTACATTCATGTATCGCCTCCACTCTTCGCCGTTTTGGTTGGCCAGACGAAGCTGTGGTGTTTGCTTTAGCTACTCTTCCGGTTATTGAGCTCCGTGGTGCTATTCCTGTTGGTTATTGGATGCAGCTAAAGCCTACGGTTCTCACTTTCTTCTCTGTTCTTGGGTTAGTCTCTTAGATCTTCACTTCTTGATATTGTTGTTGATTTGTTCTTAGACAAGAGTTTGCTAGTGTCTTTGATAAAAGTGTGAAATTTGAGCTTGACTTTGTTCTTTTATGTTTGAGGGTACACGTTTCTATTGCTTAGTTGATTCTATATATAATAAGTTTGACTAAACAAAGTCTAACAAGTGTTCTCATTTCTGTTGATTCAAAGAGCTTTTGATTGAATTCTTTGTGCAAGTAGAAGAGAGGTACTGTCTCTGTTTCCTCTGGTTCTTCGTTTTGGTTCTTTGGAATTAGATCATTTGTTGGGGTGATGATTGGCTATGTTAGTGTTCTTGATCGTTTTTGAATTAGGTGATGATTCCAATGTTTGAGTTTTGCAAGTAAAGATCAAATTTTGCTTGATTTAGTTAGCTAATTTATTGTTGTCTTTGGCAATTTTCTCTTTTTACCAAAAACCTATTGCTCTTGCAGATGGGAATATTGTGCTCAGCCAAAAGTTGTTGTCAAAATCGAAATTGAGGAAGAGATGCTAGTCCCTTAAACTGCCAACCTGTATCACCATTGATGCCGGAAAAAGACAGATCTCTCCAAGTGAGTTTCATAGTAACTGTTATTTGATAAATATGAGATTTTAATTGCCTTAGGAAGTGCTGGAATTTCTGGGACTAGAAACATATGCAAGAAAAATCAATGGAGGAAGTATCTTTTGCAACCCAATGGAGCATTTTGTTAGAACTCGGGTAAATAAATTTAGAACAATCTCTCTCTCAACATTTTGATTGTTCCTCAGAAACTTTTCAATTACAAACATATTTTGTCTAAACCAGATCATAATGACTAAACTTTATGGCTACGTTGGCAGGTTTGCTGACAAAGAGTAACATGGAATCTGGTGCCATGTCCTTTCCCTTGAATTTGATTTTTGTTCCTTCACATTATCGTGTTGTAATCATATGAAAGACAGTAAAATCGAATGGAAGGGTTTGTATTGTACGTATGACTTGGGGTTGCTTGTAACTAATGAAATAAGAGAAGTCCCTTGATGAAAATATACAGTTTTACAACAACATCTTCATATGTTCGGAGGCGCTAGTAATCTCTCAAAACAATAACTTTGTATATTGAAAGTTGTGTTAATATAGTTCAAATATTTAAATAATCTATATCGAAAAAACATTGCATCCTTCACTTTGCAGGATTTTAGTTATGACATTACAATATTTTGGGATTAGATGATAAAATTATGGATCCACCAAAAATATAGTAAAAATCATATCATCAAATCACGGATATTAAAAACGATGTGCAATTATGCATAGCAGCATAGTAGAGATAGTTTGTGAAAGGCTTAAAATTTTTTCTTTGTAAATTCAGAAAACAAAAGATAATCTACAATAGCTTTGATCTTAGAAGGATCATTCTAGTTTGTTTGTTTTGACTCGTGGCGACTAAATTATCTTTATCATCATGTTTTTTTCTTTTAATGTTTTTTTGAATTTTATGTTTTTCTTTGTTTAAGTATATTCTACGTTTTTTTAATTGTAATATTACCTTTTATAATCCTATCTGTTTATATATTTATTTTCGATTTTGTAAATAATTTTTTTTATAATACTTAAATCGGTATCACCAATGGAAACATATTTAGTACCAGTTTCATAAAAAATCTCAAATAATAAACAAATATTAAAACTAATACTAAAAAATTGTTAATGATACTCATAAAATATCACTTATGTGCATGCTCTCAGGAATCAGCGGCAGATCGACGGGGACGAAGACATTCTCAGTCGTTCTGTTATCAAACATGCGGAGAGTGAACCAATGACTAGTCTTGGGATGTTTAAAATCGTCGATGAAACATATATAGAGATTAGAGATAATCTTTTCCCAGTAAAGATCGGATCTTTTGAATGTCTCGAACAAGATTCCTCAAGATCTTGGAAACTCAACATTGTATAGGCCGGGCCGGCTCAATTAATTTGGATTCTATGTACAAATTTTAAATATTAGCTCTTTCTTCGTACAAAAAAAAATGGGCCTTTTCATGTTAAAAAATCTTAAAAATTAGCTTTTTCATACTAAAAAAATATTTGGACATTTTTCATACTAAAAATATCTTAAAATCTTTAAAATATCATTTTTTCTTACTTATATATGCCACAACTTCACAATTCCTTATATAGGAAAACACTTGACCAAATCCTAATTTCATTAGGTGATATATATAGATAACTCCTCAATATATATATATTTCTAGATAACTCCTAAATATACTAATCCTAATCTCTTTATTAAACAAAATCTCCGTTAGGTTATGACTCAAGCTATCTTGAAACTTAAACCAACAATATATAGTGTATGAGAGCTTTTACCCTAAAAGTAATTAAAGAATTATATACAATATTGTATTGTAAATGGTTTTAAAAAAAAAAATATTTAGCAAAATTCTACAACTAATTTTGAAAATCTTATTTATCAACGTTTTGGAAACTCTACTAAATAATTTTATAGTTGAGTCCAAAAAATATGTGACGATGGAGTCTCGAATTCCTCTGTTTCCAAATCTTATAAACAGCTACTTTCATATTGAACATTGTTTTGAAATATTTTTAGCAGTTTCGAGTCATAATCAAGAACAGAGAGAAACAATTGAGAAGAGAGCATGTAACGAATAATATCTGATAAATGAGAAAGAATATTAAATTATATAATATAATACAAGAGCTATAAGCTTAACGGAATAACAAATTTATCAGATTAATAATTGTCACTATTCATTAACATAGTTATCAAAGTGAGCTAATTATGTTGTTTGCAGTTATTTTATAAGAAAGATTTGACATGTTACTTTCAATCTCTCTGTTTGTAGTGAACTGTCTGCTCTGATACCATGATCTGCTGTTTTGTCGAAGAAACACTTCATGCAAGAACCAAATTGAACTCTTAACCGGCATACATAGTTAGCTATATATCTCTTAAGATGGGCCTATATAGGCATAGTAATGATCTTAAGCGGAATGATCTAAAAGATGTTTTGATGAAGAACCTAGTGTTGAAGAGAGAAGAGATGGCCAACAGAGCCATAGACAGGACCACGAAGCCTTGCCATGGCCTCGTAAGAGAGGGTAACGACTGCATCAAGTCGCTTGTGCAAAGGCAATCTCAGTGATATCATAGAGGCATTACTGGCTCCAAATACTTTGTGAACTGCATCGAAACAAGGAGCGAAAATGCACCCTTTCACACACTTTCTCCTCCAAAACTTGCACGGCCCGCAAGTAAAGAGAGAGATAAGAAGAGAGGGAGAGATATTTAGAGAGAAGGAGGATGGGTTGTTTATTTACATCAGGCTAACTCGATGAACTAATATAAGTGTTTGGGTTTTGACTGTCAATGTAAGTTTCTGTATACTATTGAATGGCCGCTTATTTATTACAGTCGATGAGAGACAAATATTGATCTCATTTCAAAACAAGCTTTGAGTGGATCTTTCACTTTAGCCTTCTGTTGGTTACAGTCCACTGTTGAAGCTGAGATAAGTATTTTAGTTGGCAATTGCTTAATGGAGTTGGTAGTAATTGATCAATCTTTATTATTTTTCAATAATTCAACAACAATTGTCAATATATTATAGATTATCCACGATATGATCAATATCTTCCTTGAATCACCATGAGGGGACTGAAACACCATGTAACAAAACTACGCATGAGGCATGACGTATCTTGCTAGAATTAAAAAGGTCAAAACGATTCAACAGTGATTGAAAAATGAAGACTAGTTCCGTATAATACAAGAAACTTGAGATAAGTAGGAATACACATAAAATTCTCAGCAATTATAGACAACAGTTAAGGTAAGCAAATTCCATCCATCTGGTAAATGATTTAATTGATTACTCACAGGTAAAGAATTTCCCAAGACCCACCAAAGAACGGTTCTATATTGAAGATTCTACTTAGAACTCCCAAAATTACATAGTGAAAAACTTAAGTGTCGCCCTTTCTTCATTAGCTCTTCTCATCCTCCAAACGCAGTTTAGTATCATCCATTTGAAACCCGTGACAATCAGAAGAATGGTGGTTGAGCCACCGATATTGTATTCAACCACAGGACTGGTGAGAGGAGAGAGTATCATTGCTTGTTGTGTACCTTAAAGCCAAAGATCTTAGGAACATAGTTTTGAACCGGCTTCTGTGGTTTCATGTTCCCATAGGCCATGAGAAACAAATGAGGGAAAGTAGTTCCAAAGTAAGCTCCATCAATGTCTGCAATAAGCATTAAGGAAAGAACACTAAGACAAGTGGACAACACTCTTGTCTTCCAAAAGATTTATGCAAGTAAACTAGCTAATCGCAATGTTTTAACCAAACAATAGCAGATGCATCATGCTATGATAAGAAGATAAAGTTTTTTTTTTTAACAGAGGAGCAAAGGATACTGCCTTGGTATTTAGATCGCGGGTAGTAAATATCCTCGCATTTTGGGCAGTATATCTTCACAGTGCTCGACCTCGGGATATCAGATTGCCCAACCGGAAGACAAGATTGCCCGCAACAGAAAACTCTGGGGCATCTCCCGAAATCGTAATTCTTATACTTCTCCATCTACAAAAGCGAACGATATCATTTAAAAGATCAATTAGAAACAAAGATATATAAGAACTAAAGAAGTCTTGTTTCTTACCATAGCAGCCATTCCTTTAGTAGTGAGAATATAACGAACATGAATAAGACCATATAACATCTCAGCAGCTGATTCCACCATCTCATTCTGTTCTTCAGTAAACATATCACCTAATCCAATAAACATTCCCCCAAATTATACAAGAATTCTCAGACAAAGAAGCAAAGCCTAATTTTATCAAATGGACCCTTCACTTACCATTTGATGATTCAACATCTAAAATGAGATCAAGTGCATAATCATAGTAAGGAACTTGACCACTCAATCCACAGAGATTAAAATCATCTTGTATATAATCTTCATCTACTTCACAGAAAAACTCATTCCCTCTCAAATTACAAAACCATGAGATCCATGATGTATCATCACCTTCTGAACCACTCACATCTGATCCTTCACTATCAGTTTCAGATTCAACTGCAACCAAAAAAAAACCAAAATTTGTTATACCCAAATCAGAAAATCTTACTAAAACCACATAAAATTGAGTGAGATTTAAGCAATTAACCATCAGGTGAACGAGAATGAAGCTGAGATTTTGCAGTCGAAGTAGAAGGGAAAGAATCTTTGTCCTTAGAAGTGAAAACCCTAGATGTAGAAGGTGAAGATTTCTTAAGATGTTTGTCTAAAGCATCATTGATTCGTTTCCGATCAATAGCTCCACCAAGGATCTCCGATCTCGATGATCCACCACCACCCATTATTCCTCCTCCACTCCGATCCTTGTACATAACTCGATTCGATTCCCTCAAGGAAAAAAAACAAAACTTTTCAGCTTTAGATTCTCAAAGTCTTCGACTTACTTATCATCAGAGAAAGGAGAGAGGCGGATAAATCTAGGGTTTGTTTTTTCTGCTCGATAATTTGATCACAGAGTAGAAGAAAGAGAGAAGAAGAGGTAAAGAGTGCTCTGCTTTTCCCTGTGGTTTTCTCTCATTCTCTACTGTTTTGTTTTCTTCTCTTTGATTTTTTTTTGTTTTTTTATTTAATTCTGGTATTTACAAATGGGCTTTTCTGATTGGGCCTTATGATACAGACAGTAGTAAGTAATGTTACAAAGATTCATATAGAAGGAAACTTTTTGTACTTAAACTATGATTCCAAATTCTATCTTAGGAAGAAAGGAATCATAAAGTTTAATTTTTGGCTATTTTGTGTGTCAACACGGTAGTAATAATGGACTTGCTTTTCCTTCTTGTTAATGATGATGTGTTTGGTGGTCGATCCATTGTCTAAACTTAAATCGAAAAACAAAAAAAAATTGATCTAGAGATTATTAAAATTAGACATCTTGTAGAATTAGTCATGTAAAACTAACTGAATTTACAAAATTTGAGTTGATAAAAAATTGTTAAGAAAAAACTAAAAGTTTACAATTTTAATTCCTTTTATAAACCACTTATTTTCATATTGCTGGAAACATTTGGACCTTTGATTTTTTTTTTTTTTTGGTAAGTCTTAAGATTTTGGAAGAAATAAAGCAAAGGCTATCTAAAATCAAAAACGGGAAAAACAAACCCACCGAATTAAAAATAGACTCTTTTTAGGCTTTTGGCTCTCTGACAGCTCAAATTAAAGTTGACTCCTTTTTTTCCACTCTTTCAAAAATCTTGCAGCTTTTCCTCTAAAGTCTCATTCTCATATCTTCACTTAAACCAGAAAAACAGAGAAAGAGAAAGGGTAAGTAAAATCAGAGATATTTCTCAATCAATGTCAGCTTCAGTGGCTGCAACAGCAACACCATCAACAACAGCTACAACGTTTATAAAGTGTGTCACTGTTGGCGATGGAGCTGTGGGCAAAACTTGTCTTCTTATCTCCTACACCAGCAACACTTTTCCTACTGTATCCTTCTCTCTCTCTCTCTTTGATTACTTTTTTTGATGGCTTTTGGTGACTGTTGAGATCTTGTTATTACAGGATTATGTTCCAACAGTGTTCGACAATTTTAGTGCAAATGTTTTAGTCGATGGCAAAACTGTCAATCTGGGTCTCTGGGATACTGCTGGTACATGTTTTTACTTAAATGTCAAAGTTGTTCTTGTCTTTAAAGATTTATATCCTCAACTTTGTTTAATCTTTTGACCCTTTAAAAGAAATGTTACTCTTATCGTTGTTTCTCTCAATCTTGAACACTGTTGAGAAAAATGAATCTCTACACTGATCTGTTAGCCATATGATGCAATATTGTTTTGGTTCTTGAATTCACTGTCAGAGTCTGCTCTTGTTTCTTCAAAACTAAAATCAGTTCAGTTATGAGTTTTGTTGTATATCTTTTGGGTGATTTAACATTATACTACAGGTCAAGAAGACTACAATAGGCTTAGACCATTGAGTTACAGAGGAGCAGATGTTTTCATTCTTGCTTTCTCACTTATTAGCAGGCCTAGCTTTGAGAACATTGCTAAAAAGGTTGAGACTATCTTTCTTTTATTTTAAATTTCACTGCAATGTAACTTTACCACACTATCTCATGGCCATGTGGATCGGTTTTCTTTCGCAGTGGGTTCCCGAGCTGAGACATTATGCCCCAACCGTGCCTATTGTTCTTGTGGGAACCAAATTAGGTTGGAGATAATGAACCACTCTGTTATGTCTTGACTGTTACTGTTAGGAATCTCACATCAATAAGTGTAAGCGATGTAATGTAGTATATAAGATCAAATTTCTTGATGTTGCAGATCTAAGAGACGACAAGCAGTTCCCAATGAATTATCCAGGTGCTTGCACAATCTCCACAGAACAAGTATGTTTCTTTAAAGATTCTTCTTCAATGTATATGATCAAGAACCATGTTAAGAATCAAACTCTTTTATAACCTCAAAGATTGTTTCTTTTTAGGGTCAAGAACTAAGAAAGGAGATAGGAGCATTAGCATATATTGAGTGCAGCTCAAAAACACAACTGGTAACTAACTATAATGCTCGAGTTACATCAATCTGCTAAAGAAAGACTTATGATGATGATGATGGTGATGATGATTTTGCAGAATGTAAAAGCCGTATTTGATGCAGCCATAAAAGTAGTATTACAGCCTCCTTCAAAGACTAAGAAGCAAAAGAGAAAGATTGGTTTATGCCATGTTCTTTGACTGGTGTGTACTCAAGTCTCTGGCTTTGGTTTCTTTTAAATCTTTTTTAGTGTGTTTCTTCTATGAACGACTGTTGCAGATCAAAATCTGCAGATTAGTATGATTCATTATAGGAGTTTGATCTTGTAGTAGTGAGAGTGGTAACAGAGTTTTGATCTTTTAAGCTAAGTCTCATCTATGTAAAATAGTCATCTTTGAGTTTTCCTTGTTTTGGTTTTGAGTTGGATTCTATCTCTAACAGTATGATTAGCTATCTTCGTTATAAAAGTTTGATCATGTAGTAGAGAGATTGTTGTAACAGAATTATAAGCTAAAAGTCTCGTCTATGTAAATGAACAACGTTTGTCTTCTTTGAGTTTCTTCTTCAAGTTCAAGATACGACAACATCACCCGTTTTACCAAAAAAAAATAAAAAACATAAACCGTTTCTAACCGATTAAAACAGAATCGAATCAGAGAATAATAAACCGGGTTTTGGTTTTTTGGCAATATAACCGAAACCAAAATTGAATAAAATCTCAAATTCTCTTATTTTTAGTCTTCTCCTTCAGACTTTTCTCGAGTTCTAACGCCGAGAAAAAAACCAAACCTCATCATTGAGTTATGGTCAAGTTACAGGTCAAGAAGACTACAATAGGCTTAGACCATTGAGTTACATAGGAGAGTAGATGTTTTCATTCTTGCTTAGTCGATTATTTACACTAAGACAAAATATTTTGGAACTGAATCTTCTAAGTCTAAAGAAAGATTTGTGATGATGTGTTTTCAAAATGTAAAAGCGGTGTCTAATGCAGCAATAAAATTATCCTTTCATTTATTTTATTTATTTATTTTTTATTTTTCTATTGAATAGTAGGAGGTTTTCGGCCATAATCCATATTTTTCCCAGACTTAAAACCATAACATGTAATATTAGTTTCGCCCCAAGCGTCACTCGAACCGACGACTTTTAAGCTTCGTTTAATATCTTTACCAGTTGAGCTAATGATACTTGGTATCTTTTTAAAAAAATTAAGTAACAAAAGAAAAAGATTAGTTTCTGCCAAGTTCTTTGACTGCTTACTCCTTTAAATCTTTTAATGTGTTTCTATGAACGATTCTTGCTGATCAAAATCTGCACATATGATTAGTTATCTTCGTTATAAAAGTTATCTTGTAGATGTATCATAGTAGAGAGAGTGTTAACATAGTTAGTTAATTTATTTTCTTTTGTTCAATAGTGTTTAATAATAGAATTTAGTTACAAAATATATAAACCAGTTTTAACCAATTAAAACATAATCGGAGAATAAATAAACCGGTATTTGGTTTTGGCTATATAACCGAAACCAAAATTGAATAAAATCTCAATTCCTGTGATAGATTCTCTTTGTCTCTAGTATTCTCCTTTAAACTAAAACTCGATGTCTAACTCCGACGAACCACCGCAACAAAACAACCACCCGCCGTCTTCATCGCTGTCTTCATCGCCGTCATTGTTTTTGTGATTGCCATTAGATATCATTTTGATTATCTTAGCCCGCGTACCAAAATGGTATTACCCAATACTCTGTTGCGTCTCCAAGAACTTGAGGAGTCTTGTTCGCTCGCCGGCAGCCCCAACTCACATAGGTAGGGCGACTGTCCGAAGCTTTTTTTTTTGTTTAAAAAAATTTACATATTAAAAAACCCAAATATTTTAAAAAATTATTATTAATATAAGAATTATACTTCAAAAGACCCATTTCTTTATAAAAATAAATATAAAAGGCTCCAAAATTTTAAAATAATAATTTTTCTTATAAAAAAATCTTAAATTTTTGAAAAAAGTAGTAAAAAAAATATTCTTTTAATAATAATAAACCAAAAAAACTCCTAAATATATTGGGCCGGAGCTGCTCGCCGGAGATATACATGACTCGATCTTTACTCGAAAAGATTATCTTTATGTCAGTTTTTAAAAGTCCGCGGGTCCCGCGAAATTAAGTGGAGCGGATGCAAGTCTAGTATTTTCTCCCGCGAGTTTTGCGCGGCGGGTTTGACCCTCTTGGTAGCTCTATATGGAGTGCAGCATTGTCGGTCTCGTTCGGGTTAAACAAGAAGAGATTTATTGTTGACTGAAGATGATGATGTTTAGTACTTTCTTTAGTCTATATCAATACATTGTGTTACAAGATTATGAATGTGTTTGCTGCGTTTACTTCAACTCTTGATTTATTCATTAGTGTTGCAGTTTCAGCATCTTATTCCTTAGTTAAGTGTATTTAACATAAGATTTGTTGTGTTTCTCTTGCCCATTAAACCGATTCAATCGAAAACTGTATCTCTTAAACCGAATAATGCAATTACAAAATTATAAACCAAGGAATTTCTGATAACAAAAAAAAAAAAGATACGGAAACTGAATGAAAGCCGGATTGGACATCGGTAATACAATTACGAGTAAAGGCCCATTAGGGATGAGGATATTATGTGGGCCTAAAGCCCATCTTTCTTACCGTTTTTTTGTTTACAACACCGCAATAAAAGCTTGATCGCCACGTCTTTATTTTTCTAATCCAATATATTAATTTTATTTCTCTAATTTTTAGTCCAACAAGCTCAGGCTATTATCTCTCCGTTAATTAGGGTTTTCTTCTCTATCTCGATTTCAATACCATTGTTGATCCGCTGAGCTAGGGTTGTTCGATCCCGATAATTCTGTAGCTTAGCTCTGATCTCTGTTCATCGAATTTGGTTAATTTGTTCTGATTGGTTAAGAACATTGGATAGCGATGCCACCGAAGGTTGTGAAGAGGGGAGGCGCAGCGAGAAGAGGCGGGAGGCTTACGAGATCAGCGCTCAAGGCGCAGGATCCTCTGGTGGAATCTGCCCATGAAGAATTTGTTAATACCGGTGAGCTATCTGGCTCCGATGCAGTGGAAGCGAAGGAGGTGACGCCGGAGGTAGATAAAACTGTGGAGGAAGAGAATCCATTAGATGGGCCCAAGCCATCGGATTCAATTGATGATTCTGAAGCTGCAGCGAATCCGGATGCCGTTGTTCTATCGAAAAGTAAGATTCTTTGTTTTGTTTTTGGGATTATCTAGTTAACTTTAGCATCGTTTTCATTGTTTTGACGGATCTAAGTTTCGCTTTGACGAAAGTTTGTGACTTAGAGTTCCAACATATCTGACCATAGAGATTAACAATTTAAGAAATAAACTTATCTGACCATTGAATGTTTGAATCTAATTTGGATGATGGATTTAGGTTTAGCTGTGCTTAATTCTGTGGAAGATAGACGTATCTTCTGAGATTGTTATCTCTGAACAAACTTTAGGCTACCTGGAAATAGTGTAGATGTTTTACTCGCTTTTACTCGCAGAGGAGACTGAGGTAAAGGATTCTGTGGATGATTTCGGGAAAGATGAAAGATTGGATTTAGATGACAATGAACCTGAGTTTGAGGCTGAAGAATATGGCGGAGAGGAGTTTGAAGAGAGGGAATTGGGACAGGAGGACCATGAGTTGGTAAATGAGGAGGGCGAAGAACTGGAGGAAGAGATTGAGGTTGAGGAGGAAGCTGGTGAGTTTGCAGACGATATTGGAGATGGTCTGGAGGAGCTTGAGAGTGAGGATGATGATGAGCATGCTAATGAAGAAGTCAAGCATGGAGAAACTGTTGATGTGGAAGAAGAAGAGCATCATGATGTTCTCCATGAGAGACGTACGCGTAAGGAGTTCGAAATATTTGTTGGAAGTTTGGACAAAGGTGCTACGGAGGAGGACTTAAAGAAAGTGTTTGGTCACGTGGGCGAGGTGACTGAAATTAGGATTTTGAAGAATCCGCAGACCAAGAAGAGCAAGGGTTCTGCTTTCTTGCGTTTTGCAACTGTGGAACAGGCAAAACGAGCTGTTAAAGAGCTTAAAAGCCCAATGGTAAATTGTCTACACTTTAGTATTTGATGGAGAGTTTGTGTAGCTTTACATTGTTTATCATGCTCTTGGTCATTGGGACTGCAGATAAATGGTAAAAAGTGTGGTGTAACTGCAAGCCAAGATAATGATACCCTCTTCATTGGTAACATATGCAAGACATGGACACCAGAAGCTGTAAGTATTTGGGTGTCCGTAGATATGTCAATTAAACCCCAACTCCACAGTTCGTGGTGATCCTGACCATCAGGTATTTGTTGTTGTTCCAGTTGAGGGAGAAGCTTAAACACTATGGAGTTGAGAATATGGATGATATAACATTGGTAGAGGACAGCAACAATGTCAACATGAACCGAGGGTATGCCTTTTTGGAATTCTCATCTCGCTCAGATGCCATGGATGCTCACAAGCGTCTCGTCAAGAAAGATGTGATGTTTGGAGTTGAGAAGCCTGCAAAGGTCACTTTTACTGATTCTTTCTTAGACCCGGAAGATGAGATAATGGCGCAGGTACTCACATTGCAGGATCATTTATTTCTAGCAACTTTCATCCTACCATGTCTTCTTTAGAGCGTTGGAGGAGTTTATAGGGGCATGTGTGGGTGCCTTAATAGTTTTTTTTTACCATTTCTGGATGGTGACTTAGAACTTGCTAAACCCATAATGAAAACAGAATCAGAATAGATTTTCCTTCTGGCCCTCTAACAACATGCTAGATACTGATTTATTGATTGTTGGTGAATCTATTATATCTAATTATCTATCTTGCTCATAGTAGTTAGTTTTATAATATTTCTGGTGTTTCAGGTTAAGACTATCTTCATTGATGGTCTGTTACCTTCATGGAATGAAGAACGTGTTAGAGACCTTCTGAAAAGATATGGTAAACTTGAAAAAATTGAGCTTGCTCGCAATATGCCATCAGCAAGGAGGAAAGATTTTGGCTTTGTAACTTTTGATACTCATGAAGCTGCTGTGAGTTGTGCCAAATTCATCAACAACTCAGAGCTAGGCGAAGGGGAGGACAAGGTATGCATATTTTAAATGCATTATCCTTATCCATGCAAGTATTTTCTTGCTTTCTAATTCTCTTTTTTTTTGTTCCAGGCAAAAGTGAGAGCACGCTTGTCTAGACCACTTCAGAAAGCAGGTAAAGGCAGACAATCCAGTCGCTCAGACCAGCGGTCTAGGCATGGGACTGGACGGTCTGGAAAGAGTTCATTTGCTCGTCTTCCACCTCGTAGCCTTGCTTCCTCTCGGAGTGCTAGAGGCGCTGGATCTTGGGCCCCATCTTCTAGTGCAAAGAGAGCTGCTGTATCAAGAGGAAGACGTCCACGCCCACCTCTACCTCCGCCTGCAAGAGCCAGGCCATTGCCTCCACCTGCAAGAGCCAGGCCTTTGCCTCCACCTGCAAGAGCCAGGCCCTTGCCACCACCCGCTAGGTCATATGATAGAAGACCTCCAGGTACCACTGGAATTGTTACATGTTTAGTAATTTTTTTTACTTGAATTTCTTTTGTGTTGATGTATTTGATGATTCTGATCATATCTTCCATATTTTGTTTTGCAGTTCCTCTGTATCCAAAGGCTAGCTTGAAGAGAGATTATGATCGGCGTGATGATCTTCCTCCTCCAAGAAGCAGACCAGCTGTAAGCTATAGTTCCAGGCTTTCTCCTGAGAGGCATCTGTCTTACAGAGATGATTATCCACCTCGTGGTTCTGGTTATTCAGATCTTCCTAGAAGTTCTTCTCGCTCTGAAATGAGGAGGCCATTCGTAGATGACCCTTACAGTCCGAGATTTGAAAGACCTCCAAGTTACAGTGAAGGAAGACCTCGTGCTTATGAACCTCTTCCTGGATCAAAGCGTCCATATGCTGCATTGGTCTGACTTATTGTTTTCTCCGACCATTTTGTTTTCTAAATTTCTTTCCTTAGACTATGATTGTTTACTCTAACGAGTGTTCATTATTCAGGATGACATTCCTCCCCGTTATGCTGATGTTGATGTTCGTCATTCAAGACCCCGTCTGGACTATGATGTTGGCCCATCTCAATATGGGGAATCCTATGGGGACCGGTATGTTCTCTTTTTATGGATATCTTCAGTTATTTCTGGTTGCAATTTTCTGTGCCAAGTGTATCATTTTCTTACTTCCATGTTTGGTGTAGGATTCCTAGGTCTAGTCTAGGATATGGAAGCAGCCGAAATTCTATGTCAAGTCATGACTCGCGTGGCCCATACAGCAGTCGTCAGGGAATGGATTATGGAGGAGGTTTGATTCAGAACTTTGTGTTGTTACTTAACAGAGAGCAATACTTCATCGAGATACACTTACTGCCTTACATTTCCATAATGTTGTTTTTCTTCAGGTTCTTATAGTGGCAGCGATATAGGAGGAATGTACTCGTCAAGCTATGGTGGCGACCTACCCAGAAGAGATGTAAGTAGCTTCACAGTTTCCCTTGTTTAATTTGGAAAGTTAAGTTGTGTAACATTTTATCATTGGATTTGCAGGGAGGAGGTAGCTCGTATTCATCAATTTACTCAAGCCGTGGCTTGGGTGGTAGTAGTTACTCTGGTGGTGGTCCAGGATCATACTACTGAATGTGAGTGAGTAATAATCTTGGTTCCTTCGATTTTTAGTTGTTTGTTTTGGTTTTATTTGTGGGATATATGGTTGGTTGGAAGGCAATGCATGAATCTCCTCTTGAAAGGCCTGAGCAAATGTGTGCTTAAGTTTGTTAATGGAACACAGATTTCACATGATCGAGGCTGCAAGAAAAAGGTGGTTTGGCCATGCAAAAGTTGTGCAGAAAAGAAGCTACTGGCTGCAAGAAAAGGATTAAAGCCAGCTTCGGTGAGACTGTTGGAATATTAATGGGCTTGCATCTTCAACTGCACTTGTATCTCTTTTTATCAGATGGGATAATAAGCTCGAGTTTTATAGAGATGGTTCATAGTTGTGGGACTCGTTATGTATCATATCTATCTTGAATAATGGACGGCTTTGTTGGAACAGAGATTTAGCTGTGTTTGTATGATTGATCCATCAATTTAATTAAGGTTTCTTCAAGAAGGCAATAATGTTTTCAGCCAATTGCACCGTCTTCTCAGCTTAATATTTGCATTACTTTCGTTTAGATCTGATGCTTGCTCTGTTTTACTCTCTTTGTGGAGAAACAGAGACATTAACCTTGAGACTTGTTGAAGAGACATTAACAAGAGATCTATTAGCCTTGAGACTTGTTGAAGAGACAGTAACAACACTGTCGGAAACAAAACAATAAGAGAAACTGAGGAACTCCCAACTTTTATACACTTTATATAACATAAGTAAGCAGAGGATACATTACTGGTGTTAGACAGATGCATGAGCTAATAAAAGCTCTTTCGATTTCTACAATCTAGAAATTTGAAAATCACACATAATTTAATTTATGGCGCCTTTGATCATCAGGAGTCAGCAGCTAAAGACGACGACATTCTTCTTGCTTTCTTCTTCTTGTCCTCCTCCTCCGTATGATCTGATAAGCTTTTAGCAAATGCTTCCACAATTCGTTGTTGCGATTCCAAAATCATCTTGGTCCTCTTCATCTCTGTATCCATCCTCATCGCTTCTATCTCTCTCGTCATCTCCATTCTCGTCTGCTCTGTTCTCACCAACGTATCTCCAAGTAGCTTTATCGCACTCGCTATCTCCACCATTGGATCATTATCATTATCATCATCCTCCTCCGTCTTCATCATCATCTCTCTCCCTCGTTTCCCTCCTCCTCTCTCTTCTCCTTCAGGAATTCTCACCACTCTAGCACCGTAGTTAGATCCTCCTGCTCCGATACCACGACCAGGTCTCGGATTTGAACTCACACCAGAACTTGGACTCGCCGTGTATTTCTGATCAATCTTACCGGGAAATCTCGGTCCTGGCTGTGCTATACTCACTCCAGTCGGTATCCGAATTCGAATTCCGCCGCTACTACTACTCCCTCCACCACCACCAGATCCAGCCGTACCATTCCTATTATAGAACCTCGGCGTCGTCCTTGCCACTAAGCCTCCTCCTCCTCCTCCGCCGTTTTTGAATTGATACCTAGCTGTGTAATTCCCATCATCATGATCCTCATCTCCACTTTCGTTACCTTGCTTGATCTCTGGTCTATTCTCCATAGCTTCCATTCGCTTAAAATGAACCCAAGACGATATAAACCTCGCCACCGGCACAGATCTAGCTCTCTGGATCTCGGTACGGTACCTTTTCCGGAGCTTCTCCATCTTGTGACGGCACTGAACCGCGGTTTTCTTCAACGTCACGTCGGGGCAATTAACACCAACCGCTTCTGCAACTTCTTCCCAGTGATTCGCCTTGAGATTTCCACGGTTCAGAGCGTACCATTTGTCTCTGTACGCGTCAATTAGCGCGATCGTCTCTTCCAGAGACCAGCACGGCGGAGGTAACCGCCTAGAGTTTTTGGACGCGGCGGGGATGGAGACGCTCTTCAGATCTGTGACGGAAGCTGGTTCCGTTGACGCATCGTCTTGAGCGGAGGAAGATAATGGTGGCGGGAGTGGAGAAGATTGGATCCGAACCGGTGATGGATCCGGAATCGGATCGTGGTTCATCGGAGAATCCGGATCGGACATGGATCAAAAATTATGAAGAAAAAAAAAAGACAGATCTCGTGAAGGAAGAGAAATGGCTGTGATGCGATGGCTTTTCGCGGCGGCGATTGCACGTAATATCGAGAAGATAAGGGAGAGAGGAGAGAGAGAGAGAGTGGAGGAGAGGCGTATGATAATGGTTGGTGGCGGAGGATAAGGTTAGATAGAAGCGTAGATTAGCAGAGTTGGTAATAAAGCCTTAAGCGGTGGTGGCGGAGGGTGGTGGGGGCACACCGTCGTGGACGACACGTGGAATAATAATGATATTTGGATCGGTGTGAAATAAAAAAGAGAAAAAGCGGCTGATTTCGGGGATGATGAAGCCACCAAGCCACCGTAGTCATCATGGTTGGAGGCTAACGTGAGCCGTGTTTTACGGAGCCGGTAGGTGGCGTAAGGTGGACTCGCGAACCGCTCTTGCCGTTTTTGGGGCTGATTAATTATGTTTTTGGCGTCTTCCATTTTTCGACTTCTCTCTTGCATTCTTTTCTTTTTAGGAAAGTTATTTATTAATATCATGAGATTATGATTCGTTGATTTAAGGCTTCAATCCCCATTAACACAATTTGTTGGATGGGCTTAAACTTGAATGGGCTATTGTTAATGGGCTATATTTTAAGCATGCGCAGAATCTTGTGTCTCAAGCAAGGTTTAGCTCTCTTCAGTCTTCACACTGCTTCAGGCCTCAATGAAATTAGCTGTTGTGAGAGAAGCAGAAGCTCAAGAGAGTTCAGAAACGTGATAATGTGTTATTAACTTATTATTATTCCCGTGTCATGTGTTAATTAAGCATACGAAGTAAGGAATCTCTCATCAAACATGTGAGGACTTAATCAATAATGAAAGTGTTAACACTAGCTTTTTACTATTTTATTGTACTTGCTTTTTCGATTAATGAGAAAGCTTTATTATTCTATGATATTACAACTTTTTTATTTATTTAACATCTACTGATATTAAGCTTTATCGGGTTCTTATCTTCTGAGTAAAATTAAGAATTATGCTCGATTAACATAGTTTAAAATTCAATTATTAAAAACAAGGAAGGCAGGTAGCAAACTTCACCACTACACATTCTCTTCAGCAGTTCAGCTTACTTAGTATATTATATATAGAGGTGTGTGTACTTGTCTGAATGTGGATAACCTTAATTATAATAGATTGGATATTCCTTGGGACTCAAGAAAGGTGGAAATAATGGACCATAGATTGGTTGATGCATAACAACACTCAAGTTGCTCCTTCAAGAAGATCCTCTGCTTCTCGAGCGTCTCTCTCTTTCATCTCCAGAGAATCCTCTCCATGTCTCAGCCTTCGCAGGCCAAGCCACATTCACGGCAGAGATCTTGCGTCACAACCATGGTTTAGCTCTGGAGCCGAACCAACAAGGGTTTAGCCCTCTTCATATTGCTTCAGCCTCAGGGAACATAGAAGTTGTGAGAGTGCTCCTAAGTGTTGGCCGGAAACGTGATGTCTGCTTCTTGAAGGACAAAGACGGTTTGATTCCTCTTCACTGCGCAGCGCAGAGAGGAAGAATCGAAGTCATAAGAGAGCTGGTTTCGTCTTTCCCTGAATCTCTAGAGGAAGTAACGGCTTCTCTTGAGACCCCTCTTCATGTTGCTGTTAAGAACAATCAAGTGGAAGCTACAAAGTTGTTGCTGGAAGAGATCAAGAATCATAACATACCATGGGGGATCGTTAACCAGGAAAATCGAGAAGGTAATACAGTCTTGCATCTTGCAACACTTGGGAAACAGCTTCAGGCAAGTAGTTTCTTCTTCTTTACTCAATCATTTACAAACCTCATATCATGATCCTTAACCAAAGAATCTAATTAATATTGTTGTCTACGACAGATTGTGGAGATGTTGATAGGTGAGGAAGCAATAATCCGTGGATCGGTAGATGCAAATAAACAAAACAGAAGCTGGTTAACACCAAAGGATATTCTCGACGTGGTTATTGAAACCGACGGAGGAAGCAGTGTTTCTGAAATGTACAGGGTTGTTCAAATCTTTCAGACAGCTGAAGCAAGGAACGCAAGGGAGAAACGTAAAGACCGTAAACCAGTTGGCCTTAGTAGAAATCCTTTTCGTATGATTAAGAAGTATCTAGACTACGAGATTACTAATTCCACACTTGAACAGCGCGAAACTCTATTGGTTGTTGCAACACTCATAGCAACACTTACATTCACTGCAGTCCTTCAGCCTCCAGGAGCTTTCAGAGGTGAAGACTCTAATGGTGGATCTGGATCACAGAACAACAACAACAACAACCGAATTATAAACACTATTTTCGGTTCCAGGAACAGCACTGAAGGACAAGCAATCATGGCAGCTAGTCCTGTTAACTTCACTCTCTACGCTGCCTTCAACGCGGTTGGCTTCTTGGCTTCAGTTACAATGATCTCGCTGCTAACTAAAGGGTTCCCTCTGAGAAATTGGATAAGGCTTTGCATTATCTCAATTGTTGCTACTTACCTGATTGCAATCTTCTATATAGCACCAGCTGAGAAGATATTCTCGCTGGTGGTTCTAGGTGTATCGTTGCTCTTGGTTCTTCGTGAGGTTTATCTCTTCATCTACTCATTGATTAAAGCTTTTCGGATTGCAAGGCGTCTCTAACTTTCTTTTTAATCAATTCATCGTCTCAGTTCAATCTCTTTGTTGTTTCTTTATCATATTTGCTTGTGTATGAGTGTGTTTTTCTTTTTGGTTATATACCTATCATTGTAAAATGTAATCTTTAAATAAGTTTTCTCTCGTCTTTCTCGTATGAATTGAGATTTATAAATTAAAGATTTTATTGCTAAAGATTAAGGGGGAAAAAACCAGGGGGAAGAATTTAATTTCATTATATTTTTAGCCTTAAATCATTTTTAGTAGAGCGGATAAGTTTATTTTGTTTTCCCTCTCGATTGGCTAAAAATCCCTTATTCCTCCTTGGGTCGATTTGTGGTTTGGTGTGTTTCCTGTAGTTGTATAAATTTGATTGGAGATAAGGCAGATCTGAAAGGAGCAGAGCCAGATCGGAATCGTATGCCGCAAGCCAAGGACACGAAAGAGGGCATTTTTGACCTAAGTTCCAAAATATGAGGACGCGCCGTCGAACATACACGTAAGCAACTCCGCCGTCTTTGGTCACAGTGAAGAAGCCCATAGTTCAAGCACTTGCAGCAGTGTCCTGTACAAAAAGAGGAAGAAAGCTCCAATCGTGAGTGTTTTCTTCTCCTTTTAATCCACCCTTTAATTAGGGTTTATGTTCGTATTCATATGCTTAAGTGAATAAACCTAGAGAGTTGGTAGCTTTCACTATACCAACACTCAGTTACCCTAAATTCTTCTTCTAATCCTCAGATGCACTGCAAAAGCAGCTAAAGGAAATCGTGGTGGATCGAAAAAGAAGAACAAGTGTAATAATATAGGAGGATTGTTCTTTTACCAAAAAAAAAAAATATAGGAGGATTGTGGGCTCTTCTTCCCTTAGATCTCCTGCGGGAGATACTGTCCGGGCTTGGATTAAAAGCCAACATACAAGCTTCCGTCGTCTGCAAGGCATGGTGCGAAGCAGCTGTCTCTGTTCGCAAGTTACAGCCTCCTCCTTTGCTTTTTCTTCATTCACATCACGCAGTGCCTCCTCGTAATTACGTTATTCCTCACCCATTACGGTTTCGACCATGTAAGCTCGAATTACCAGGGTTGCATTTTCCCCCTAAATCCACTTTTTCAAAGGATGGTTGGGTGCTTGCGAGAAAAAGCGGGCCCTTTTATGCTAGTACACTTCTTCTTAACCCGTTTACCCGTGAGAGCTTCTACTTACCCCCAAGGAGACACGAACACAGATCCCGTTTTTTAGCTTTCTCAGCCGCTCCTACATCACCTAGCTGTATGGTCATCTCCTACATCCAACTACGATCCTGCGGATCTGTTTTCATCGATACTTGGCGGCCTGGTGAAACCGAATGGACTACACACTGCTTTGAGAACCAGTTACCCTTTCGCTATTGGCCCAAATGTGTCTTCTCCAATGGCATGTTCTACTGTCTAAGTGAATGCGGCTATCTTGGGGTTTTCGACCCCTCTAAAGCAACATGGAATATTCTTCCAGTGAAACCATGTCCGGCCTTTGATCAGTATGATTACTCTCATAACCCAGTGTTTATGACGGAGCATGAAGGAGACATCTTTGTTATTTATATACACTGCTACAACAACATCCCAACCGTGTTTAAACTGAATTCTAAACACAAGGAATGGCAAGAGAAGACAGATCTTGGTGGCTTGACAATATATACAAGTTGGCCTGCCTCTTTTGTAAGAGCTGGTCTCTCCACTGAGCACAGGAACAAAATATATTCATCTCGTCTTGATTTATTTGGGCGGTATGGCATGTACTACTCCCTCGGTGATGCTAAAGGCTCCGATCCCCCTCGAGATCACCTAGCGACTCACCACATCCTTTGGGTGGAGCCACCTCACAACAACTTTCATTTGTGACTTCATTTATCTTTTGTATCATCACCAACTTTATTTATGCAAGGTTTTATTTGAGCTATTAAAAAGACTCGGCAGTTGCTGATTCTTGTCGTATCGTTGGTTTATGAGAGTGTGAAAATGTGTGTGAAAATGTCTTGTCGTATAAATTTGACTTTTAGATTAATAAAATCAATCAAGATTGTGGAGACGTGGGAGAGTTTGAAAAGTTCTGTTTCTTTCTGACTAAACTTAGTTGAAAATCAAATCCTGAGTATCTGTTTTTAATTCTTGCTAAAAGGGTTTTTGACTTAGCAGAAAGAGAGAGAGAGACATGAAGAAGAGTCCGATAATGGAGGCTGCTCGAAAAGGAGATGTCGATGTTTTACTCCGATCAACGGAATCTGATCCGAGTCTTCTTGAAGTTATTGTAATTAACGGCGACGAAACTCCGTTACACGTTGCCTCCATGTACGGACACTTGAGTTTCGTCAGAGAAATCCTCAAACTAAGAGAGAGTCTCGGAAGAGAATTGAACAAAGACGGATTTACACCTCTGCATATAGCAGCATCCATGGGCCACGTTGAAGTCGTGAGAGAGCTTTTGGATAAGCTAAGTAGTGAGATCTGTTTGATCAAAGGTAAAGAGAGAAAGATTCCTCTTCATTACGCTGCTATGAGAGGAAGGGTTTGTGTTCTTGATGAGTTAGTGTCTTCAAATCCGGAATCTCTTGAAGAAATCACGGCTCGTGGAGAGACAGTGCTTCATCTTGCGGTTAGATTCTGTCAGTTTGATGGATTCGTTGTTTTGTTGGAACGTCTTAAGGAGTTTGATAAGCTTTTTGTGTTGAATAAGAAAGACAATGGAGGCAACACGGTTTTGCACTTAGCTGTTCAGAAACGACAGTACGAGGTATCTGTCAGTCTCATTGACTTTTTTCGGTAATGGAATGTTCAATTTATTTGGATCGTTTGGACACTGATATGAAACTGCAGGTGATTGACTTGTTGCTTGGCTCTAAAGAATCTAATAACACAATCGCACGAGACTTCATTGAAGTGAACTCTTTAAACTCTAATGGCTTCACACCTCTTGATGTGTTATTTCACTTTGGAGGTGAACCAGAAGACCCAGAGATTCATCAGATTCTCTGTGAAGCAGGAGCTGTAAGATCAAGAGATCTTGACACAAGACAAGAAACAACAACAGAGAATGAAACAACACAATCAGAAGAATCTCTGATGACTCACAAGCAATGGCTAGATTACTTCAAGTACAAGAAAGACAGAGTCTCACCTAACGAAGTTCGTAATGTGTTACTGGTTATCGCGATTCTGATAGCTACAGCAACTTATCAAGCCGTGCTAAGTCCACCTGGAGGTGTTTGGCAAGAAGATTACTGCATTGATGGATATTGTCAAGTAACTAACTCAAAAGGAAACAAAACTAAACCGGTTTATTACGCAGGAACAACGATAATGGGATCAAAGAGTTGGATTTCTTACGGCATTTTCATCTTCTTAAACTCGATCGGGTTTTTCACTTCTATTGAACTAATCTCTTTACTCACAAAAGGTCTCCCTTTCTATCTTGAGCTACAAGTTTCATTGACTGCTGTTGCCTTGACCTATGGATTTGCAATGGCTGCACTTTCTCCTAATTTCGGATTAGGCTTGTTCTTCTTGGTGATTTCCGTGGTATTACCCATCGCAGTAGCGAAAATCCCGAGTCTAATTCGAAAACATGCCAAGAAAATCAAAATCTATCCTCTAAGAAGCACTACAACGACAACCAGCTCCTAAAATCCCAAGTTTCAATCTCAACTTGCAATTCCTCTGTTTCCTTTTACATACTTTCTTGATTGTTTTGTGTTCTTGAGTTGTATATTTCAAGAGACTTGAGTTAAATAGTACTTTTGTTTTGCTCTTGTCAATAACCATTATTTGTATAAGCTCTATCACAAGTCACAGTCTCTTAGCTTCTTTCAAATTGGCTATTTTGAATGTGATTTCTTTTTCGTTACACTCTGTCTCTCTGCTCTGCACATGTTCTTTTGTTCCCTTTATAGAAGAACCAGAAACAACAAATCTTATTCACCAATCCCAATTATTGTACCTTCTCTACTTATTATTATTACTAAAGTAATAACCCATGTTTCTGATCTGACATGGGTAACATTTGAATATCAGACAAAACAAAACATAAACAATCATAACAATTTCAACAAAACCCAAAAAATTATGTTTGGTTATTTAACTAATGACATTTAAATTCTTAAGCCAGCCAGCCTGTAAAGATAAATTTCTCATCTGTCCAAATCTAGAGATAGAGATAGACAAGAACTTACTGGTTGATATTGAATTTCTTATTTATTCTTAATCAAGATTTGATTAAGACAAGATAAGAGTCCCTGCCGACTAATCTCTACATCATCTACAACTACACAATTCATTTTTAAAGAAATGAGAAATTGATAAAGAGACAAAAAAAAAAAGATTTAGATGTTTTTTTTTTGGATTTTTGTTGTGATTTAAACAGCGAGTTGTTGTTGTTGTTGTTTCTGATGAGAAGCTTCATCGTCGTTGAAGGTAATGACAGATCTTGATGATGGGACAACAACGAGAGAGAGAGGTTGAAGAAGAGTCATTTCCTTCTGAAGATAAGAGAAGTAGGCGTTGAATGTGTTTGGCGTCACGTTTAATTCAAATCCTAACCCGAATAAGAAATCCAGCTCCAGAAAATTCATCTCTTTCGTGCTTATTCCTCCCACTTTCGCGTAATACGCATTGTTGTAGTACCTGTGTTAATAATTACCAAATTTAAGGTTTAGTAAATCAGTGTCAAATCATAAACTTTATCAAAAATTGAATCTTTAAAGGAACAGAGCAGCCGTGAAACAGGGGAATGATTGATTGACTGATTGATCATTATGATGTCTGAGCCAAACAATGATTCAGTTTAAACTGTTAAAATTCAATCTATAGTTTAAAAAAAAACAGACTTAAATCTAAATTTAAAACTCCTGAGATTCAGACAAAACATCTGAAACAGAGCATTCATGAAACAGGGGATTGATTGATGATCATCTTTTAGTATGTCTGAAAATTTCAACTGTGATAGTGAATTCTGATGTTTAAAACGAATAGAATGCGAAAACTTACAGATCATCGAGGAATTTAGCAGCGACCATGACACTGGTGATGAGAAGACGATGAACATTAAAGGAATTGATGGGAAGTGAAGGTTGTCTGTGAGTGAAACGATCGAGATAAACGTAAGCCACGACGAAGCAAGAAGGACTACAATTTGCGTATTTGAAGATCCTCTCTAGATAGTTCTGAATCGTTATGGTTGGTCGACTCAATCCATGGAACACCGAAACTCTCTGTGACTGAGTCGTGACTCGTCGGGTCAGATCGTTTGACTCAGCAACTCGCTCAAGCAATGAAGATAAGAATGCTATTAGCTTCGACATTACACTTGGGTTCTCAAGCTCCGCCATTTTTGTGTGTATGAGAGAGAGGGAGAGGAAAAAAAAAAGTAACTTTTTTTTTTTTTCGTGTGTGATGATGAAGAAGAGTCTTCTCTTTGCTCTGCTCTGTTGTTAATGGCGTGTGTTAAGCTGGTCGTTATATTGGGTAGTTATTATTTATTTTTTATTTTTTATTTTAGTAAATAAGTAAATATTTGTATTTTCTTATGTTTTTTTTAAATCCAATTTCAATTTTAGGAATGTGTCTATTTTGGATTTTCAATTGTGTTATTCATTAGTCATTAACTCTTCTATCACCGTCGGCGGTGGAACCGAAATGACCAAACTATAGTAGTATTATCAAAATGAAAAAAAAAATTAAATCATTAGTATATGGGAAATGTGGGGTTTATATTTCACAAGTTGGTTAATGATTATTGAATTTGAAAACTTAAGTTCTAACAAGAGGGAAACACAATTAATGCATTAAACACAACATATCAAATCGACGCAGTTAAACGTAATATCGTATCCTAATCAATATATATGAAATTATGCAATCTGATTTGGGATCATTGTAATCATAATCCTTATACTGTAGAGTTTTACCTACGTCATAAACTATATACACTTATGTGAATTGCAAGAAAAATGTATAACTATTATGTGTCTTAATCTTTGGTTTCTAATGTATGGAGATGGGATCCCATACTCATCATGTTACATAACATGTGGGGAAAATTTATTTAAATTAGAAAGTCACGATAGTGATCTAACGAAATGCATGTGTTTCTAATAATGTGAATCAATTCCCATCTGGTAACATCAAAATTTAATCCTTTCTTTATAACCCCAAAAAATATTGATTGTTAAAAATATCGATATGAAGAAATAATAATAGATCGATCTAAATCTAAGATGCCAAGAGGGACAGCTAATTTGAACGCATTTAGCAAAATTCTAAGAATAGAAAACCCAAAAGTTAAATTAGCAACCAAAGAAAGAAAAAAGTGAAAAAAGAGAGATTTCACGTTTAAAAAAAAAAAAACTTTACAGGGATATGTCAACTTGTGTGATCAACTGATTATCAGCACTTTGGAACGTTTCACTTAATCGAGTTTATTTGCTTCATTTAATAATATATTAAAATAATAAAAGATTTATGAAACTGTATAAAATTAAACATATTAACTGAATTTTAAATGGAAGCATGCATGTGGACTGAAAATTGTAAGAAGTATATAAATTTAGTCCTTGTATTATATCGTGTTATATGTTAGAAAATCTTTTTTTCTTTTAAATAACCGAAATTCAAATTATCGACGTTGAGATCTATTGCATGCAAATGAAAGTTACAACTTACAAGGAACACAAAGTCTTGAACTGGATTATCATATTTTCAAATACTGATTCTCTACTATTTGTGTATAGATTTACATTTTTCATGTTTTATAACGCATTTTCACTGTGCTCTATACGTAATTTGCAATCCAATAACCGATGCCTTTTTGTTATTTCGTTGATAATTTATCTTCCGAATAACATTACAAATACCGTAGTTCCATTCATGAACTACAAACTGAAGTAGACAAAAATTTATTTAATTTGGGTTTTGTATGATGCGAGTACTGATCGACAGATCGTATACTTGATTAGTACTAGTACTACCTGAAGTTACAAGAAAAAACATTTAATTAAACATGACAGCCAGGTTAGATTGGGATTGGAGTGATGAAAAAGTAAAGCATGTCTCGTGAGAGAACTAAGAATATAGAGATCTTTTATACATACGATATGATTTTCAAGTGTAGAGATATATAGTAGTTTAAAACCCAAATAAAATAAAATATATTGGAGTAGTTTTTTGGAGCATTTGGGGATCATCAATAACTGCGTAACGTGTCTCTCGCTTATCGTATCTTTTTCATACCCAATTTCCATGTGCTACTCCATGTGACCCTCCCCTATCCTTCAAATACGCCTTTTCCTCCTTTAGTTTAAATTCATATAATAGTTATAAGAAGATTAAAATAATTCTATAATTCACAATATTTATATTTTAGTATACATTTAATATTGATATATAGTATACGCCTAGTCTAGTCGATAATTTGTCTTTGAATTATATAAAGATGGAGGACCACATTTCTTGGTTGCATGTACAGTTTTTTAAAATTCCGAATTCGTTTGTGATTTTTTTTGTTTCTCTATAAGCCAATTCTCTTTTCAAGATATTTATTTAAATCAGACTATATCAAATATTTTTGTTGTTGAAGATTTTATCAGACCAATCCATCTCTATTTGGTGGGCCTAGCTATTATCCATTTCATCTTAAGTTGCATACGACATTTTTGTTACTAATATCTCCTAAGAAGATCGAAATGATACATACAACAATCGTTCGTGGAAATATTAATAAACCAATAGTCGATGTTGTTGGCTTACACAAAAGGGCCCAAGAACCACTTATCTGCTGCCACGTCACGATCAAAGAAAGAACATCATTTAGGCAGTTCAATACTCATATTATACAATGTTTATAATTTATAAGTCTCTCACTCTTCTACCATCGCTCCACAATCATCTTTTGAGCCGATTATGGGCCTAACATGGGCCGTTTATTGAGTATTTCTCTACTTTCGGAAAACCCCAATGTTAAAAAAATATATATATATATATATATTTTTTGTAACACCAAATTTCATCTAATGATATTTACTCTCTTAGCAAAAAAAATTAAATATATATATATATATATATTGAAATGTTGATCCAAAGAGTAAACAATTTTTTACCATATTTTTCAAATGAAAGATAAACCCAAACATATCTCTTATATATAGAGAAACTATTGTAATGTTGTCCAAGAAATAACAAATAATGATCATAATAATGTTGAAATGAAGATAAACCCAAACAAATCTAGACATCAGATCATAAATCTTTCTTTTTGTCCCTCAAGGTTCTATGCAATGCATGATGCCATGATGTTGCTATTGGTTGGGGGAATCAATACCCTATAAAATATTTCATACTAAAATCCAAAAGAAAAAACAAACTTTATGTTTCTTCCTCTTTACTTGAATAAAGTTTATTATTCCATTAAGAAAATTTTAAGTCATATAATCTAATGAGAAATGTTAACAAATCGTGTAATAAGAGGTGGACCAATATATGTACAGAAAGTGAAGGATGTGTCAGGGCACAAAATAGGTGGCTTACTCAGTTTACTCACACTCCACTTGTGTCTGGCACACACTGATAAGCAGCGAGTCACATGCCCTGACTCAGTTTCAGCGAGTTTGCCACTCGCAATTTTATTTGCCTTTTACCATCAATAAATACATACAAGTAACCATTTCAATATTTAATCAAATCAAGTTGTATTTCTTTAGGCTGCTTTACAATTTTTATGCACTAAGTAGAGTGAAGAAAGAAGATGTCGTCAATCGTATTTGACTTGGTCCTCTATCAAAATGGTGACAATGCATTTGCATCTTTCAAGAACGAAGGTGATGATGACGACGATGTAGTCTATGATTACGCTCCGGCTGCATGATTCAATCATCTATAGTTATAACATCTTCATCATTAGGGGAGAGAGAGAAGCTTTTCTAGCTAGCTAGATAACCCTAATTAGTATACTTAATTATATAGACCATGTGCTAGTTTGTGGCTAAGCTAACTTGAGTGTTGTTACTACCTTGTAATAAACTAGTTACCTTTTTGTTTCTTCCTTTTATGGCTTTTATAGTAAGCTAGTTATACCAGATCTACAATGTTGAGTTGTGTCTAATATCTTATTTTCGTTGTGAAAATCTTACGTTAATCGACCATTTGAGACATGTATTTTTGAACATTGAACTGATCATTTGTTGTAGAACGAAATTAATAGTAAAATTGTAAACTCGAAAATTCAATTATAATAAAATTTGTAACGACTAGAAGTAGACTTCACTTCATAGTAAATTAATCACTTTAAATCGTGTGTTTATCTTTTTTTTTTAATCAGATTTTGGGAACATATATAATGTATTTATTTTTCCTGTTCAAGAAATAGATCATGTACCAATAAAATATAATGTATTCTTCATCTGATAATTAAGTACTTTGCTTCAGAATCACTTAAACAAAAATTTGTTTCTTTCGCACCGTATCAAAACTGAAAAACTAACGCATTGAAAGTTTTAACCAAAATGAACAACCAATGTCAATATATATTATTACATATGTATACTATATGTATGTAAGCAACAAGTCAAGAAGATATGCATAACATCTGATGACTTATGACATACTCTAGAAAAACACATGCAATATATCACACATCTATATGTGCACAGATATATCTGTCTATATATAGATATATAGAAAGAGAGGTTAAAAGGAAGAGAGACAATCATGGTCAGGAGAAGTGGAGTCATCAGAGGGAATGTGGTTGTGACGACCTTCGTAAGTAGTAATCACCATTCTACAATCTTCCGATAGTCGCTCCACTCTCTTCTTCACCCTACAGTTGTTGTGTGTGCATCTGTAATAACTCCTGTATATATATTTCATTCATTAATACGCATCATTAGACATAATAATTAGATTTAGTTAACCATTAAAAATTGTGTGAATATATGCAAAAATAGTTGGAAATATGTGTAGACATGGCACAATAAAAAGAGATAAAAATAGAAAGGGATTGTTTTCATTCTTAATGATGACAGCCCCCGAGGGACGTACAGGCGATACATATTGTAATTATACATATAGGTATAAACAGTCATGTCTAGTACTTGAGCTAAGGTTCCACAAGAGTCTAAAGAGAGAATATTATGATTCACCTAAATTAAGTTTTTCACCTCAGCTTTTACGAAACTATCAATCATCAACCAATGTGATTAAACGAGGTAAATGTTATATTAGGAAACTATTGGTAAAGTTAATGAAGACTAATCAGTCACATATATGTGGTGGTGATAATTAAGTACCTGGGGTGAAGGCTGTTCTTGACGACTTTCTGACCATATTTACGCCATTTGTAGCCATCGTCAAGAACATCAACATCGCTTTTTGTTTGGAAACAGAATCTTGGCTCTCTTAGTTTCCTCCTTATCTTCACTTTGTTCTTCATATCCCCACTGCCACTATTTGATCTCCACCTGAGAATGCAATCACTCTAACGTCTTAGAGACATTGTTTATGCCTTAGGTTTAATCCTTTCTCATAAGTCTTTGTATATATATTTAGTCTATAGTTCTATTGGATCACAAAAAAATTGCAAGGGAGATATATATGAGTTTAATTAATAACTTTCTTAATTAGTTATTGATGAAAAAAGAAGAGAAGAAATTAACATGAACAAGAAGAAGAAAAAAAAAAGATTCATCTTTGAATCCAACGATGTAAATAATTACCAAGAATTAGAATGAGCATCAGTGTTAGTTCCACCTCTAAAATTCTCCTGATCATCATTAACCACCTTTGATCCCAAGGGTCCTCCACCCTACAAAAAATCATATTAAACCTTCCAAATTAAAGTAAGATCAATAAATACTTAAAATACAATTAAACAAGATCTTCACATAGATAGATATATAGAAAGAGAGATCAAAGACCTGAAGATTATTAGAAAACCCTAGAGGTGCATGAGTAGTAGTAGTGGAGGAAGAGTTGTGAATGGGGAAAGAAGGAGAAGAGAGAGAAGAGGAAGAAGAAGAAGCAGAGAAAAAGGTTAAGACATTGGTTTCTTCAAAAGGAACGAGGAAATTCATATTCTCTTGAATCGTCGTCGACGACGATGTCACTTGTTGTAGATCGTAATTATTGTATACTCTTCTTCCTCCTCCTTCCATTGTTTTTAATCCCAATCTCTCCTTGTTCTTTTTTGTTGACTATTGTGTACCAATTTAAAATAGTGTATGACACTAATTTATTTCTATATAAATTAATAAAGTTATAAATGTTACTTTGACGGTTTATCTTCTCTTGCTTTCATATAGAAAGGGTAGGGTTTCGTGTGTAAGTCCCTACACGTGTCAAAGACCCTCCAAACATATCATTTGTACCATTCGTGTCTTTGGCAGTCAACTTCATGTGAAGTGTTTTAATGTTTATAAATCATATCGCTAAAAAAACAAATTAAATTCGATTCCATTATATACTCGAATATATATTTAATTCTTAGCATAATTCAAAACATCGTAAATCCTTGATATTTCTGCGTGTTATGTCGACCAAAGACGGCGATTTTTAAATTCAGTTTTAACAATTTTTTGCATTTTATGAATATATAGGTTACTCCACAACATTGTTCTATCGTATAAAGAAATATATATATATATATATATATATATATATATGTAATTCAATGTACGAAGAAATGCTATATACAAATAACAATAAGTACTTTTCTGACGTACTAATGATCACTATAATACTTAACAACAACAAAATCATTATATATTAGTGGAATAATTATGAAGTTTTAATGTAAGACTTTTTAAATCATCTTTTACCAATAACTTTGTTTGCAACGTTTACAATACATCGTCCATCGATAACGATGTTTGGAAATTGGAATGTTATCTACATATCACCGTTTATTGTCAACTTAATTAGACAATCAACGACTTTTACTTTCAATTGTTTAAGCAAGTAACCTGCATCATTAGTTAAACCTAACCATTCCATAATGAGGCCAAAAGAAGGTTTGGAGTTTGGACTGATTATTATGATCAGCTTTTTGAAGCAACCTAAGAAATTAAATGAAGTAAAGATAATTATCTTAATTAATTAAGAAATTTGGGACATTTTTCATTTCACATGACAATTTTGATAGAGAGAGAAAAAAGATGGGAGAGAAAGAAGTTGTCAAGGAGGTAATCGAGTGTGGTGGAGGTACATCAAAGCTTCCATCCATCTCAAGATGTGTCCTAAAGCTGATGATGGATACGACACCCACAAAAGTTACCTCTTCTCAAATCATGTCGAATCCACCTTCATAATTTTTGTTTTGTAAATGAAATCCCAATAATTATAATTGAATTTTTTTCATTAGACTACATGTTTACATCGTTTATTGAAAATCACAATTAAAAAAAAAAAACATTGTGCATAAAAAATGTTTTAAAAGTCGTTAGACATCAATTAGAATATCAATCAAAATTCATCCATGTTTTTATTTGGTTTTTAACAATCATCGGTGTTACAGTAATGGCTTGTTTGAAAAAATTATTTCTTACAGTATTGAGAATTTGATAATTACACACAACAACACATAAACACCCCAGGAAAAGAGCCCGCCAACTTCCTCCACAATAGCAACACAAAGCAACAATGACTAATAAAAAAGCATATAATATAACATTTTTTAATCTTCTTTTTGACAAAACCATAAAACGTGATTGAGGTTGAGGTTAGATTAATAAATTTTAATTTTATTTTACCGGTCCAATCTATTCCGTAATTAACTATCATCATTAGGTGGAACACTTGCTTAAATAGCCATTAAAGGAATTATAATACCATTGATCCTATTCTTACCGAGTTACCGACACCAAAAGTATTTTTGGTTCTCAGGTAGAAACATGGCTAAATAGGTTTCAAAAGCGAAGACCTTCTAGTTTGTTTACTAGTATATAACGCTTTAGTTTTCTTTTCCAAACACATTTTTCTAAGTTGTAAATACAAACACAAAATATAATCGAAACGTTTACATATGGAAAAAGGATTTGATCAAATAAAACTTTATATTATATATGTAAGATGTAAACATAATCAAAAGATGCAAATGAAAAGAGAACAATAGTTAATTAGAAGATCATAGGTTGAGAAAAGAGACAAAGAGACAAAGAGAGGCATATTAAAGGTTTATATAATAGGGGATGAATTCCATGCAACAATGATTACACGTTTCAATCAAATCCGTAAGGAATTTTCCAAGTTTAATGATGGTGAGATTTCTAAGGCATCTTTTTCTCTTGTAGGAGCCCACTTTGTCTCCTCCTCTATTCTCCTTTCGTTTTCTTTTCTTATTTGTTTCATATTTTTACGCCGTTGAAATCCAAGTGTAGATGCAAACACGACCCTTGGGTATATAACCTAAAACTAACTAAATACTTGTATATATTCAACTCTTTTCATAGAAGTTCGATATCAATTTCATTGGACATTCAATATTAGTTTGGGATAGAGAAAGAACAAAAAGTAAGTTTAGGGTTAAATTTCATCAAAACATGTGAGTTATTACGGATTCTGATATCAAATTTTCTAAAACTCTAAAATCAAAATTTGTTTATCCAGCTAACAAAGGATAAGATCCAGTGGGTGATATTGAATTGGTTCCGAAATAAGATCCAGTGGATGATAAACTTAGCCCATTTGTAATTCAGGCCCCGTTGGCCTACCAAGCAAAATTGCAAGTTAGGGCAGGAGTTCGATAATCTTTCTCCAGCGGAAGGAAACTTACGCCGCCGGCTAACTACGGTGGTTTAGATGTAGCTTAAAAAAAAAAAAAAATTTATTGCCTTACCAAAGAGTAAATATCAAATCTAAAACAAAGGAGGGTTCCTGTGTCCATCGTCTCTTTGCATGAGATTTGGATCTAACTTGTTTAAGACCAAATATACAAGTTGAGTATTTAGATTTTCTAACGACTAATGCGGGATCTAAAATTCGTTTAGTTTTCATATCATATTGTAATTATCTAAGTTTTTTTATAAAGAAGGTTAAAATCCATTATTAAAAAAAAAAACCAAAAATTCAAAACCTTTTTCAACTTAAAGTATAAATATTTATATCTATTAATTTTTAATTAAAAATCACAGTTTTAAAAACTATTTTAAAAATTCGAATTAAAAATTTGAATGCTAAGGCTACATAATAATACGAAAAACAAGTAATATTTGGAATCTCTAACGACTAATGCGGGATCCAAAATCCGGTTAGTTTTCATATATCATTATGTAAATTTAGTATCCAAGTTCTTGAAATCCGTAAAAAAAAAAAAAAATCTTTTATAAATCCAAATAGAAAAAATAACAAGTTTAAAAACTATTTTAAAAATTTGAATGCTAAATCTACATAATTATACGAAAAACTAGTTGAATATTTGGAATCTCTAACGACAAATATAGGATCCAAAATCCGGTTAGTTTTCATGTATCATTATGTAAATTTAGTATCCAAGTTCTTAAAATCCGTAAAAACAAAAATAAAAATCTTTTAAAAATCCGAATAGAAAAATAACTATTTTAAAAACTTGAATGCTAAATCTACATAATGATACGAAAAACAAGTTGAATATTTGGAATCTCTAACGACAAATGCGGGATCCAAAATCCGGTTAGTTTTCATGTATCATTATGTAAATTTATTATCCAAGTTTTTTTAAATTCGTAAGATTAAAAAAAAAATCAAAATTAAAAGTATAAATATTTGAAAATTTATTAATATTTTGAATTGAAAAAATTAAGATGAGATAGAAATTGACCTTTCTTATGGGCTGAAAATTATTTTCCTTTTGTTGGGGTTTGACGGTTTGTTGTGCAAAAAGGCTTGGATGAGTCATCAATCCAACGCCACCACCACTCTGTACCGGAAACGGAAAAGCCACCTCCTCAATCTTCTTCTCTCTCTCTCTCTATCGCCACCTCCGTCGTCGATTGCTGGTCCTCGCCGGATAGAAGCTCCAACATCATGAATCCGAAGCCTGAAATTCCGGCGACATGTAGTCTGTCTCTAACTTTATCGATATTTTGTTGGATCGTCTTTGTGTGATATACGTAAACGCCGAATAATTTGGAGCGAAAGATGGATCAAAAACTCATGAAATTCGAAGAAGAAAACGAAGAGAGAATATAGGTAAACGAAGTAGAAACTGAAGAATAGAATCGTAAAATCAGAGAATGAAATTGCATCTTTCTCATTCTATAACTCTCTCTCTGTGTTTCTCTGGGTTTGTGATGATACTAATAGACAGAGAAGAGAGGATGCGCGACATGTATATATAGACTTTGTTGTTTCTCTGTGTTTCCTTTTTTTTTTGGGATTCAAAATTTCCTTTTTTTTTTTTTACTCTTTTCAAAGTTTCCTTTTTTTTTTTTGATTCAAACGGCTTTTGTGTTTGTATCCTTTTTTCTTAATAGTAAGATTCTGCGAGAAAACAAAGCTTATGTAAACAAGCCTCTTTCTCTGTCTTTGCGTGGCTTGCTTTTTAGTCTTTCAAGAAGATTGCATAAACACTCACTGTCTCTGTCTGTTTGATATATACAGAGGAGAATATTGACGAAAAATTCTGGAAAGAAAGATAATCAGTCTACTGAAACTGAATGAACAAACGACTCTCGTGGAGAAGATGATGTAGCTCCAGAGAAAGTAAACAACAACAATGACTAAGAAGGAGAAAGTGTCAACCGATAAGAAAAGCTTGTCAAAAAGGACTAAGAAGGAGAAACCAGCACCTGAAGAGCAGAAATATCTTTAAGGTTCTGCAAAAATCTTGTCGAAACTCATCCAAACAAGTTGATAAGTCAACAAGCACGAAGCAAAAGGTTGATAAAGAGGATTCCCCTAAAGGTTGATAATTCTGTTCAGGATATTGAGTCTATCAAGGTTAAGATTCTGTGTCTCGCACATGCTCATGAGGCTGCACAACCTTCTTCCTCTTTTAAGGATAATCTGATTTGTTTGAAGAGATGAAATTCTTGTCTGAAATAGAGGTAGCTATGGATGAAGAGGGACACATAATGTTAAGCAGAAAAGAGTCGATGCAGAAGGATGTACAAGATGTTGAGAAAAAGATTGAGGAGAAGGAGAAGAAAGAGAGCAAAACCATTCACTCTTCAAGGAGAAGAAGAAGGCTTCGTGTTACTTGTATGTACTAAAGCGATATAGCTGAGAAAAACAATTTATTGCCTTACCAAACATCAGCTAGTGTTACTACATTTGTACCAAAGAGTAAATATCAAATCTAAAACAAACAAGTTTTACTTGGGTTCTTCTGTCCATCGTCTCTTCATTTCGGATTTTGATCTAACTTCTTTAAGATTCCCATCCAAACCATAATCCCTCTCCATCACAAGATTCATTCCTTCATCTGAATACCATCCAACTCCAATGCATAAGACTCCATCTTTCTTCACATCCACGTATGCAGTCACACCACCTGGTAGCCACATCACAGACACATCTTGCATATCTATCATCTCTTCTTCTCCAAACGAAACCAAAGTTTCCGGTAAGTTCCTTCTCTTTAGAGCTTCTGTGCACAGGTACACAACTGGAGTGCTTTCACCTGGCTGCTCGAATTCGGCTTCTTCTCCATAGATTGGAGTTGCACTTACTTCAAATACTTTCCACGATCCTGTTAGTTCTGATGGTTGCGTGCGTTTCCTCTGAGAGAATGGTTTTAACTCCAATGGTGCGTCGTTGTCACTGAGACATAAACCGTTAGTGTCAGAGACACTGAGACATACCGAAGAAGAGAATGATAAAAATCAGAGGTTGGAGTTACCTTTGCTCTTCATAATTTGAAGGACTAACCCACTGTTCTTCATAGACACCAACTCTCATTATCTGTATATCTGCACCACCATTGGCGAATTCTATAGTGTGGACTACTCTCAGTCTCTTATGGCAACCCTTCACCAGACACTGGACAAGAAGAAGGAGCAATGAGCCATTTCTTCTCTCTTAAAAATACAAACTTGAGAAATCTTAAAAAGCAAAAAAAAAAAAACAGACATACCTGTTCAAACTTGAAAGTCGGTGTGAGGTAATAGTTCGATTCACTCATCTCCCCAACAGGGATTGTAACTGGACCTCTAGAATACGATCCATCCTGTATATCAACCAAATGGAAACCTTACATAATGAAACCTAGACATCCTTTATCTCAGCCAAAGGGAGAATCAGAGCTAATCTAGTAGCTTCCAGGACATGTACATACCTCGAAGTAAACGAGGCCGGGTTGATTTACCATGGAATCCTCTTCCATGACATCACTTGCTTTCAAGTTAAAAGACTCAAACTTAGGCAAACGACTATCTACACCAGTCTGATCAACCAAAATCTCATCTTTACTCTCAGTATTCTGAAATAACTCTCCATGAGGATTCAAAGTAACCCAATTGATCTTCCTCTGTATCTCAGACTCTGTATTAGCTCCACCAGAAGAAGGAGATGGTAACGCTTCGATCCTAGAAAGAGTATAACAATCATAAAGACTCTCATTCTTCTTCCCAATTTCAATAGGTTCCATCTCTGCAGTTATCGGCGAGAACACAGCTCCTACACCTTTCCAAATCCCACTTACACTACTCGCAAATGTTCTCCAAACTGGTTTAATCACAGGTTCCTAACAAACCAATTTCAATCAGAAAATAGCTACTTTTCGCAGACGAAAATTTGAGAAATTGGAATCTGAAATCGAAACCTGAGTTTGAAGAACAGTCTCGGATTCGATCAACATCGTCCCAGAAACCAAAACTCTACCGATTTTACCCTTTCTTCCTCCACCTAATCTCTTCCCGCTTCTTCTTCCTCCCTTTGGCTTCACCTTACGCTTCTCCTTCTCCGCCATTTCGTTGTCAACGCTCCATATATTCTCCTTGTTACCTTTCAGAGTCACTTTCCCTTTGTTTCCCGCCGGACGGCTATTTCCGTCGTTTGGTCTTGATCCCTGCGCCACGATTTTCCTCCCGTTGACATTGATTCGTCGCCGGAAATTGCAGATTGAAGGAGATAATAACAGATCATTATGAAGTCCAAAGCAAAGACTGTGGTTGTTATATGAAAGTGGAGAAGAAGAAGTGAAGCTTTTACAGAGATGAAGAAATGGCGTTTCCATCGTAGAAGATGATGAGAACTAAAGCAAAGTGACTTGAAACAAATCGATGGCGTCGAAACATAGCTGAGAATTAAATGGGCCGTTAATACAGTATTAGGCCCATACTAGACCGTTAATACAGGCCTAGGCCCAAAATATTCAATATCGGCCAAAATAATCAATATAGCATCTTTTTTTTTTTAAAGTTTTTTGGGGAAGTGAACTTGTGATTGGCTAAGAAGGTTACTGGTGATCGACGTTTCCTTTAAGGCCGACAAAGTTAATGGACCACGAGGAGTTTTATAAAGTAGTTTTTCTTTCTTTCTTTTTATAGCTTTAAAAGGTGTAATGATGACTTTTTCAATCTCAATTTTAAAAACAATTTTGATAACTTTTTTTATTCATATACGTGCATTCTGGAGATCAAGACATTGAAATACGAACACACTAGAACGAATTTTTCGGAATAAGTATGTTGGAAGATTGATGCATTGGCGAATGAAGCATGACCAGACAAAGGTCATTGGAAAGTAGGTTTCTTTTTTTTTGCGTAAAGCTAAAGGAAAGTAATAAAAATACATTAAAAACGAAATATATATTGATATTAAATACTTTAGTTGACAAAATTGACAGCGGAAAAAACATTACATGAAGGCCATAAACTAAGAGCTTTGACCAAATCTCAAGGTAAATCAGGTTTGAGAATCAGAAGAAGATATCTATTCCAACTGGTGCAACGGTTGTTGTACCCGTTGTATCGCCCAAAACTACAAGTTTCGTATTTATTTAGTGTTTCTATATGATGATATATATAATATTTGATATAGATATGAAACTTTGTCGATCCCCCTAAAAAAAGAAAAGATATGAAACAAATAATATTGCTTTGTGTTTGCAAATTGGTTTTGTAGTCAGTCAACAACCAAAGATTTACTTGTTAATTATTCGCAAATTGTCTGTCAAATTTTTTCTTACGAAATTAAGGAAAAAACAATTAGGAAGTTTCGGTTTGAAATTAGATTTGATAATAATATATACGGTGACTCCATAATTTTTTTCTGTTCAAATGAAAATCAACTCATATCCGATATAGCACCGGCCGGTTGATTAACCAATATTTGATATATACATAGATTTTTAATAAGATTGTGATGGCATTCTATATATGTATATAGTAATATAAATGGCAAAACAATATGTTTGTTACCCAACTCATCACGATGGTGCAATGGTTTCAAAAGTTATTGAAAATTGAGGAACTAGAATTCAAAGTTTTTAACTAAGATATCAATAATGGTTGACAATTGTGAATGTTTTAAGTGGCTAGCCTAGAATAGTCTGCTCTAGCCTCAACCCTCAAGTATTAGTTTAGGTATGGAATATGGATTCTCCAATTATAACAACAAATAGAGAACAATATATATATGTTATAGAAATATTTATATTTATGTGTGTATGTGTATGTGTATGTAATTCTTGATAATACAAATAGAGAAAGCTTGCAGCTAATACTTTGAGTTCAAGTAAAGGGACATTATATAATAAAAGAAAGTAAAAAAGAGCTTGTTTCTGAATTCTCTTGCTGTAAATGTAACATTTTCAAAAGTTTCATATCTATATTATTAATTGGAAATCACTCAAACATAAGTAACCTTATTTTGGTAGATTAATTACGAAGAATGCCATTGCAAGGATTTTTTTTAGATCTATATTTTTTTTAAAAAATATCAGACATCAATTGTTCAAACAACCATTATCTGTTCAGATAATAAAAACAAAATTTTATCTATACTACTAAAAACAAAACAACAAAATCCATAACGAAATCAATTTCGGCCCATGTCAATATGTATTGGGTGACCCATAACAAAATATTTCTGTTTCAGGTAATGGCTCATGAAATTAAACTTTGACTTTAGTATTAAACACCTTATGCTAAGTGTATATTAATTTTAAACATTTCAAATTAATTTTTAATATATGTATATTAATTTTAAACATTTCAAATATAGTATTGTATATTTTGAAATTTACCTTTATATTGTTAGTATTAAACACCTTAATTATATTACAAAAAAAAAAATTCATTTAAAATAATACTGTTCAAATTATTTGTTTTGCACTAAAACATTTAGGAAAAACGGTCTATTTCCCCACGAGAAGTATGACATCATAACAGATAGAGCCCAAACTTTAACCTCGGTTTATATGTCCATAAAATCAAAGTTTTGTTCCTATTTCTCCCCCAATTGAAAGTTCTATAGCTTAATGTCCCCGAATCAATAGTTCGAGAGCTAAAACACCACGGAGCTTGGTTTAATTGGTTTACGAATTAAACCCAATAAAAACCACACAAATTCAATATAACCGAAATTAAAATCCGACCCAATTCAAAAATCGGACCCAATCTAAAACCCAACCATAAGCACCCCATTTCTTCTTCTTCTTCACCGAACCATTTTAATGGCTTCATCACTTGTCTGAATTGGATGAGGATGAGATCCTAACAATTTTTGACAACATCTATATGTTTACAAACCAAACCTGAATAGAAAACCTACCGGATTGACCTAAAATTTGACCCTATCTAAGACCCAACCCCGTAACTGATCCGTTTTCTTCTTCTTCAACCTGATTTTGAATCTTCATAGCTTTCGACCCATGATTTTGCCAGTGATGTTGTTCGGACTTGAATTTATCTTTGATGAATGCTTCAATTCGAAGATTTCTCTCAGAATATTGCCATAATAGATGAACGGATGAGAACAACAATGACGGGAACATTGGAGAAGTAACAACAATGGAACATATTTATTTTAGATTCATTAGACAAAATGAGAAATCAAGAACAATTCAAGTAATAACAAACGATCTCGTATTAATCAAATGCAAAAATCTCAATCCAATTATCCTTGATTTCACTCAAAGGGAGAAAAAAAAAACAAACTCACAGGAAGAAGATGAAGAACCAATGGCAAAATTAAAAGAGGAATCATAAAAGTTTAAAGCACAAGTATAAGTAAAATTATACACTGTTGTTGAAGCGAGTGGAGATGAAGCGAAGAGGAAGAAGAAGAAGTTTGTCTTAGATTAGGGATCTGCTTCAGCTCCGATTATTTTGTTTCATCAAGTCATGTGTTGGGATGACGACGACGAACGTCGGTGGTGGTGGCTCCGCCGTGGAATTGCTCCGCTGTGGAATTGGATAGTCATTGGTCTCGATTTTGGGTTTTGTGAACCTGTGAGGTTGGAGAACACCAACAATTGATTTTTGTTTTATAATGGAGAGAGTAGAAAACGATGGGTCTAAAATCAGAAAGAGATTTTAATCCTTGTAGGAAGATTGGTAAAACGAGATCCATGTTTCATCTCTGATGTCGGATGACGAAGATGATGATCACCAGAAAGGGTTTGAAATCGGGTTTAATGGAGAATCGGTTTATAGTCCGGTTATTAGGGAATCAGTTGTAATTGGGTTTTGATTAGGTTTAATCCGGTTTATTATTTTTGTAAATTGGTTAAATAAACATTAAACCGAATAAAACCAATGGCTATGGATAATTAGATGAGAACTATTAAATTAGGGAGATATAAAATTAAAACTATCAATCCGGAGAAGTATAGATTGAGAAGTATCGTTTCAGAGATATATAGATCGGAGTTAAAGTTTGGGCTCTATCTGTTATGATGTCATACTTCTCGTGGGGAAATAGACCGTTTTTCCTTTTATTGTATAAAACTTTTCTATTATGATAAGTGTTACATCTTTTAGTAAATACACTTTTCTGCAAAATGTATAATTAATCAAACTGAAAATCAATGTGTGTAACAAAGTTTATTTTAAAGATTGATATTTTTACTATTAATTACATCAAACAAACAATACATTTAAATTACAACTTTATGTAAATCCTATCAATTCAAAATCACAACCCGCACGTACGTGCGGGTCCGGATCTAGTAAAAATTTAAAAGATCTCCTTGTAGACATGTCACATGTGTTGGATGATTGATTTACAATCTCGTGGACCAAAAAAACAAAGAGTGTAATTATACGGAGGCCGGCTTTAGTTAAACTTCACCCATCATAACATATGGCCCATCCCATGCCTACTCCAAATGTCGCCGACCGGCGCGTGATGATTTACATTATTTTGATTTTAAACTCAGAAATATACATGATAGCTAGTATGATACAATACGTCAAATTGCATGTACATATATTAATGGTAGTTGAAGGAAAAAAACAGAGGTATACAATTATACAAATAAATCGATCGTCCTCGAAGCATGTAAAATAAATTAAAATAACATCTATAATTTGTTGCAAAAAAAAAAAGAATAGCCAAAAAAATTTCCATTTATTTTTGTTCTACAATATTATATTACGACAAAAAAAAAAAGAATAAAAGTGTTTGACTTAAGGAGCCAAATTATAATTAACCAATGCTTAATGACCTAACCAAGTCACTTTTTAAAATTTCCGGTACGACTTGTGACGGCGACGCTGAAAACGATTGAAGTACACGCGCGGGGTCCTCCAGCCTAATTGCCACCTGTACACCAGCCCTGCCCGTCGTTACAATTGACGTAACTATAAAAATCTCAATTTCCTTTTTTATTTTATTTCTAAACAAAAAAAATTAAAGAAACGGCAAAAATTTATACTGAAATCTTTTTCCTTCCTTATTCTCTCTTTCCGCTTGATTTCGCCGTCCGATTATCTCAATCGCCAATACAATACAATCCGGCGGCACTCACTAGATCTTGAAACCATTGTTTGTTTCTTGCTCAAGATTCTTGAGGATTCTCTATAACTACTTTCAAGTTGATCGCTCTTTGATTCTCGATTGGTTTCAGTTCTCGATTCTCGACGGTGATTGAATTCTTCTCTTACTTTCTTTTTTTGGTTGTTTAAGTTCGCTGTATCAATCGCGACGTTTTTGTGATTCGCATTGTGTCTGGAGTTGATCAGGTTTCCGATTATTGATTCGATTGCTGATGAAGTTATCTGGTTTTGCATTTGATTGTTGTTGCAGGATGGCGATTCTGAGGTGAATCTGAGGAGCGAAAAAAGAGAAATCGAGAGATGGATGATAGAGAAGGCTCGTTCGTAGCTGTCAGGCGGATTTCTCAGGGTCTCGAACGAGGGAGCGTTTACAATTCATCATCTGGTAATTTCCATCATCTCTTAGTATCAAAGCTTATCTCTCTACAATGGTGGTTGCATTTTTTCTGTCTTTTGGGTGAAATTTGTACTAATGCGTTTTCTCTGAGCATTGCTTGGTTTCTGGATTCTCTGCTATTGATGTTTTTTTCAGCTTGTCTCTAGGATGAGAGTAGTAATGCACTTATCAGATGCCTTAACTTTCATCTTTAACTTGGATTCCAGTTTGTTGTCTAGGAGAATGATGTTAAACCCTTAGTATTTGGTAGATTTCGTAGTATCGTTGTTTTTAAGCTTTGTGTCTGTGTGCTTTTATAGAATTTGATGCTTATAGGGAGTTTTATGGATTGGAGATTTAGATTAGTTTTATGAAACCATTGAAGTTTATTTGTTTTGTTATAGCTGAGGCTGTGCCTGGATCAGCAGCTTGGTTAGGCCGGGGTCTTTCTTGTGTTTGTGCTCAGAGAAGAGATAGTGACGCAAATTCTACGTTTGATCTAACACCTGCTCAGGTATTCAGTTTTCCACTGTTCGAGTTGGAAGTTTATATTTTATTGTTTCCTACATTAAGATAACGTTTCTGTCCTCGCTATATTAGCTGGCTACTTCTAAGCGTATCCAGGTATACTTATACCCTATTGTTGGGACATGCAGGAGGAATCCTTGCAGAGTTTGCAGAACCGCATTGACGTAGCTTATGATAGCACAATACCCTTGCATCAGGTACAACTTCCTTGCGGGTTTTTAAGCTTTTAGAATTTCTCATAAAAACAGTTGACTTGAACCATCATTTGGACATGGTAGAATACTGCATCTTTTCATCCCTTGGCTTTTTTACTATTAGCTAGCATCATAAATTCAAATGTACCAGCTTTGATGATTACTTTGTTGCTTCGTCATACGCTCTTAGGAGGCGCTGAGGGATCTGTGGAAACTTGCCTTTCCTGAAGAAGAGCTTCATGGATTAATATCTGAGCAGTGGAAAGAGATGGGTTGGCAGGGCAAAGATCCGTCAACAGATTTTAGGTATAACACTGACTTTCCTCTTTATTTGTGTTATAGTTATTTCTTGCATCTATTTTCTCTTTGACTTACAATGCATCATCTGGCAGGGGTGGTGGTTTCATATCTCTTGAAAACTTGCTGTACTTTGCTAGGAACTTTCAGGTATACCTATATACTACATATACAAATGTTTTATGAAAAGAATGAGCTGCCTTTCCTTTATAACTTTTACTTTCCATGCACCATATATTATCGATTACTCATTGACACTGCTTCACTTGTATATATATATATGTATTTATGCGTAAAAGTCATGTATGATATTTATACCCGATAACTCATTTGTTACAGTTGTTCATGACTTTACATCTTAGTTCTTGCTGATCTACTTTTGTCACTTAGTTCAAACCCACGTGTCTATATACTGCAGAAATCCTTCCAGGACCTTCTGAGGAAACAGGTTGGGGATCGGTCTGTGTGGGAATACCCCTTTGCTGTTGCTGGTGTCAACTTAACATTCATGCTCATCCAAATGCTTGACCTTGAAGCAGGTAGACATCCACATGAATTTACTTACCTACCATGATTCATGATTGTGATAGTTGCTATATACCTACCATTTACTTACCTACCATGATTCATGATTGTGATAGTTGCTATTTACATCTGAAGCCATAGGATTGGGAAGCCCATAACTACTATAGAATCTTCTTGCATGCATTAGGCAGCTGTCTCGTATTGTTCATAGTCTGTCATTCTGATAATGAGTAATGTATTGAGATAATCAAGGGGTTCACTGACAATTTATCCTTTTAAAATTTACAGTGAAACCACGAACAATTGTTGGGGCAACTTTTCTGAAGTTTCTTTCTGGTAATCTCTCACTTATGCTGTTTTGTTTTCGTCAAATTGAAAAGCCTTTTTATTACACATGGTGCTTTAATCTGATTTTGACACTGATTCAGATAAATGTGTTGGGTATTTGTGTAAGCAGAGAACGAATCTGCATTTGACCTTCTTTATTGCATTGCATTCAAGCTAATGGATCAGCAATGGCTTTCAATGCGCGCTTCATACATGGAGTTTAACGTAAGTAGTAGTCGTTACAAAACAGAGATGTTTGGTCATATATACATACATACCAAGATGCCATGTTGATGCTTTGTCTTGGAATATTTGGATGACACAGACGGTGATGAAATCAACAAGGAGACAGTTGGAGAGAGAGCTGATGCTGGAAGACATAATGCATCTTGAGGACTTACCCTCCTACGCTCTTCTTAATCAATAGCCCTTACGATAATAATAATAAATAGTAAGAAGAGTTTCTAACCTCAGAATAACACAAGGCTGCGCTGCTTCTGCCTCTTTCTTTGACCTTTTCTTGTGTTTGGTGGTTCTAAGTAACAACTCCAAAACCGGGTTGTTACTTGTTATATTAAAACAAGAAAGAGAGTGAGAGAGAGAGAGAGAGAGAGGTTGGGATAAATCTCAATTTGGGTTGGGGGGCATTTGGTTGCAAATGAGTGTGTAGCTGAAATGGGTTTGTTTTCTAACAACGTTGAGGTTTTTTAGTTACTGTGTGGGTGATTGATGTTAGTGTGTGGGGATAATAATCATTTGGTGATGTCCACAAGTTCAAAAGCAGTCTCACTGTTAAAGGACTCTTAACAGGGGTTAAAACTTCATTCGTTTGTGTATTAAAAGTTGTTTTGATTGTTTATTGCTGTGAAAGTGTGAATATTTGTGCGTGGATAACATCAGAGATGGTCTTCACAAGCAGTCACGAATTATTCGATAGCAACAAAATTATTAGATCTACAATCAACACGCTTATAGTCTAGATTCTTCTTACACTCTGCCTAATTGATAGATAATTTGATATATTATCAGAAAGCTGATTAGCTGTCACTAATCTGTTAAATTCAATTAATTCACACAATAATCATGTCGAATACGAATGGCTGAGTGGCTCACACACCAATTCTCTTTAGAGCAAAAGCAAAAGGTGGCTCTAACCCTTAATTCATTATCCATACATTGCAACTTGCAAGCCAACACCAACGGCATCCCGACCACCACGTAGCTTATTAGTCCGCTTGATGCATCATTTGATGGCGGTGGGGGTGGTGTGGTTGACCCTGAATCGGCTTCGTATATTCCATCAGACGGCGGCGAGTCATCTCCTGTGGTGGGAGGAGGAGCGACAAAATCTGAAGGCGGCGGCGATTCTGGGGTGAGAGGAGAGGAAGAGGAGGCTACGACCGTAATGGCTAGCTTCATGCCACCTAGACAGTGACCAGGTGTAGGACAGATAAAATACTTTGGTCCTAGCTACTGTCTTCAGATCGATTTTGGTGTCTCCATCGGTGTGGTTCTCAGTCGCGGAGGAGTCGTCGCAGCCATCATATCCGGCTTTGTTAACCACATCCACCGAGTGTGAAGGACCGTACTTGAACTTTGTTTCAAACCGTTATTAAAGATTAACATTAGCCACTTCGCTAAAAAGAAACAGTTTTCTTGTGCAATAAGTTATAACAGACCTAGAGTATCACCAACCCTGAAAGTCTTTCCCGCAGCCCAATCTGTGTAGTCCACGCCACTGGCCCATTGATTAGCGTCTCCCACCCTGTAAGTTCGACTGCAGCTGGGAAGGTAACCATGAGGCCTATAACTAGGATAAAAAGTGGCTGCAACCATCTTTCGTTGCCATGTTTTGGTTTGAATGTGGAGAGATATCTTAATTGAAGATGTGAAGATGGTGATGGTTTATATATATAACAAATTTAGGCGTGAGAACGAATAATGAGAAGTTAAGTTTAATCAAAGGGCACTCTTGATTAGGGTCAAATTCCATTGGCATTGCCTTGTGGTTTGTATTCTACACATCTTTTCTCATGTGTTTAAAATTTGGACACGGATTAAAGTTGTGATTGACCAAGTACATGAATTTGGTCATGTAAAGTTCTAATTTCTTTTGCTAATCATACGTAGTGACAAGAGGACTCCACACAATATCCAATGCTACCGAGTATCTGTATGTCAGTTTGTCGAAATATAAAGTTTTGACTCTGATGGAAAAACGTATAGAGTTTGGCCCAGAATTCGTCAAGTACGCATAATAAATAATAAAAGATTGCAAACAATATATGAATTTATAGTCAATACCTATCCCAAGTTGCAGTTTGAATATACATTGCTAACAATCATTTCTTTTAGGAATTAATCATTTCTCTTAGTTGTGACTTGTTGTTGATTCAGCTTATTACTTGATTCAATCTTGATAACATATATATTAAAATTAAACTAAATAATCTACACAATATATATAGTCATGTAAAATATGAGGGGATGGTGGATCACAACTGTGCATGTGGTTCCACTCGAACGGAAAATGAAAGGGAAAATTAATAATAATTTATTACAACAAGAGAATAAGTGAATGTGATGGTGATGATGATAACGATAATCAAATGCCCAAAATAATTAAAATCCTACGAATAATTAAGAACTTCTGACGTGGCACACAAACCCAAATTCTCTTACAACCAAAAACCAAAAGCAAAAGCACTGACTCCACCCTGGCTCTCTAAACCAATTACATCCACAAACCATAACCCAAAACCATCGAGGCTCCGACCAAAACGTAACTCATCACTCCCTTAGACGCACCACTTGACTTTGGTGGAGGAGGAGAAGTGACCCAGAATCAGGTTTTGGTGTGGTGGGTGTTCCGGCAGCCGGAGGTGATTCCGGTGTGGTAGGAGTTCCTGGAGTTGAAGACGGGGGCGTGGGAGTGGGAGTGGGAGTGGCCGGAGGTCCGGAAGAGGCGGCTACGACAGTAAACGGCTAGCTTCATGCCACTGACACAGTGACCAGGTGTAGGACAGATGAAATACTTTATTCCTACTGTCTTAAGATCGATTTTGGTGTCTCCATCGGAATGGTTCTCAGTCGAGGAGGAGGCATCGCAGCCATCATATCCGGCTTTGTCAACCACATCCACCGAGTGTGAAGGACCATACTGAAACTCTGTTTCAAATCGCCGTAAAAAGAAATCAAAACCTAAGTAAAATAGTTATCCCATACCTAAGTACTATAAGCTTTTTTTTTTCGAAGTACTATAGCTTGAAATCGTCTACAGATATAAATAAAAGTTATGACTAATGTTGTTCGGATGATAGTTAAATTACCTAGACTGTCACCAACCCTGAAGTCTTTCCGGCAACCCAAACTGTGTAGTCCACACCACTGGCCCATTGTTGAGCGTCTCCCACCGTGTAAGTCACAGCTACTGCGGCCGGGACAATGGTCAGGACTAGGAGAAGAGCTGTTGCGGCGGCTGCAGCCATCTTGGACAAACCATTCATTGCCATTCTTTTACTTAGAAGAGCTAGAGATATTATTGTTTGTGAAGAGAAGAAATGGTTATGGTGTCATTATATAACAAAGAGATGTGAGAAGGACTTTAGGAATTAAGTAAATGGAATGCATGAAAAAGTCGCCGCCTCGCCAACTCATTCAACAACTTCATCCTCACTTTTTTTATTTTTCGTTTTAATTTTTTATTCATTTCTTTTGTTTTCTAAGACATTGTCATGATGCGTAACAACTCTTTGTTCTTATACATTCAAACTTAATAAATGGATAATTAATCGTATAGCTCGATGGCTTTCTTTGATGTAAATTATATAAACCCATCACCCTTATGAGTGGATTCTTCTTATTTGGTTTTTTATGTTTTTTTTACCTAAAAGTGTGCTGAGAACATGGGTTTGTTAATATGACTATAATGTAAGTATGATCCAAATAATGTATATGATCATAACCAATGTATTTATTAGTTGACAAAAAAAAACTGTATTGTATTTGGTACTTAATTAACATGTTATAGATTCTGCATGCAGGTGCCAAGATTCCTTAAATTTGTAGCAAAAGATCAGCTACAATTCAATTTTTTTTCTTTCTGAAAACAATTATTTTTAATGCCTCAAAACAGAATATTTGAAGAATAGAATTTAAGCTATATTTTTCCTTGAGCATTTGTTGTTTTTTTTTTTTGTTTTTTCACACGGCTGTATCACAACAATTTTTCATGTATTTATACACATTGTTTTCAAATCTTTGAGTTCATATAGTATTCTTTTTTAGTTTTTAATTTGTTGATGTCTAATTGGCATTGGTATATATTTAAGATATTTTCTCACCCAAAAACAATATTTTATCTCCTATATTATATTTTATGGAGGTTTTGTGTGGATATGTTTGTAGGTTTGAACAAGACTTTATCAATAAGACTCCTTAACTTTAAGATTTATTTGTTGAATCCCACAAAATACATGAAAGCTTTTTATGAACAAAATCTCATTACTTAAATCGAGTTTGTTTGGTGAAATTGGCAAGGTGTTGTCCATTGACTAAGTTCCTTATTCAAAAGTTTTCAGATTGGAAAAAATTGTCGAAGGCATTGGGTCAGAAGTTGCACAGAAAGAAAAAAAAAATGAACAGAGAGATTCGAAATCACATCCTAACTCTTTAAGAAAAAAGAAAAAAAAAATGTTATAAAATTGGAGATTAGGTAATATGATAACAGTAGGAAGATGCTTAACACGTTCTAAGGCCATTCTAATATGTATATATTTGTCAATGATCAAAGAGGGGTATAGATGTTAGGTGAAACAAATCTTTACAATATTCGAAAAGATGAATACATACGAAAAAAAACAATTTTGATAAGTACGTAACTCATATATAAAAGCGAAATGGTCAATGATAGAACAAGAACCAAATAGTATAATCACTAAGCTATCAATTTATTTGACCAAAACATATTTTAGGAGATCAGAAGAAAGAACAGAATTCAGAGGTCGCTTCTAGAGGCGGCCCAGACTAGAGCGTGCCATGTTGAGCTTTGATAATCATTATCGTGTCATCCATCCATTAGCTTCAAATGAGGGAGAAAAAAAAACTTAAAAGAATAGGTACCATATGTTATTTTTTAATTAAAACTAAATATACATTGAATAGATGTTTGAATTAATGTTTTTGTTAAAAATATTGTTCTGTTTAACCACGTTTGCAAATAATTACTTTAGAAAAGTAGTATTTTTTTGGTCCAGATATTTCCATGACAGATACATAGTCTTGTTAAGATATGCACGTCAATGACAAAATATTCAAAATTGACCCGTAAACCGTCGTCGGAAAATCGAAACTTTTTATAATCCACTTTTGATTACTATATAGTATATAACTATATACTAACGGCTTCCTAGTATATGTCTATATGAAATGAAATGATCCAATTAGGAAAGCATGTTGAAGATAACTAACTACTTCACATTGTCAAGTTCCAACTTCCAAGCCCGTTATCATAAATTTGGGCCTATACTCTTCGGCCCATAACGTAAAAAAAACTTGGCTTATCCAGCCGACATGGTATCCAACTGCTTAAGCCAGAAGCCCAGAAGTACTTAATATTGAGCTTAGAAACAAAAAAAGCACTTAATAGAAGTTTAAATTCAAATGAGAGAACAATTAAAAATGATAAATAATCTACTCTCTAGTCTCCAATCTCTTACGAAAGAATGATATCTTGAAATAAATGATGCAACATCCTTATCTAGGGCTGCTGGAGGCTGGTCCATGAATCACGACCCATATTCATCCTCATAAATGACGTCAACCCACAGAAATATGTTAGCTTTTTTTTTTGCCTTAAAAGTGGAAACCAAAATATCTTTAAAAACCTTTATGAAATGGCGGTAAATCCAGTCCAGACAAGAGGAATACGTTACCAGTCTCATCTGGTGGAAAGACGATTTTACCCCTGAGAAACCGAATTGTGTTTAAGCTAGTCAGTCACTGGTTTATTGAATTTTTTTGGCCCTGTCATATGGATTAAATGATTTAAATCTATTAATAAGATGCAACTTTTAATAAAGACGTGTGTGTCTGTGTATTCACTTAATGTTAAAGGATGATCAGAAGCTGCAGGTGGTTTCCAATATCGTAAGCAAACTAGGAAAAAATAAAAATAATGTTGCCTTTAAAAATTGGATATTAACAAAATTATCTTTCTAGAAAGAATTTAACAAGTATAAATACACGCTATGCATGTTGCATACTCTTTACTACTAAATAAATAAAGAGCAAAGAAAAAATCACTCTAAAGTCTAAGCAAACCAAAAAAAAATGGAGGAAACAAGAAAGAGTTTGCTTGATGATTCTTTTACGAGTGCAATGACACTTACCAATTCAGGTGTGCCTCAAGTCCCCGATCGTTACGTTCTTCCCCCTTCGCAAAGACCAGCTCTTGGTTCAAGCTTAGGCACCAGTGAGACGACACTTCCTGTCATTGATCTCTCTCTTTTACACCAACCTTTGCTTCGATCCCGCGTAATCCATGAGATTAGCATGGCCTGCAAGGAGTTTGGTTTCTTTCAGGTAACTAAGTCATGCTTTATCAAAACTCCAGCAGGTTTGATGTTTATTTCACGCAAATTATTCCTCATTTTCATCAGAATTCAGTCCAATCGTGTCCATCCTTAGTCACTAGAATACCTAGCTCTGGAGTGAACTTAACACATCTACCAATCACACTTCGGATATAACTTAGAAAGACGGCTTTTGTTTTGTTGCATTTATGTCATAAGGAATAAAGCCCCTGATCAGGGCAAACAAGAAAAGAAAAGACAAAATCCTCAATCTCAGTCTTAAATGAGAACACAAGTTGCATGCATGCATGTTTTTCTCTACTCTGTACAAAACTAAGAGATAAAGGCCCTAACTTTTACTTCCCTACAGGTTATAAACCATGGTATACCATCATCAGTGGTTAAAGATGCTTTAGATGCAGCAACACAGTTCTTTGACTTACCTGTGGAGGAGAAGATGCTTCTGGTGTCTGCAAATGTTCATGAGCCAGTAAGGTATGGCACAAGCCTTAACCATTCCACAGACAGAGTTCACTACTGGAGAGATTTCATCAAGCATTACTCTCATCCACTCTCAAAGTGGATCAATATGTGGCCATCAAATCCTCCATGCTACAAGTAAGTAAAACATACTTTTAGGCCACTTCAGTATCTCAATATATACAAAAGCTAGCTCTCTTTTGAAAGAATTGTAAGAAATCTTTGAGTGAAAACTGATATTATTTTCTGATTTATTCCTTCCTTTCAGGGATAAAGTGGGAAAGTATGCAGAGGCAACATATGTGCTACACAAGCAATTAATAGAAGCTATCTCAGAAAGCCTGGGACTGGAGAAAAATTACTTACAAGAAGAGATTGAAGAAGGCTCACAAGTCATGGCAGTGAATTGTTATCCAGCATGTCCGGAACCTGAAATCGCCTTGGGAATGCCACCACACTCAGACTTCAGCTCACTGACCATTTTACTTCAAAGTAGCCAGGGACTCCAGATAATGGACTGCAACAAAAACTGGGTTTGTGTGCCATATATCGAAGGAGCTTTGATAGTTCAGCTGGGAGATCAGGTAGAAGTGATGAGCAACGGCATATACAAGAGCGTCATTCATCGTGTAACAGTGAACAAAGATGTCAAAAGGCTATCTTTTGCAAGTCTTCACAGTCTACCTCTGCACAAGAAAATAAGTCCAGCACCGAAACTCGTCAACGCAAACAATACACCTGCCTACGGAGAGTTTAGTTTCAACGATTTTCTTGACTACATCTCAAGCAACGATTTTATACAACAAAGATTCATTGATACAATAAAGAAGAGCAGTTCCTGAAGAATTCAACAAGGCAATTTTCATGGCTCGTCTTTTGAATTAAGTTTACGATTATGGATATTGTAGTCCTTGTGTGCATCCCTGATGTATCTACTCTATGCACCATTACCAAATTATCACGAAACAGCAACCAAGTAAATTTTCTACATGTAAACAGATAATCCATTGTTTATATCACAGAAAAAGCTTAATATAATGTCATAAAAATTTACTCTTTTGCTTTTCCCAAGCAGTGATTCTAATATATATATCCAATTCTTATAAAAACAACCACTGTTTGTTGAATCGGTAACAAAATGTAAGCTTTTGGATTTATATAAGATTTAGAAACACAAGTAGTTCATAATTAGGAAGCAGCAACAACAAAGAAACCATTATTGAATCAGCTAGACATTGCCATCAATTTGGGATAACACATGGATAAACCACAAATCAACAATTGGTATATCAAAATTGAGACAAAATACGCGAAATTTTCACCAGTTTATTCGAAATCTCACTAACCATAAACAACGTGAACGCTTTAAGGAGTCCAATTATCAATTATCGATCAAACCAATCATCCAAAGTCTATCGAATTTCTCAAAGTATGATGGGATCGATACTTACATGAATCTACAAAAGATCACACAGTATCCTCCGGAGACTAATCAAC